GGATATCCGGTCTTCTTTTGGGGATTATTCAATGGATATTTAAATTTAACTAACAACGGGTCGGTGAAACCATAAAATGCATTATCCAATTATTATGTTCATATCTACCTAGAATTCGTACGGATCGAGAGTCGAAGGCGACAAGCAAGTAGATTGTCGATATGATATTGACAGTATTTTTCGTTACCAGTATACTGAGTATATTTTTCCTGATTATTTTCTTTGAGGGGAGTCAAATTAGACATTGAGGAGAGCTATAAAAAGCGCACCTCGACTGACATCCAGGCGCATCCAGGAGAGCGAGAGCGATCGCGCTCCTTTTACGTGAAGGCCTGGGGTTTTCTCGGGGTCCTCCGGTTTCCTCCAACTGCTAAAGACCCCTACGCGCAAGTGAATTATTGAAATAAAATTATACCATATGTTAGTCCCAAAATGACCTAGTTTGTGTCAAGTGGACGTTAAACCCCATTTCTAAAAACAAAAAGAAAGAAAAATTGCATCAAGTAGTAATTGTCTTCTAGCAACAGGTACCTATCTCTATCTCTACATCTAATATCTTTTCTCAATACAGGTAGATACATGTACATAGATTACCAACAGTTCAGTGAAACACTTCAATCTGTTTTCAGTGCACATTTATTTGAGTGAATAAATCTGAGTTAGATGAATTGTGTTTGTGTTTTTAGTGGGTTAACATCAATAAAGTATATAAATGTTTGTATAGTTAGATGAAGGATGTTAGAACCCGTAAACCTACCACTTTCTTCTTATATTATATATATAAATACATCTAATGGCCATCTTGCTCCCTGTAAACCACTTTGTTTAAATACTTATCAGTTAATTTCAAGTAGAAAAACTGGCTGCTTTGTCACTTCAGACATAGATAGTTACTTTTCATCTTTGTATGTGTGCAGCCTTTAACTTGATTTTACATGTAGGTAAAATAAAAATGAGAATTTGTTTTTGTATTTACTTGTTGTCTATAAAGATGAATGATGGAGATTAGTATTCTGTCCTTTGGTTGGGAAGTAAACTGTGGTCATACATGTACAAATGGCAACTCATTGAATGATAAAGGTCCTCCAAGCAGCTGGAATTTGGTTGCTGCCTTGGCAATGTTCTCCATCACTGTATTTGTAAACATATAGAGAAAAATAATATTTAGTGTTAAAATTTACTTCAAAAATGTGAAAGATTGTGACATTATTAAATCTATTTCTATTGAATATTAGACAATGTCATGGGGTAACCCTTAAAAACTGGTAAACTATTTCCCTTGTTGTGGTAGTTTTGTTTTAGTTTTCATTTCTTCTCAGTGATCTTAATGTTGATATATAGGAGTGGAATGAATGTGAAAAATTGTTGTCAGAATATTATCAAACAATCAATTATATACTACTATATTATGTTATTCAAGAAATGAATTCTTTTGTTACTATTGTAACAAATATATTGCTTTAATTGTTATTCTCTCTCTTGTCTTAACTATGATTATAAATTCTCTCTTAGTTATAAATATAAATCTTTCACACTATATAGGAAATACAGACCTTGACATCATTATAAATACATTCAGAGATTCCAATATAGATCAAAACTACTGCTAACCATTCTAAATACCCCATAAACAAGCAAAACTGTAAATCTTACAATATGGAATTTGAAATTAGAGTAAGGTAGCGTTGGAAAACATAAAAGTACTGAGTTTAGTGTAAAAATCTTGGTTCTAGATTTGAAAATCTTTCTGTTGAATGTGACAGGGATGAAGATAATTACATTTCCATCAAAATATCTGAAAACAAAGTTATGTCAGCTTATTCTTTGGGTGCCAATTCTGCTTTTGTCATTACATTCAAGAAGAACAAGTTTGAACTATTTTCTGACCTGCTGTAGAGTATTTCTAGTACTGGTATTGTTTTGTAAACCAGGTGATAAAGACATTGGATCTGATAAACAGACAGATGGTAAGGTAATCCCAGTTACTATTTATAGCAGGAATTCCCTCTTCACATCAGTTGTACTGAGATCAAAGGGAGATAACTGAAACGTGATCTGCCACTTTTTATGACAGGAACATAGTGAAAAAATGTGACTTATCTTCAAGAAATATACTATGTAATTAGGTGATAATTAAGTATATACATGTACATCATGTAGCACTAAATGTAGGGTAAAAAACGAATCTTATGTACAATATTTTTTTTTTTGTGATGCTGCACATCAATGTTATTCCCTTTGACAATAAGGATATAATTAGGTTGCCATTTATTTAACGATATATATAAAATGTTGAAGATTTGATTGTTTTGGAATAATAAATGATGAGATAGATATGTTTAGAATAGCAGCCCCAGTTCAATTTAAAGGAATTGGGTTGCCTAGTGCCTTGCATTGATCTTACCCCTACGGTTTAGTTTGAATCTTAAATGCTGTTTACATTACAAATATTAAGCGTGCCAGGAACGGTGTCGAGAACAGAACGTTAGATTTTTTTTGTAGGGTTAAAGTGTCAAACATAATCGTGCCATATTGAGAACCATGCCAATCTTGACCAATGGGCTTGGCACCATCCACAGTATTGGAACAGTTAATTTTCGCAGTGTGAACACTATCCGGTCTCAGAACGGTTCTCTGTACAGATTTCTGTGCATGTGTTAATATTAACTTAAACACATTCCCGTGACTGAAATTAACTTCTCTGTGAACGGTGAAATTTCTTGCATTTTATTGCGGCCTGGAACAGGTTTCGAGTACAGTATGCTTATCGTGGCCAAGTGTCAAAAATGTCAAAAAGTCCTGCTGCCATTACAAGTGATAAGTAATGAAGACATTTGGAGATATTGAAATAGAAGAAATTAAACCAGTAGTGCATAAGTGTTATAAATCTCTTTAATTTCCACTATTTTATCGGTAGTGAAGATAGAGAAATATTACTTTTAATTTGTGCCAGCTGATTATTCTGTTCATGAAGGTGGAATAAGTCAATTATATATAAATATTACTACATGATGATAAAAACACAGGCTTTAAATTCTATCCGGGTAATAAAAGTCAATGATTGATGCGAGAGGAATATGATATTTATGGTTCTGTATGCTAGAAATATTTCCATGAATATAAGATAAGATTTTATTAGACCTAATCATCCATAGAAAGACTTTTTTTGACCTAGATGAAAGGAATGTACATTTTGGTAAATGAATATTATCTTAAAGGATGTATAGCTATAATTAGGTATTATCCATAACATTTGGAATTAAAAAAACAAATTAGGATTCAATGGTGGTTCGTTTCATTCAATATTATTGTTGTTATCTTACTATGAAAATATGAGCTCCTGACAAAAAAAAGAGAAAAACTTTTTGAGTGGACTAACCGAACAGAACCGATTAGAAATTACAATAAAATATTTTAAAATTGAATGTAAATCACTTTAGAATTTAGACCCATTTTCATCTGTTTTAAGGTTTAAAAAAATAGAGCTATATGCCCTTTAATTATTGGAAATATTTTAAGACATCACATTCTTCTTTCTTGTATGGGGAACAAGTTCAATAAAAGTGTGTTTTGTCCTGACTTAGATGATAAAAGTATTTATGACTGGGTCTTAATTTAGAGCTGATATAGAAATAGAATGAAACCATGTAATATTACTAACTAGCTACATTATAGTGAAGGTGAAATTCATTTCCTGTTCATTAGTTTACCAAATTGGCCAACATTGAACAAAGGGCGTGAAAATTACGCAAAATCTTAACATAAATGGCAATGCATTATTTTGGTATGACTACAATCATGATCATTTAGTTGGTCTGACTGAACAGCGTGCTTTTATCTAAACAGAAGTAAAATTATGTATTATTATACGGTTGTGTTTTATTATGGTAAAATGGTGACATTTTCTGCTGAAGAAATATCTCCATAGGTCATTAGGACTAGGAGTCAGATACGAAAAAATCATATCCTTTTCCATAACGCTCTTGAGAATTGAATTGAACTCCTATCCATTAGAACAGATTTTAGAAACTCTATGATGAATTGTCCTTTTAGGTAATGGAGGATGAACATAATTTGAGGAGAGTTACGGTATAGGCAGCATGTCCTATTACAATAGGAAATGTAATCTTTTGAAATTCGCCCTCACACAGTTTCACACTAATACACTGGTGTTTGCTGGTGTTTCCATCAGAACAGGCTTACTGTAAATACTGTATGCATGCTGGGGTCATTGAGGGTGAAAAAGTAATTTGATCTAACCAATCAGGAAACTGGATACATCCTCTGAATCAAACACAAATAGCACAGTGGTTTACAACAATTAGTCATTTTTTAACCCCATGAAACCAAAAATTGATTTATCAAGAGACTGGAGAATAAAAATTTTTGCTTGATTAATTTCTACCAATTTTAAATGATGTCATTCCCTTTGATATATATGTACAATTTCATTTTTTGTTTTATTTTTAATTGATTTGATTTCTTTTGAAATGTCATTGATTAATTTCAGAAAACAACAAAATGCTAATAATAGCTATCAACAATATTTTTTCCATATTTTGCAATTAACAAAAAAAAAAATGATGCTATGGCATTTTGTTGTACTTTAGTAATGAATTTAATTTTAAAGAGACATTATCACTTTTACCAAGGAAGTAAATGTCTTGGGTTTAAAATTTAACTAATTATCGAATCACTAAGCATTGCCTTATTCAGAATGTCACATTTTTCTCTCGCCTTTGAAATATGTCTGAAGTGTAAATGTTCACTTGAAGCATTAGTATCTTAGAAAGAGATGCCTGTAGTAAATTGTCAAATCTAAGAAAACATCCAATTTGTTCATACAACTGATGATTATTTGACATTTTACCCAGAATAATTGGCTGCCTTTTCAAATTTTCCAGTAAGTGGGTAATTCATGTTGCAGTGAAAACTTAGGCAAAAATTTTGAATATCAAATTATTTATACTTATCTTATAGTATCATTTCATATTTTTCAGAAATGTAAGCAGTAACCATATTTCCATACTAGAACCAGGGGCATTTCAAGGTCTTTCAAATCTAAAAAAATTGTAAGTATATGTTTTGTTCTTGTTAAAAATGCATTGTAAGATTTAGATAAAGAGCTAGTCGTTCTTGCTATAATAGTTCAAAAATAGATAACGCAAAATGAACATATTGAAAGTTTCATTCAGATTACTTTATTCTGATTGAAGTTATCACTGTTTGAAGTTCTGAGTGAAATTATCACTGTTTGAAGTTTTGACAAAATGGGGCATAAATGGTTTATGATCATAGAAGTGGTACTTGTTAATCGAGACTAAGCCTCAATCCGCCATTTTAAATTATGTTCATGTTTCAATCCGCTGAAATCTACGCCACCTTTTCTAGTCTAGAGAGTTGATTATAGGCTTGTGATGTGAATAAATGTCTAAATTATAATAGTTTATGTAACATTTGAAGCCAAAATAAAGACCTGCAACAGGCAGATTTAGCTCTTGCATTGTACACGATGCATCAATGATAAGTAAAGACAGTTGACCTGTTGCTTTGATTTGAGTAACGGAACTGGTAATGATAAAGAATTGTGTCAGTTCAAATATATTTTTATACAATGACATAATGTATTCTCCTGAACAATATTGTCTTTTTATTCTTTCAATATATCAATATTAACAGCAACACAGTCTTTATATTAAATATTGTTACATTCAACTTTCCCACCCTTTCATCGTCATTTTGGCAGCATCTTGGCCTGAAGGAATAGACTTGCAGGATGAAAAATTATGCCTTCAAGAATTTACTTTTTGTCTGGTAATATTCTGAAGACATGAATGGCAGGAACTTGCAGGTGCCAACTTGCTGAATTTGATTGTTTATGGAATTTGTGTTAGATTATTCATGTTACAGTTCTACTATCTCCCACCACACTCCCATTCACAAAGGAATTTTTGTCTGGAGATATTCAGTAGACACAAATCACAAGAATGAAGATTCTGACTAACAATTCAGACAATGATTCCTTCATGGAATGATCTGGGATTATTGTGATATTTCTTTTATTTCTCTTCTGTTGACTGAGAGATGTCCTCCTCTTTCATCCCCAAAACACAATAAACAATCCAGCAGAAGTAGACACTAATATTTTTGAAGACGCCGAACCGTACGTTTCTGATTTTAAAAAAGAAAAAAACGGGCTATAAATTTGTATAAATCAGTGGATTAAGTAACATATTTTCTACCTTAAATAAATGTTGTATAGGATTTCATTATTTCAATTTGAATGTGCAAAGAAAATTCATGTAGGACAAATAGCTTCAGATTCCACTGCATTGACTAAATCTCTTTCTTATGAAAAGAAATATACAGACACATGAAAAAATATTGCCAAATTTTATAACCCTTTTTGAGATAAATAGCTTTGTTAAATTATTTCCCAATTTTCTTCCTACATTTCAACTTATTGAAATTAGAAAAATACAGACTGTCACATTGATTATATGACAATCTTATATAATTTCCTTCATAAAGAAAATGTTCAGTTACACCTTTGACCACAAGCAATAGGTTTATGTCGTGTTTGCGATAAACTAATTTCCAGTTTACCCTTAAAAGATGTATGGATATGTCAGTATTAATGGGACAGGCTATTGATAATATAGAATTAGAAGTGTATGTCCGCAACTAAATTGATGAGATTAAAAAGTGTATACATGTATGTATCCACATTGAGACAGATATATGTATTCTTTTATACCTGATACATATCTCATTTAGCTGCGATATTTATTATCCGAGAAGAGATTTCAGAAAAAAATGGTTTCTAGTCTCTGATTGTGACGAAAACTGTGTTTCTTCATGTAAATGACTTGAGTTTAGATTTCATTCCATGTCCTGTCCTCAAAAATGAAGTATAGTGGAGATGTTAAACCCCTTTCATTTCATTCAATATTTATCATTGCAAAATAAATAAAATAGCTTGCTATGTAACATGATTGTTTAAATTGTATTAATGTCCTGACTTACATGTGGTTATATATTGTAAGAGTGGGAATGCCATGTATCGGTTCTAGAATGAGACACTTTATATAAAGAGATGTGTATTGTTCTAGATTGACTGCCAAATGATTCAGAAATGACTGCATTGTTTAGTCGCTGAATTCTGTTTGAAAACAGAGAAGTAATGAAGGTGGTAGATTACAGTACAAACATAGAAGAATAGTTATCTTTCAATTGCTTTAAACCCTTGAGTGATGAAATAACATTTGTTGACCGTGTGTGTTCTCTAAGACCCCGACACTCCCCATGTTTAACATTCACAGAAAAATGTTCAGGAGATTTATTTTGGTTCTCAAGAAATTAAATATTTATGTCATCTGGCTTGCATTGAATTACATTTTGGTGTTTGATATTTAAACTATGTCCTTCAAATCCTATGCAGATGGGTGGACATCTTAACCACTTGAGTAGCTTGAAACGAAAACCTGGAAAGTAGACAAAAATGTCAACTTTGAGCAGGCATAATAGTTTGATAAATCTTCATATAACTTGAGGTTTATATTAGACGATGAATCAAGGATGCTGCACATGTTATTATCACAGTTCAGATTATTGTCTGAGATGAAGTTGGTGTCGACTGTCTAGAACATGCATCTCATATTAAACAGTACATGTACTGTCTGTCTAGCAAAGATCAAGGACACAGTTCAAGCAGTGTTGGCTCCATACACCATTTTTGGCCTAAGAGGTACAAACCATAAAGGATGTGCCTTCTCTTGCCAGAACACCTTATACCATTTGCTTGCAAAGAGAGGACCTGTTGCACTTGGTACAAAGTTCATGTAGATAGCAGCTGTGGATTAACTTTGACATTTGTCTGTATTTTATTATGCAGTTTTTCTACATTGACTATTAGTTTTTAAGAAACATCCCAGTACATGACAAAAACATTTGGTGAAAATATAACTTGGCAAAGGGAATACTTGATGCAATGCAATAGGTTATGTAATCTCTCGAATATTGTATTTGTCTGTTTAATATCAAGTAAGTATGACATCTTTTACCTGAGATTAAAGGTGTGGTATAAGTGATAAGTCTGTGAACAGGTAAAGGTGTATTGTATCATGTTTAGAGTAAGAACATGGCTGGTGATAAGGTACCAGATGGTGTATGTTGTAATGATAGCTACAGCTGTATTGTATCTTATAACTAAGACTAAACATCTAACATAACAGTATATAACTTTATCTTCTATATAACTTACATGTCTGAGCTTCCTCTAATTGGCTACTTTCAATCTGTTTGTTTACAAAAAATAAAGATTTACCTGTCACAATAAGCAAAAAGGTAAAAGGTAAAAAAAGAAAAGGGAAGTATTCCATGTAATTAGTGAATGTAATCAGTAAGGCCTGTACAGAGTGTTTCTTACATTTCCTAAAACACTCTAAATTAAAGGTCTGCAAGTCCGCAATTCTCAATATATATATATGTGGTTTACAAGTTTAGTGTGGCAACACCTATCTTTCCCAGAACTCTAGGTGTACAAGTGTACTAGCTGGTGATGACTGTCATCTTTGCCAAACACTAGATCCACATGTTTACCATGATACCTCTTGCACATTCATTCCAAAACAAAAGGTTTGCATCCTGCTTGGCACATCTTGTCAAACAACTGCTGGGTACCTCTTATCATTCATAAAAGTCTACTGTCTGATTGGTACCTCTTATTATTCCCATAACAATGTCTACAGTCTGCTTGCTACCTCTTTTCATTCCCATAACACTAAGCTCAGAGTTAAGCTCAAAATAAAGTCCGGTCAGTGCTTGTAAAATTCCTCGAAATCGAGACATTCTGCATGTTACCTCTTATCATGCCCATAACACCAAGTCTGCAGCCTACTTATCTTTTACCATTACGTAACACTATGTCTACAGTCTGTTTGCTACCTCTTATCAATCCCATAACACTAACTTTACAGTCTGATTGCTATATCTCTTATCAATCCCATAACACTAAGTCTACAGTCTGATTGCTATCTCTTATCAATCCCATAACACTAACTCTACAGTCAGATTGCTATCTCTCTTATCAATCCTGTAACACTATGTCTACAATCTGTTTGCTGCCTCTCTCTTATCATTCTCATAACACTAACTGTACAGTCTGATTGCTATCTCTTATCAATCCCATAACACTATGTCTACAGTCTGATTGCTATCTCTTATCAATCCCATAACACTAAGTCTACAGTCTGATTGATATCTCTCTTATCATTCCCATGACAATAAATCTACAGTCTGCGTGTTACCTCTAATCATTCCCATAATACTAAATCTACAGTCTGTGTGCTACCTCTCATCATTCCCGTAACACTTAAGTCTACAGTATGCTTTGTAGTTGCTACTGCTTATCATTCCCATAACACTAAACCCAGAGTTAAGCTCAAAATAAAGTCTTGTCAATGTTTAAAAACAGTTTGTAAGATTCCTAGAAATCGAGACATGGTGGGTACTTTTAGTATTACTATTGTATGATCTTACTTAAAAGTTTTTCAAGTACTTAAGGGTTCATTTATTAAAAGACGAAATTGTACCTCTATAAAGAATGATGGGGCCCTTCAAGATTTATGAACTATGTGGAAAATGTCCAAGAGGAGTGAAGTATAATGAAGATGAGATAGCTAAACTTAGATTAAAATCACACAATAAGAATAAAATAACACTAAGATTTCTGGTTCTGCTTAACTAAATAACTTGAAAGATGAAAGCTCTGGTAATTTGAATATTAAAGCAGCTCTCTGTTCTTTTGATATAAAGATGATGCTAATCTCATCTCAACTGTCCCTTGATGTTTGAGCTGATGTGTTATCAGAGCACCCTGTTCATTTAAAATGCATGAAATGAGAATACAAGGCAAAACAAGCTTATGTTTGTCCCATCATATTATATCTGGAATTTGTAAAAGTTATAAAACCGGAACAGGGTTTACCAAGTACGATAAATGTGATTTTATTAAAAAAAAAAAATAAAAAAAATGATGAAACAAATTTGATATTCTCTAAAAAAATGAATTTTTCCACTAATTTGACATCCAAATCTTACAAAATTTCTTTGTTTAATCCATGGAATCATTTTTCTGAAATTGATGAATTGCTTCAGTTGTATCTATAGTACAACTACAAGTAAAAATATGTTGCTATAACCATCTACATTTCCGTCATAAACTGAGAAGTGGTATCAGATATTCTAGAAAGTAAGCATATGCTATCTCATCACTACTTATAGCTAAATGATTGATGGTTTGTACCATGATTATTATTCAAGTCCCTTTTGGATTTTCTCCGGGTTATCCGGTTTCCTCCCACTGCTAAAGACCCTTATGCGCAAGCGAATTATGGAAATAAAAATGAACCATATGTTAGTCCAGAAATGACCTAGTTTGTGTGGAGTGGTGTGAAATCCCATCTCTCTCTCTCTCTCTCTCTCTCTCTCTCTCTTATTCATCTATTGCATATGTTTACAGTAAGTGAAGAAAATATTTTTGATGTATGGAGGAATTTATAACTGAGTTTATGCACTGACTGTGTAATACATTTCAAAATGTTATCATGTGCCCACATAAAAAGAATTCATAACTTTTTTTTTTTTTAACTTAAACTTAAAAAAACCCAAAAAGCTTTATTCTTTGATAATGTTTTTGAGTGAAAATAAATACATAATTATTACCTTGGAATGTTAAATAATGTTACAAGTGTCAAGGGTTATTGCACTATTCTCACACTAAATTATGAGCAGTGTTTAGTTAGTGCAAAAGGTTCTATACTGTTTTATTTTTGTACATAAAAATAACATTTTGGAAGATAATAAATAGTAATGAAATAAAGTTATTGCACAGAACCAAAGTTTAGTGCAGAATTGATATTTTCTCAACAGATTTCCCTTACTACCAGTATACTACCCGTATATGGAATTGTCCCAGAATTCTGACTACATGGACATGCTCAGCAGCTCTAGTCCTTACATACAGTATCTTTATGAGTCCTATATCTATTTAATAATTATATTTTTCAGAGATCTTTCCAACAACAAGATCGGAACGATCAACAGTTCCATGTTTACAGGATTACCAAAGTTAGAGAAACTGTAAGTTCACTGTTTATTATTTTAATTTATTTCAGATATTGTATAACATTAAATTTCAACTGCAAAGATATACAATTTAAACTAGAGAAAGACTACTAATAGAAACACTATTTATCACTTTATTAAATAATATCAATAGATCAAGAGTTTCGAGACCCATGTCAGTTAATTTGTACATAATTTCAAACAATATAAAGAGAGGAAATTTTTTTCCAATTCATGTTGATACATTAACAGAATAATAAAAAGAAAACTGTACAATTTGCATGATCTTAAAAACAAATTTTATAATACATCTTTCTTTTTTTATAGAGAATTTTGATTAAAATTACACTCAGTACACTGAGGATGTTCAGTTATAATTTAAAATTATTCTGATCATGAGTGTCATAATAAAATCTAGGTTAAATCTCTCTTCTGCTTAAAGAGGCGAACACATTAATATTAATAAAGTATGGGATTGGATAATTTCCACTAACCTAAATTTAAAACTAGGATTTTATTAGTTTTGTAAAATGACAATGTGTGTTCGTTCAAAATTTTACATGATTAGATTAGGCGAAACATATTGTTAATTGTTTTAGTAAAAAATGAACCGAAACATATTTAACAAATGTGTTGTTAATTTTTGGAAATAAAAATTTAATCATATAAAGCCTGCCCCATCTAATTGAAATAACACATCCGTTCTACCCAAGTCAGTATTTTACTTTCATCAAAATCATACAGGAATATACCATAATGGACAGTGCAGTCCAACTGCTATACAAAATATAGAATGTGGTAGCAAACCCCTTTATTATGATGTAACAGAAAAAGTTGAACCTGAATATCTAGATGAATAAAATGATTAACTACATAATATGCCAATGTATGTAAGATATGTTACTTTTAAACCTGAGGTTCTAATTAAGTAAAACATTGATTATAGGATTTAAATTACCACGTAAATATAAATTTGTTTTGTGAAACAATAAATGGCTTTTTAATGTAACAACAAATTTCGGGAGAAATCTTTCTTTATGCCATTATGGCTGACACTTATGGAAATTTAAGTTATCACGCAATACATCCAGGGAAGATAAAAATATTAATATTATATTATGCAAACTGTTTGACAAATTGCTTTTTAATCAAGAATATGTTGAGTCAATTGTCCCCAAATCCCCAAGATAATCTTGAAAACAATCTAAATTAAATGCTTTCATTTATTGTTTGTCTCAAGAAAGAGAATGTCTAAATGGATCTTTAAAAGACTGATAGAATTGTTATCTGAGGTGAACTTTCCTAATGGAAAAAAAAAGAAAAAATTCTTTGTGTGTAACTTTTAGATGAAATCTTTTTTAAAATGAGTAAAACACGAGAAGTATCATATATTTTTACAGATAATTATTTCCATTCATTGAATTAACTAAGTCATAGAAATTTGGATGATTTCCAATTTGATTATACCTTACAGTACTAGAGGAGTTTGAAGTTAAACCCTAATCTTGTTTTTCTAAATGTTTTTGGAGCTTTTAATCATAATCCTAAATGATGTATTTTTGGAATTTTTCTCTGGGATTCTTGTTATGATATAAAAGCAATGTGTTTGGCAGTTTTTCTTCACTTAATTTACAGTTAACAAAATTGTATTTGTTAAAAGATTTATCTTGAAATAAACAAAGAAAAAATGAGTTAGAAAACCGGACTGAATCTTATTATGGAGTGATTCATAGTCAAGGGATTAAGACTGATGAGCCATTTGCAATCGATAATTTAATTGGCCAAATGTAAACTGTGCATTTGCAACATGTAATTCAATTGGGCCAAGTGCAAACTGAATAATTGTAAGGGAGAATTTAATTGGCTTATTGTAGATTGATCAATCAGTTTGAAAGATTTACGAGATTAAATTAAAATTGGTGAAACGTGGCATGTGTCATTTATCATCCCCTGGATTTCAAAATTCATGAAATTTGTTTTTAATGATGTAAATATTTTCTTTCATCTGGTGTTTTATTTGGATACGGTATTAATTTCAAGTCTGTTTGCTCAGGTTAAGATTTAATCATGATTAAAAGTCAGAAGAGTTACACATGTATGTCTTAGAAAAAAGTAGAACTTTTAACAATCAATACACTTTGTAAGATAGACCACCTCCCATTCTGTATTTAAAATGTTGTCTTCTGTAACTTACAGGTTACGTTCCATTATTGTGTAGGTTTTTTCGATTTTTCTTTAGTTGTTGTGTAAGGTACAGTCCTCCTGCTCTTGGAAACAATGTACATATCTATATGAAAACATCATCAGAAAATATGTACATTTATAGATGTGCACAAATTCAAGGCACCATAATACACTGTAAAGAGTTAGGTTTTTATTTTGAACTTGAGATTTTCTGGAATGGAATGTTCCATGACAACAAATTATACAAAACAGGCACTATGTGAACAAACGATCTGTATCCAGCTGATTTATGTTTTAGAACGGAGTACAAGTCCTAATTGTAGAAGTTATTTTAGATAAGGAGGCTCTTTTCTATGTAAACACTAGGAGGTATATTCTTAATTTGATTACTTTTTTAATAACGAAATTGGTAGTGCAATTAGCTGTTGGAATTCATAGAAGAGTGGACAGGAAGTCACTACCTGGGTAAAATTGTCCCCCTCACAAATTACTCAATATATGTTTATCGAAAAAAGATATAGGTAAAGTGTTAAAGAGATTTTAAAGCTCCATATAACAAACTTTAAAGGATAAAATCTAATTCTGATTGGCAGGCTTCATTGTTAGTTGATTTACAATCTAAATATTATTTGTGTGCAGATTAGGGTTATCTGTCGGAAAAAAACCCCTTACATAGCCATAGAATGCAATGCATATCATTGCTCTAGGAATATTGTTTGCTCTTCGTATTAAAGAATCGAATACTAGAATTTTTAAAACTGAAGCTTTCATAGAATTCATCTATCAATGTCACACATGATTGTTTACATAGATTATGCATTTTATCTGCATTATATCTCGCATCTTATGTAATTGATTAATTAAACAACAGTTGAATAGATTTTTATAAACTAATATTTACTTATTTATTTACAGATCGTTAGCTGACAACAGAATCAACACCATACCTGAAGGAACGTTTAACGATTTAACGTCTTTACGAAGAGTGTGAGTATTATTGACATTACATGTTCACAACAATAGATTATTATCATGTCAGCATCATTATCAATATAATCATACACTGACAACAATCTGACACGCATTTACAGCTTTTACTAAAAATATTTTTAATTTAATAATTGTTGAGTGTTCATTGTAAATTGTTTGATTAAATGTGACAATCATTATATGGATTTATGCTGCTCAAATAAAAAATTTATGAACGTTCGAAAATAAATGGATTAAAATTATATCATGGATATAAAACTGCCGATGAGAAATTTCTTTGTATGCCAGATTTTATTAAAGGAATAATTCCTTTACAAAAGCATGAATAATGAATGCAAAAAAATATGCTTCATATGCAAGCATATTTAAAGATTCAAACATAAGTCAGTAATTAATTAATTGCATTGCTTTTTATATGCCCACATTGAAATGTGGACGTATATTGCCGTCGCCCCCGTCCGTCCGTCTGTCGGTCCGTCCGTCCGTCCGTCCATCGTCCACAATTTCTTGTGAACGCTCTAACGCCAAAAGTTATCATCCAATTGTTTTAAAATTGATATATGTTGTTTACATTAGTGAGATGAAGAAGCCTATTTAATTTTAACAATTTCCGTTTATTATGTCTAGAGTTATGGCCCTTGTTTCACTTTGTTGAACCTTGTGAACGCTCTAACGCCAAAAATTATCATCCGATCTTTCTGAAATTTATATGCATTATTTAGATTACTGAAACGAAGAAGCCTATTGAATTTCAACAATTTCTGTTTATTACGTCTAGAGTTATGGCCCTTGTTTCACTTTATTGAACCTTGTGAACGCTCTAACTCCCAAAGTTATCGTCCAATCTTTCTGAAATTTACATGCATTATTTAAACTGGTGAAACGAAGAAGCGTATTGAATTTCAGCAATTTCCGTTTATTATGTCTAGAGTTATGGCCCTTGTTTCACTTTATTGAACCTTGTGAACGCTCCAATGTCAAAAGTTATCATCCGATCTTTCTGAAATTTATATGCATTATTTAGGTTAGTGAAGCGAAGAAGCCTATTGAATTTCAGCAATTTCAATTTATTACGTCTAGAGTTTTGGTCCTTGTTTCACTTTATTGATCCTTGTGAACGCTACAACGCCAAAAGTTATCATTCGATCTTTGTTAAATTTATATGCATTATTTAGATTAGTGAAACGGAGAAGCCTATTGAATTTCAGCCATTTCAGTTTATTACGTCTAGAGTTATGGCCCTTGTTTCACTTTATTGATCCTTGTGAATGCTCTAACGCAAAAAGTTATCACCCGATCTTTGTGAAATTTATATGCATGATTTAAATTAGCGAAACAAAAAAGCTTATTGAATTTCAGCAATTTACATTAATTACTTCTAGAGTTATTGTCCTTGTTTCACTTTGTTTAACCTTGATAATGCTCGATGATGATAGTTATCATCAGATATGTATGAAATTTATATGCATCATTTAAATTTGTGAAACAGGTCTATTGAATATCAGCAATTTCCGTCAATAATTTCTAGAGTTATGGTGATTGTGAACGTTTGAATGACAAAAGTGATCATGTGATCTTTATGAAATTTATATGCATTATTTAAATTAGTAAAACGAAAAAGCCTGTCAAATTTCAACAATTTCTGTAGATTACTTCCAGAGTTGAGACCCTTTTTTCAGTTTGTAGAACCTTGTAAACCCTCAAACGACAAAATTTATAATCTGATCTGTATGGAACTGTCTTGTAAAGACCCCCAATTACGTACAAAGGAATAAATATGCGACAACCCTTGACGACCGCTGGGACGATTTAGCTGCTGTGGGGGTATGTTTTGTTGCCTGGCAACCTATCTTTACAATAAATTAATAAAGAAAAAGAATATAGTGCACAAAGCGAGCTGAAATAAAATAAGAAAACAAGAAAAAATATAGTGCACGATAAAATAAAGAAAAATAGTGTACAAATTGAACTAATAAAACAAGAAAATACTATACAATTTAAAACAAACTAATGATAGAAACATAAAAAGTCTGCACCAAGTCAACTAATCCAATAAAGTTTTACATTTATCGTACTTGCTAATTTTTTTTTTTTTAGTGACTTTGGATCAGATTTTCTACGATGTGATTGTCATTTACGATGGATGGTAAAATGGTCTAAAAGTAAACAAGTGCGAATCCCATCATCAACAGTTTGTGCCTTGCCAAAAGCAATGAAAGGAAGAATATTTAGTAAATTAAAAAAAGTGGATCTTCACTGTGGTAAGTAAATTCTATTTCTAATGATTAATACATGACTAATAATGAATTGAAAATATCTGGCAGTAATGACATAAAGGAAGTAATGGGGTTTAACATGTATTCAATTAGGTAATTTTAGTACATCTTGATTTTGTTTTAATGCATAGGCTTAAACTATTATTAATTAACAAGCAGGCCATTGCTCTCAATTAGGTTTTACTATATGGATTTCCTCTGAACTTAAAAAGAAGCCAAACCAAAGCTGTTTTATACTTTCTCATTAAAATACAAAATTACACTTGCAATACAATTTTAGTGATAAGTCCCCAAATGCCTGTATAGCTACATGTATGTCTTCTGTATACTTGCATAAGTTATAGTGGTAAGACTAAGTGTGCATCGATATTACCCAGTTACTTGTGTACAATTCAACAGTGGAATTTTTTAAATAAGTGACCTCATTAAACAAATCTAGCGATTACTTTTTATGCAAACTATTTTGAAGTCTGGATGCATCATTTTAGAGGCGGGTTGGATGGCTGAATGGTTAGCGTGCGCACGCTGTATCATAAAGTCTGTCATTGAGTCGACTGGCGTGGTTTCGAATCCCCGGTTGTACGTGACAAGGAGTAGGGTCGCCTGTCCAACCTCATGGGTTTTCCCCGGGTCCTCCGGTTTCCTCCCACTGCTAAAGACCCCTACGCGCAAGCGAATTAATGAAATAAAATTAACCATATGTTAGTCCCGAAATGACCTAGTTTGTGTCGAGTGGACGTTAAACCCCATTTCTCTCTCTCTCTCTCTTGCATCATTTTAGTGCTATAGGAATCACTTGCAAACTACAATGTTTATTGTGAAAGTTGAATCTCAACAAATAGGAATATCAATCAAAAATGGTTCAATTCAGTATTTACAAAGTTATGATCAATTGAAATTTGATTGATCTGTGCTGCTTACTATAACAAGTCGTAGCCTCCACATTTTATTGGATAGTGCAGAAATCTGTTTGGCATAAACCGAGAGAAATTTGATGTTTTAACAAAAATTCAAAAGACGCATCAAGCTTTTGATTATACTTTTATTTCCGAGTTCACTGCAGTTATGACTTATATGACAAAAAGTACCACTTACAATAGAATTATGTAATTGATAATATTGTCAATTATTTCTTTTACAGATCATGATTTACAGCTTCCATATTTTGAAATTACTCCAAGTCACAGTCAGGTTGTATTTGAAGGAGATAAACTTCCATTTGAGTGTAGTGCTTCCGTTCTTCATAGTAGAACTAACATCACATGGTTGCGAGGAACGATTCCTGTCACATCCAATAAAACGGCTGGAATTTTCGTGCATACCCAGTATACTCCAGACAAAACCAGGATAACTCACTCTTTGGCCATCAAAAATCTGGACAAATCGCACAGTGGACAGTGGTATTGTCAGGTGTCAACGCCTCAAGGAAAAGTTTCCCAAGGAGTAAATATTAGTGTCATATCTAATCAGGCTGTGTATTGTCCAGAGGTCATCAAGGTTACAAACAAGGGGAACTACTCTTGGGAGAAAACTGTTGCTGGTATCGAGGTCAGTCAGCCATGTAAATCACCAAAAACAAAGTTAGCGAAATATCAGTGTAATAGATTTGGATATTGGGAAGATTTGGACGTATCCCAGTGTTCGTATATGAGTGAAATGACCAGACAACTAGAAAGATTAGCCTCAGTAAGTTCAATATAAAGAATTATTTTATGGCAGAAATAATTTAAATTCATCAGTACTACAATTTGCAAATGTTTGTTTATAACTTGAACGCCTCAAATGTATGATGCCTAATTCAATCCAATTGTTTTCAACAATGAGTTAAGATTTCATCTAATATTACTAGAAATTTCTTATCCGATTGTTAACATTTACAATAAGTCCTCACTATAGTGTGCGTCGCTATAACATTGGTGTATGTACAGTGTTATTGTGAAGCAAAGACACTGTATATTCAAATTAATTACATAATGGTTTTTGTGATGGATAAATCTGAAAGGTCATTAACCTGATGTTCTTACTTCTAAAATTGGTTGAAACTACAACTTTTACTGATTTATATAAGACATTTTTCTTGTTTTGGTATAGCGTATCCGCTAAATAAAATACTGGTTGAATCAAATTTACATAAGATTATATATAACCCAAATCATTGAAAAAAGAATAGAATTTTATGAGTTAATTGAATCAACATTTATATTCAGATGTATTTGTTTTTTGTTATTTATTGGTAAAAATGATTTATGTAAATATTGTTGAAAAAAGAATATGAAAAATTTATTCATGGATCTATCTATGTAATTATTTTTTTTTTTTTTTTCTAGGTTGATTTTAATACTACTGATATCTATGATTACTTAGCCGATCTTGAGAAAATCTTCACAATTCCCAAACCTAGAATTTTTGGGGTAATGGATGTTGTCTTCCTGGCAAGAATAGTAGAAAAACTACAAGATCATTTATCTGTCAGTTCAGAGGTAAATTTAATAATAAAAAAAAAATATACACACAATGTTCTTAAAGTTTTGATAAAATATAATAAATATTCAGACATTCTAATCAGGATTTTCTAGCCTCGTTTCCCCTTCTCAGTGGTACAGAATGTATGGCCTGGCAGAAAGAAATAATCTAGTCGTTCAGATTGGATGAAAAACCCATGTCCACTCGTTGTCGTGCATGTGATAGAACTCTTGGAAGTTGATAAAGAGTAGGCAGAAATGCCGTTGTCTGGGCAAAATTTGCCTCATTGCCCACTTCGTGATGTATGCCAGTTAGTGCTGGCATGATATATCGATGTATCACAATTCACATTCTCATAATTCGTGGAAAGCTCAATCGATGTATTGCGACTCTTTTTATATGATTTTTTGTCGCTTCAGTAAGTAAGCTGTCACTCTTAATTATCCACATCACACATTATCCATAGGTACTTAAACACTCTTAAATTCTTTTGGTACTTCAATATGATATCATCGTGATAAAAATTATCGCGAGTTTTATTTTTTCGACATCGACAGGACTAAAAATATCTATTATTCATTTATCCTGTTGTTTTCTTGGTAAATATTGACCTGGTTTATGAATCATGATACGAATTGTATCGTAGCACCTGAATCACAGTACGTCTCATATTGTGACTCTAGTGGCAATATCTAGCACTAGTACATGTATGCCTGTTTTTTTTAGCTTGTATTTCATATCATAAAATTTAAATTCGTATATATTGGTATTTGTTTTTTTATAGATATCTCAGATTATAGTGAGTAAAGTGAGTAGTATCAGTTCATTAGAAACTTCTGTTTTACGTAGTGCTCAATTACAAGAACAAGCTTCTACCAGGTAATTTATCATTTTATATCTAGATAATTCCTAAATATAAAATCTCTACGACACGGTCCTATACGTTCACTCCAGAGCATTTGCTTCAAAAGATTGAGAGCTTGTGACTTCTTGACTTATTTTGTTAAGTTCAGCTGATTTGGAAGAAATTTTGCTCAAAGATATGACTATTTTTTTTCTAGCATTATCTCCTTTCCATTAATATATTTTACTCATTAAAACTATGAATTTAACTGTATTTTTTGAGTCTGAAAGTGAAATTCCCTGCAAATATTACTCAAACCACAGAGCTCTACTTCATTCAGTTGATCTTGTTGTACACATTGAAAGATTTAAGACAAATTGGAATATAGGGGACATTAATCAGTAGTTGCCATGATTCATGGGAAAGGTTTTCTTGGGCTATCAAATTTTAAAGATTTAAAGAATGAGTTCTTGAAATATTCCTTTCTCAGTGTATGGTCTCTGCTTTATTTATCTTTGTCAGTGTATAATTCCTGCTTTTATTTATCTTTGTCAGTGTATAATCCCTGCTTTTATTTATCTTTGTCAGTGTATAATCCCTGCTTTTATTTATCTTTTCAGGTTTGTTCGTGTTCTACAGAATATTTCTAATATGGTGGAGATTGAACCACCAAATAAGGAATGGTCCAAATATTCACGGAACATTGCCATCATGGTGTTACAGGAACCACGAGCAAATCCATCGCGTATACAATGTAGTCTGCGAAAGTTAAGAAACATCAAAAAACGTAAAAATAACACCAACAATCCATTTGCATGCAGTCGTCTTAGTAATGATACAGAAATTCCTCTTAAACCAGAGAAGGTGAGATAACTTTGTGTTAAAATGATTGATAGTACAAAATAAACTTGATGTACTATATCACAGTTTTCTTCTAGATACACTGTCCACATCATCCTTCCTTATGTGGAAGTGTATGTATAGTACAGCCACTTCACAAACATATATAATACCAAGAAGAGTGAGGTCATTGTGTGTCATTTTACAGGTGGATTTGACCACAAAACCAGGTTTGACATTAGAATTGTCATTCTTTAAAAAAATAAATTGTTGAATAAAATAACAAACAGAAATTTAGAAGACAAACCTGCAGATAAGGCACAGATATTACAAGTAAAAAAGAATAAAGTGAATTAGAGGTTAAATTCTAGAGTCAGATATTTGAAATATGTTTTATTCTCCTTTCTTTTAGAATTCCAAGCTGTCTGTCATACTACCTCCAACTTTATTTAACGATGCTGGTCTGTATTATGAAGAATCACCAAAAATACAAATCATTGTTTATCGTGATGGTTCTCTCTTCCCATCAACTACTTCTCTACGCGGTGATCCAGTGTTTGGTGACAAGAATTGGTCAGTGGCATCAAATGTGGTAACTGTTTCTGTTGGTAAGTTATATCAAATTTAACAGCACACTCAGATTTTACAGTTAATAATCATTTAATATTTTATTAGCTTGCATAATTCATTTTTGCTCCAAAACTTTTTCATTTGTTTGTTTAATAATTACAATGTTTGTATTTTAATTTAATTTAAACAGAATAATAAATTGATATTGCTACCTTATAAACTGATATAAATGTAAAACATGTCATTGATCAGTCGTAGGTATAATTTCACAGTACATTTTACCCAAATTGAACACCAGACTTTGTATTTTTACGCATTGGCCAAGAAAGATCCTCAGAATTTTCTAGTCTGATTTCCTTTGTCAATGGTGCAGGACACACAGGGCCTGGCAAGGAAATTTATTGTTTGAATGTGACAAAAACAAGGTTCTTTCATTTTCTTGAAAGTTGGAGTTAATTTGCTAGAGGCAAAATCTATGGACAGGTGATATGATTTCTTGTATTAATTTATGGTTCCTGATTTATTTGTTGTTTCCATGTGTTTATTTTTATTTCAGGTCATCCTGTATTAAATTTATCTGAACCAGCTATTCTGTATTTTGAAGTTGCTCGTACTAGAAAACCTCTGGCAGCAGCTTACTGGGATTTTGATGCTAATGGTAAGAATTAATAGTTCATATTTACCAAAATCTGTCAAGAATATTAAGATTTACTATTATTTCCAGTGTTTCCTACTATCTGTAAAGTTAATATGAAAAATTCTTAAATGAGTTAATGCATGATTAGCCTTATTTAACTATTTAATGATACTGGGGATATTATGACAGTTTATTATCTTCAGCATATAGTGGTTTAATTTGTCTATTCTGTAAACAAATGCAAAGCTCTCTAAGGCGCTTCTATCTGTGGTCGCCAGTTAGTATTTATTATGATGTTGACCATCATTTATACTATTTATTTTATCAGGTGGATTAGGTGATTGGAGAAGTGATGGATGTGATATTATTTCTACAGTAGGAAATCTAACAACTGTATATTGTTATCATCTAGCTACTTTTACTTTACTACAGGTAAATTACACTACTTTCACTTTACTATAGGTATATCATTCTACTTTTAATTTATGTTTGGAAATTCATTTGGAATTTGTTGTAGTCCTATGTGATCCTTTTTAAAAAAAATTACCATGAGCTGTTTGAATTAAGAGGTGTTACACTCTTTGAATGTGATTGTTTGATGGCATATTTTGATTGTATTTTGGATATAATTTTTCTAGGCCAATATTTGATTGTTTTTGTATGACCATCACCTCTGTTTTCCATTGCTAATCTTCCTCGTTAACAAAACAGAGGCTACAATAATCCATATATGTTTTTGTCCTCCACCTTTAGAAGAAAGCAGGGGACTATGTTTTAATAATTGTGATAAATGTTTTACAGGATGATACTGAATATATTATTAGAGAATCATTTGTAATGGAACCTGTTATTTATGTAGGAAGTTGTCTGTGTATGTTATGTATGATGGTTGTCATTATAACTTACATCACATGTTTTAGGTAAGATTATAACTTACATCACATGTTTTATGTTAGATTATCACTTGTTTTAGGTAAGATTATAACTTACATCACATGTTTTAGGTTAGATTATAACTTACATCACATGTTTTAGGTAAGATTATAACTTATATCAGATGTTTTATAACATACATCACTTGTTTTAGGTAAGATTATAACTTACATCACATGTTTTAGGTTAGATTATAACTTACATCACATGTTTTAGGTAAGATTATAACTTACATCACGTTTTATAACATATATCACATGTTTTATAACATATATCACATGTTTTATAACATATATCACATGTTTTAGGGAAGATTATAACTTACATCACATGATTTATGTAAGATTATAACTTACATCACATGTTTTATGTTAGATTATCACTTGTTTTATGTAAGATTATAACTTACATCACATGTTTTAGTTAAGATTATAACTTATATCACATGTTTTAGGTAATGCTATTTTGCAATAAATCAAAATAGCTATACATGCTTGTAAAATATAAATTACAAAATTGTTACCACGTAGATAATGTGTCTTCTCTTGACAGCAATTGTCGTAAACTGAAATATTTTTATGCTTAAAATACATAAATAGCATATAACTTGATGGAGGAAATATTAAGCAGTTTTCCATCATAATGTACAAACATGTATAGCATATTGCCCAGGTTCTTATACTGCTGAAATTTGATAACCCTAAATGAACTTTCAGAAAATAAAATAATTGATGAACTTGTTATATTTTTCAGAGTAATCTATATACCAAAGAAGTTAAAACACTCTGTTATAAATATATGTATTAGTGTACATCTATTAATCGTGGCCTTTACCCTGGGTATAAATCGTACTGATCTAGAATTAGCATGTCAAATAGCTGGTATATGTATACATTATCTAACATTATGTGCAGTCTTCTGGATAACCATTACTTCCAAGTAAGTCACTGTCTTTTATACTACTTATAAAAAATAAATTCTTTGTCATCAGTGAACCCAACTTTTCACATCGATCATATGATGATAAATCTCAGTGCTTTAGATTAAAACAGTTCTTTACCTACATTTTTATACTTATAATGTGCTTTGATTTAACTCAAACATTAATAGACTGAATTCATCTCAGTTGTCGTTGAGTTGACAGTACACATTTCAGTGCTTTAAATTAAAACAGTTTCCCCACCTAATTTACAGCGCTTATTGTATGATGTGACTCGAGTCAAACATTGAACAACCCATTGAGGGTTTCGAGCAGTTTTGATGAAAATAAATTTGTCCACATGAATTCATGTCGGTCGTCGGTAGTAGTCTATTCAGTAGACATTTTTTTTTTTTTTTTTTTTCAAGCTTCCAATGTAGCACCTCTTATCTTTTTGATATATGCATTTACAAAATAATAAAGTCCTAAAAAATTATATTTTTTGACTTTCATTTATATGTATATTAACTATATTTTACAGCAATATGTATAAAAAGTTTACCAAAGCTGAAAAACCACCTGAACCACCCCCGGAACTGATCAACATGCCCCTCCCCCCGAAACCTATTTTACGATTTTATTTCTTGGGGTGGGGTGTGCCTATTATAATATGTGGAATTACGGCAGCAGTTAATTTTAATCATTATTTAGGAATTGATTAGTAAGTTATACTTTTATCTTTATATTGTACATATGACTAATTATTAACACTGTCTAATAGAGACTACATTTTTGGGACAATATATAATTTTTCACAGCTGAATAAATGTTAAACTTGTACTCATTAATTATTTAAAATCAAATTAAGATCAAATCAAGATTAATGATAAGTAATATCCAGGCTTGAAGGCAGGTTGGATGGCCGAATGGTTAGCACGTTTGCGCTGTATCATAAGGCCTATCATTGAGTCAACTGGCGTGGTTTCGAATACCAGGTTGTACGTGACAAGGAGTAGGGTTTTCTCCGGGTCCTCCGGTTTCCTGCCACTGCTAAAGACCCCTATGCGCAAGCGAATTATTGAAATAAAATTAAACCATATGTTAGTCCCGAAATGGCCTAGTTTGTGTTAAACCCCATCTCTCTCTCTCTCTCTCTCTCTCTCTCCCTCTCCCCAGGCTTGAATGCAATTTGATTTAAAAAAACAACAAAACATCCACATGATTTTACCCAATGCATAGGTGGCAATGGATTATTCGTCTGCAGAGGATGGAGAATGATGCAAAATTTTCAATTCATAACATCTTGATAACTACTGTAACAATTGTTTAACAGATTTTCCTATTAGAGACTCGACTTTCACAATATTGCACTCTGCTAGAGATTTATAATCCCTCAAATTACACTCAGCAACTTGAAATATTTTCTCAGATATGATGTTGAAAACCTTTTAATTGCTATTTTTTCTTATTCTTTTTTTTTTCCAGTTGTTTTTTGGCGTGGGAGCCGAGTCTTGGTGCATTTTATGGGCCTATAACTTTATTGGTTGTGTTAAATCTTATATTTTTTCTACGCATATCGTGTGTTATTCGTGGAGCTAATGGAAACGCGAGTGAACAAGAAGACTGTACAGAAGAACTGCATGTTAATGAAATAGAACTAGTTCCGAGTCAAGCGGACACAAATTTAGAAGTGCAGACACTGACACCGCGTCGTCAGAGAATTGAAAGAGAGCGTGTTAAGGATGATGATGATGATGAAGAAGACGATAACGAGTCTACTCTAAGTGTGATGGACCAAGAACGTCGACCAATCACACAGCTTCGTGCTATTGTTGCCATGTTGTTTTTGTATATATTAGCGTGGGTGTGCGGTGCCATCGCTGTCGCTAAACCGTTTAAATCTATCATACCTTATCAAGAACTTATATTTAGTTATTTATACGGAGCAACTAGTACAGCTCTCGGTGTATTTATGGTGGTGTACTTCTGCTTATCGCGACAAGACTCTCGATTGAGTTGGAAGAGATTCTTCGGTTGTACTTCTCCTGAATTATACTCAATGCCCGTAAATACGGAGCCTCCAGCATCAACACCCCCTCAGGTTAATGGCAACATTATCAAATCATCAAGTAACATGAATTTATCGACTCATTCTCAAAAATCCACCAACATCGAAAAAGCTAACAGTATGAAGCAAAACCAAAATACACAAAGTAAACAATCGAATATAAATCTAGTCCCACAAACAAATTCTTCAGTCACTGAAGTCTCCATAAACAGTGGTTCCGAAAACTTGCCCAGTTTTTACAACCCGCGGCAAAATGGAGCCGCTAAAAAATTCTGGGATAAAAATAAACACAAGCAAGGTAAAGTGATGAATAAAGACGCTAATCGCGATATTAATTGTAGTAGTATTTCTGACGAGTTGAGTCGTCATTACAGCCAAGGCAGCGACGCTAATACACATCTTAGTATTGAGATTCAAATACAACAGGCTAACGGTGGTGTTTATGGACAAAATATGACCCCCAACTTTCAACAACCCAACAGGATGACCCCTAATCATTTTAAGAGAGGTCAGCAAGTGTATCATGATAGGAATCACATGACACCAACAGGGGTCGTGGGGTCAGAGCATGGAACGGCTAGTCCCGTTAGTTTCATCTCATCACACATTCTACCTCAACATCAACGCTCTAACAGTTCTTGTTCTGTGGGGTCACGACCCAGCGCATTTATCCCGGTTCAGCCCCGTAATAACACACTACCGAGACCCGGAAGAGGGGAAACACCTGATGGACCCACAAGTCCAAACACAAACAATAATAATTATATGAATCGTGAAGGTTCTGTGCCACGATTGCGGGATTTTGATGGTCAGAGTCAAGTCAGTGGATCCGGTCATCAAGATCCAAGAAAATCACCACTTCCACCTAACATGGGACCCAATTTACCAACCCCACCTCCACAATATCAAAACAAATCAAAGAGTCCAGTTCATCAAAATAATGATATCAAACGGGGACGTCAAAGCCCCTACACAGTTCGGACAAGTCCCTACAACTACAGACATAGCCCAAATCATCGACCAATGTCTGGGGAGTACAGTTCTGATGCCAGTAGTCGAAGAAGTCGAGGAAGGCATCCTTATTTCCGAGAAGCTCCTATAGGATCCTATAATCCTGTTGCAGGGGGAAGACAGAGTCCAGCCATGTCAGATTCAACACAATCTCAACATGGTAGAACCGTAGATCCCCGTTATCTGTCTCCAGATTCAGATAATCAAAATAAAGAACAACCAGCACAGCGACCACCAGAAACGGATCATCACTCAGATCCAACTCATCGTAAACGCCATCGCTCATCTCGAGAACGTCGACAATCAAATAAATTACAGGGCATGAGAAAACAGAAATCATTAGGCTGGGATAATGAGTTCAAAGGTCGACCAGCTAAGCAGTATTCATACGCTTACGTGAATCATAATTATCGGGACCGTGTGTTAAGGAAACTGATTAAACAGGCTAGTGAAAGTGACGATTTAGCTAAAAAGGCTTTCTGGCTTCCGCGATCTTTGAGTGAATATGACCGTCTGTGTCAGTCTGGTTTCTGTAAGAGTAACATGGTAGAAGACTCGTCAACAAGTTCAGATGAGGAACACAGTGTTTACGATATTTGGGTACCGCAAGAAAATGGCAAAGACAAATTCTCAAAAAAAGAAACCAGTGTTTAAATTATTACAAACCTGCTCTAGCATAGTTTATTGATTTTTGTATCATAAGTAATGGTATTTTTTACATTTTGTACAAAGAAACAGAAGTGACATTTATTGTTTTCCATATAAGCTTTGAGAGCACTATGTGTGTGTGTGTTTTACGAGGCTTTTTAAACAAAAGAGCTACAATATGGGGACAACCATTGTGTATATAGAAGTATTTGTACATGATTATTGTGGATAAACTGAATTTATTGTATGCTTTATTTTAATATTGAAAAGACATGAAGCTATTTGGCATTCAATTTTTTTTATATTAATGTTGTGTCTTGTTTAACAGAAAATATCTGCTTTACTATTTTATTTTAGCCAAAAAAAAAAATGATAAACTTTTATGGCATTGGTGCAATATTTTAATTCTTTTTTTCATTTTTAGAATGATTATAAGGGCAACTAGACTACTAGAGACCATTACTATATAAGAATAAGTTTATTCATCTATGGAGAATAATTCAATGAACATTGAATAATTTTTCGACACATACCGTTATGCTCTAGTGACATAAGTTCTCATCTGATATCAAATTCCAACTTCCATTAAAGATTTCTGGCATTATGGCACTTGCTCAATAAATGCTTAAATAGTCGATGTTCGTGGAAAAAAAACTGAGAAATAAATAAGATGGAGGCATGAATAAGGTATAAAGTAGAAGTAGTTTAAACTTTAGGTGGCCAATTTTAAGGATTCTTTTGGACCAATATGCTTTTTGGTAAGACTTCCAGTATTTTTAAGTTTATGTGGTATACATATCCACATCTGTTTAATCTGTAATACAGAGCCTTTAGAGTAGTTAAAACATATTATAATCATAGATGGCTATATAAAAAGTTTGAATATAGTACAGGGATTTAACAGTGTTCTAGTGAAGCCTTAATGTTTTACAACTATAGTTGGATCACGATGCCAAAAATAGATTCTTTGATATATAAGCTTATCTAGTCATTTAGGACTGTCAACAACGATACAGCCTTGTTTTCTACCACCATATAGTTGTACTAGTCGTTTAAATTTAAGTATTTAAAAAAAATCTCCCATAGAATTGTTTTTCTTTCTTACATTGAGTCTTCTATTAGACATCTATAAATTGGCAATAAATTAAGAACTACTTTATTTCATTTTTAGAGACGGTCTAAGTACTATTATTTCCAAATTTTCCCACTTAGAGAAGGTCTAAGTAGTAATCTTGAAACTTTAAACTAACTGGTCAGTCTTCAGATATTTAAATAGAAATTGCCCAAAAAATATTATTAATAAATTGGCTTATATGTTATTGGAATGTAAAATTTTATGAGATTTAAAAGGATATGTAAAACTATTTTGTATAATGGATCTTAATGAATATGATCACTTGGTAACATTACTTCTGTGTATTTTGTAAATGAGCAATCTGTTTAACCATATTATCTATTTATAATATATTATAGTATTTTTATCATAAAATGGCTATTTTAATGAAAATTTATACAATATGTATGATATTTACTTTGTAACAATTTGACCAACTACCTGATGTCATTTCACAAAGAATATGTCAATCTCTAGTCTGTGTCAATTTTAGGAAACCACAAGCAGAAGGATAAATTCAATCATTTTATATTTTGTTTCCCCGTAGGGTTAATTAAGTGATCTAGTGCTACTGGAAAACTTACTTTTTACTAAAAATATATTTATGACATGTAAAATAAATAAAGTTAATGTGATCAATAAACTTACAAAAAATAAAATAAGAAATCCTGTAAGTTGTTAATAACATGCATGTCACAGCTAGTTATCAGCACATGTAAGTTATTATGTTGTATTTTATTATATAGCTATTACCTTAGCTCAATAACCAATATAGTTTTTCTTGTATTTTGGATATAGGGATATAGTCTTTATTCCAGATGTCCAGTGTTCATCAATATCTATTTAAATGAAAAACTATTTCAAAGTTAGAGGAGTTGGGTGGCTGAATGGTCAGCGTGTGCGTGTTGTATCATAAGGTCTGTGATTGAGTCAATTGGCGTGGTTTCGATTCCCCGGTTGTATGGGACAAGGACTAGGGTCGCCTGTCTAACCTCATGGGTTTTTTCCGGTTCCTCCCACTGCTAAAGACCCCTACACGCAAGTGAATTATTGAAATAAAATTGAACCATGTTAGTCCCGAAATGACCTAGTTTGTGTTGAGTGGAGGTTAAACCCATTTCTCTCTCGCTCAAAGTCAATATCTGATTGACTTTAAATTTATACACAGCGCTTAAGGTCAGGAGACAACCAATCCTGTTGATTTTCAATGATTTTTATACGTCCACATTCATAATGTGAACGTATTATGCCGTCGCCCCTGTCTGTGTGTGTGTGTGTGTGTATGTATGTATGTGTGTGTGTGTGTGTGTGTGTGTGTGTGTGTCTGTGGTTCGCCTACAGGGCGCAATTCTTCATGGATTTTCTTCAAACTTGGTATACTTATTCCTTATACCCCAAGGAAGATCCCTATTGTTTTTGGTGCATGCCCGACCCCCCGGGGCAGAGCCACGCCCATTTCTAGTATTTGTTTGTTTGTCGTCTACAGGCCACATTTCTTAACTAATAATCTTGAAACTTTGCATACACATTCTTTGTACCCTAAGGAACATCCCTATCGTTTGGGGTGCATGCCCAACCCCCAGGGGCAGAGCCACGCCCATTTTCTTTTCGTGTGTCTTTGTGTCGCCTACAGGGCGCAATTCTTACTGGATTTTCTTCAAACTTGGTATACTTATTCCTTATACCCCAAGGAAGATCCCTATTGTTTTTGGTGCATGCCCGACCCCCAGGGGCAGAGCCACGCCCATTTTTTGTATTTCTTTGTTTGTCATCTACAGGCCCCATTTCTTAACGTATCATATTGAAACTTTGCATACTTATTCTTTGTACCCTAAGGAACATCCCTATCGTTTGGGGTGCATGCCCAACCCCCAGGGACAGAGCCACGCCCGTTTTCTTTTTGTGTGGCTGTGTGTCGCCTACAGGCCACAATTTTTAAGTCATCACCTTGAATCTTTACATACTTGTTCCTTATACCCTAAGGATGATCCCTATTGTTTTTTGTGCATTCCCGATCCCCAGGGGCAGAGCCACGCCCATTTCTTGTATTTGTTTGTTTGTCGTCTACAGGCCGCATTTCTTAACGCATCATATTGAAACTTTGCATACTTTTTCTTTATACCCTAAGGAACACCCCTATCGTTTGGGGCGCATGCCGAACCCCCAGGGCCAGAGCCACGCCCATTTTCTCTCTGTGTGTCTGTGTGTCGCCTACAGGCCACAATTCTTAATCGATCGTCTTGAAAAAATTTCATATGAATTCCTTATACCCTAAGGATGATCCCTATTGTTCTTGGTGCATGCCCGACCCCCAGTGGCAGAGCCACGCCCATTTCTTGTATTCATTGTTTGTTATCTACAGACCGCATTTCGTAACGTATCACCTTGAAACTTTGCATGCTTACTCCTTCTATCCTAAGGAACATCCCTATTGTTTGTGGTGAATGCCCAGCCCCCAGGGACAGAGCCACACCCATTTTCTTTTTGTGAGTCTGTATGTCATTTACAGCCTGCAATGCTTAATCGATCATCTTGAAAACTTTTTTATACTTATACGTTATACCCCAAGGCTGACCTCTATTTTTTTGGTGATTGCCCAACCCCCAGGGGCAGAGCCACACCCATTTTTTTCTTTGTGTCTCTGTGAGTTGCATACAGGCCACGATTCCTAATGGATTGTCTTTGAACTTGGGATATGTTTTCCTTATAGCCTAAGGACGACAACTGCATGTCACACCCCCAGGGGCAGAGTCACGCCCAATTTTTATGTTTATCGTTTACAGGCCCGAATTCTGGATGGATCAACTTGGTATTTGGCATATGTATTCCTTATAGCCTAAGGGCATCAACTATTGATTTTGGTGAATGCCCCAACGCCCAGGGGCAGAGCAACGTCCAGGGGCAGAGCAACGCCCAATTTTTGCCTTTAACGCCCAAAGGCCACAATTCTGAAAGGATTATTTTGGAACTTGGTGTACTTATTCCTTATACCCTAAGGACGGCAACTATTGATGTTGCCATTTCAATAACAGAATGGTACCTGTTTATATTGTTTCCATATCCAACCCCCATGGGCAGAGCCACGCCCAGTTTTTGTATTTATCGTCTACAGACTGCAATTCTGAATGGATCATCTTGGAACTTTGCATATTTATTCCTTATACCATAAAGACAGCAACAATTTATTTTGATACTTGCCCCGACCTCTTGGGGCAGTGTCACACCCACTTTATTGTTAGTATTTTGTCTGTAAATTTGGCAAAACAAACCCGACGCCTAGCCTTCTTTGCCTCTGATCATATTACAGCCATTTCATTTTCATTCTCTTCATTTTAAAAAGTACCATATCAATCAAAGCTGGAATGTGGACGTATATTGCAGCGTTAGCAATGCTCTTGTTTATAGTTACTGCCATAGTTATGGCCCTTGATCACTTGTAGGCGCTCTAATATCTGATTGACTTTAAATTTATACACAGTATTCAAGACGAAGAATCCTATTGATTTCTAATTATTATTTCCGAAGTTATAGCTCTTGATATTAAATGTTTTGTATACTAAACGTATAGGGCAGAACTAGAAGCCAAACAAATTCTAACGATTTCTGATAATTACTTAATGGGTTGTTACTCGTAATCAGATTTTGTAAATGTTTTCATTTCTGACAAAAGAAAAGATATGCGACAACCCTTGTTGACTCCCCGAACCACTTAGCTGTTGTAATCATATGTTAAGTTTCCTGGCAACATTACTAATTTCAAAACAACAGTAAGAAAATTACAGTCAGTTAATTTAAGACATGCTGTCTTTCCACTCCCTCTCTGCTTGTGGTCTTTTAAATCTCAATTTGTTTTATGAACATTAAAAACGGCCTCAATAATGAAAAGTTACATACATGCATGTAGAACTTATGAGAATTAGACATAAGTTAAATTTTACATGTTCTTTGTGAAAATAGTCCTTCTTTAAAATTTAATGATACTTATGAAAACAAAATCATGTAAATAGACGTTTAAATATCTACATTGTATATAATAATAAGTCTAATGTGAATATTGTAATGTATATATATATTATTTACCTAATTATAGAAATAGACAACTACTGTCAGGTTTAACGTGTACATGCGATTTTAATTTATTAGTTTATAAGCAAACTCGTTTCTCAAGTTTTTGTAAAGATTTGTTTTATATAAGTACAAATTTTTTGTAAAATATATATTATTTTTTTTAGTAAGGTATATTTTTTTTGTAATTTTTGTACCATTTGCATGAGTTAATTTTCTATGATATATATATATCTTTGTTGCCTGTTTAGGTCAGCCTCTGTTTTTTTTGTTAGAATTTTTTTTTTCACGAAGATAAGTTATTACCTTCTAAACTTGAAATTTTATGACAATATGTATACAATAAATGAATGCATTTTTAAATTTTGTTTTTTTATGTCAAAAATTATTTATTCCTATCACTGACTAAAATAATAATTACATTTTTGACGACCGCTGACTGATTGGATGGTGTGTGATTTGCCCTATAGACATAAATAATACAAGTTTTCATATTCTAAACACAATATCTACTCCCCGAATTAAACCCTTTGCAAGCTATTATTTGTGTTTTAACAGAGCATGCAAGCCAATAAAAGCCTACAATACAAATAACCCAGGGTTCCCGCGGCTCCGTCAACCATTTTTTCAAGGATAAATATACGTCAAATTCAAGGATTTTCAAGGCCATTTTTTAGCCTAAAGTTACAATTTTTCATCTTAAAAATAACCAAAACATTACCAACTATCGTTATAATCTCATATTTAAAAGGAATTGAAGACATTTGAAACAAAATTAAGGATCTCAACTGAAATTCAAGGATATTTTCCTATTTCCGCGAAATTCAAGGATATTCAAGACCTTGAAAATGAAATTTTAAATTTAAGGATATTCAAGGATTTTCAAGGACCGCGGGAACCCTGTAACCTCGGTAATGATATTAAACATCCTACTTTCCTGTACCAACTTGGGCTAATGACGGGCATACGTCATGCGAGAGAGAGAGAAATGGGGTTTAACGTCCACTCGACACAAACCAGGTCATTTCGGGACAAACACATGGTTCAATTTTAATTCAATCATTCGCTTGCGCGTAGGGGTCTTTAGCAGTGGGAGGAAACCGGAGGACCCGGAGAAAAGCCACGAGGTTGGACAGGCGACCCTACTCCTTGTCACGTACAACCAGGGAATCGAAACCCCGCCAGTTGACTCAATGACAGACCGTATGATACAGCGCGCGCGTGCTAACCATTTGGCCATCCAACCCCCCCATACGCCATGCTGTGTGCTACAAGGAAAATTTTGCTTGGACAGCGACATTTCTGCCTACTGGTACTCTTCATCAAATTCTTTCAAGGGTTCTTTTACATGCTAGCCAACATGTACATGGAACCAAAGTTTTCAGTCCCGTCCAAACATTTAGATCACTTATAGGCTACCAGAAAGCTCTCTTTTTATACCAGGTCAGGTTGGATGGCCGAATGGTTAGTGCATGCACACTGTATCATAAGTATACAGGTCACAATTCTATGGAATACAATTACTGCTTTTTACTGAGCGACGTTTCGACTAGGCTTCTCTAGTTATTATCAAGCTATGATAGAATTGTATACTCTAGTTCAATTACTAAATGCCATTGAAACAGTTTATCAGACTGTATCATAAGGTCTGACATTGAGTCAACTGGCGTGGTTTCGATTCCCCGGTTGTACGTGACAAGGATTAGGGTTGCCTGTCCAACCTTGTGGGTTTTCTCCGGGTCCTTCCACTGCTAAAGACCCCTATATGCAAGCAAAGTATTGAAATAAAATTGAACCATCTGTCAGTCCCAAAATGACCTAGTTTGTGTCAAGTGGACGTTAAACCCCATTTCTCTCTCTCCCATCCAAACCAAATGACTAGACACCGTTCCTTTCCAGACCCCAGATCCTACACCACTTGTCAAGGGAAAACCATGCTGGAAAACCGAGAATAACTAGCACCACCAACACTCGGTTAAAAAAAACTAAGAATAAAACAAAAAGACCAATAATGGTGTTTGATGTTGGGTCATTTCGGACTAAGACAGGCGTTCCTACTTGTACTAGCATATGATAGAAACGCCCACCAATTTATTCAATGGTGGACCTTATCATCTAAAGAGGCCACATTAAGTCACCTGTGATATATAAAGTGACATTTTAAACAAACCAAGTCAAGATTAATCAAGACTATTATATTCCCCATCGCCAAAAATCTGATATGTGTCAATTCTGGAGTGGTATTATGACTTAATGGGGTTTCTCACGGTACTGGGGTTGCCTGGTGTCCTCCCACTGTAAAAGATCCATCATAGCTGCACCCAAGAGCATTAACGTAGAATTGCCATGTTAGTCTCATTATATTGGATGTTCGGAGGTTTGGGTGGCCGAATGGTTTACGTATGCACATTGGATCAGAAGGTCCTTCATTGAGTCAAGTGGTGTGGGTTCAATTCCCCGCTTACTTGTACGTGACAAGGAGTAGGATTGCTTCTCCAACCTCATGGGTTTTCTCCGTGTCCTTCAGTTTTCTCCCGCTGCGAAAGACCCCTTAGTGCAAACAAATTACTGAAATAATTGAACCATATGTTAGTCTCAATATGACCTAGTTTGTGTTAAATCCCATTTCTGTCTCTGTCTCACACATTTGATGTTAAACATCATGGTATTTAAAGAACAATGTTTAAATTCAAATATTTCTTTCGTTTATTTAAATATATATATACACAAAATAATATATCACAACAATTAATCAGCAGGTATACTTATCACAGTTACGCCATTTATAAATAAAATAACTAAAAAACAAACATTTAACTATAAAGGATTACGTGTAGATAGACAGAGTTCGGAAAATTTAAAAAATCTCTTACAGGGGGCTCAATTTTGAGTTGAGAGAAGACTGGTGAATCGTGATATTATTCCTTGCTTGGAAAACCTGTTGGATTGGTAGATACTTGATTGACATCTTTAAAGGGATTGAGTGAATTAAATTCCAGAACAGGACTAGATAAAACAGATTACAGCCAAATGAAATTTTACAAACTATATACTTGAGGCCCTTTTAATCATAAACAGAGTCTAAAATTAAGTATACATGCAATTTTCCTGTCAAAATGTAAAGAAACAACCCTTTTCAGTTGATGTGAAATGCTTGCCATATAAATTGGAAAAAAGAAAATTGGCCTATGTTTAAATTGAAGTGAATAGCATGATAAATGCAATTACCACACTATTGGGAATTTTATGGTTATCTGAACTTTAAGTACAAAAGGCGTTAATTTGGAAATTGCAAGCAAATCACATAAAAGTTCGGACCATTTTTGCATTTCTTAAAATAATTATCAGAGCTTATAGATTTTTGCAGATATTTTTTTGACAACTTGGCGAGCAAACTTGAAATTCTAACCAGTCATTACACAGTAATGCTAGATTTTTGTGGTCTGTTAATTTTAATAACGGTTTCAAATCAACCGGAATTCAAATAAATTTATTTAAATGATATTTTTGGAAACAACTTTTTCTGACTACAAATTTTCTTTCTGAGGTTTAATTGGTTGGTTTGCACTTAAACCCTCGTCAATCTCTCTTAAATTGTCAATCATAGACGAATATCTCGCATTCAATGTTAACAAACTTTTTCTGGCTTCTGCATTTATTCTCTCCCTTTCACGCAAAGTTTCTCTACTCATTAGAGTGCGTCTGTCTGAAGATTTACCCATACTCCTCTCTCCATAGGATGGCGTAACTGGAGATCTGTAATCCGTGGAATCGATTCTAATACCAACAGGTTGTTCTCCCTTTGCATCTTTGCTTGCTACATCACTCAACAGTGATTCACCATCACCTGCATCTTTGCTTGCTACATCACTCAACAGTGATTCACCATCACCATCATCTCGTCTAACTTCATTTTCTCTGGTTGGTTGTCTTGACTTATCCTCAGAAGTGAAATACGACCTTGTATCGTCTGTTTCTGACTTTGTATCAAATTGAGAATTTAAATCAAAATCAGATTTTAGATCTGTATCAGTTTTAAATTCAACTCCATCGCTTTCTTCAGGTATTCGATCCATATGTGACCTATTGGATAGTGCAGATGTCAAAGGTCTTTGACTTTCTGATTCTGATTCTTCATCATCATTTTCTGATGACTGACTTGAAGGTCTTGTACCTGGGGTTGAGGGTGCATTTATGATTGGAGATTGATAATCTGCATCAGGGCGTGACAAAATGATCTCTACCTCCCTGTTTGGTGTCAATGTTTCATTTCTGGATTTAGAGTTGGCAGATGAACCACTGCTACTCTGACTTCGTCCTTTAATTTTTTGTAAAACTTCATCTCTAATGTTTTCTCTCTCCTAAAAAATACAGAATACAAATTATTTTTACTATTCCTAGATAAATGTTGGTATATAGAGGGGAGAGGAATTGGATTTAACGTCCACTCGACACAAACTAGGTCATTTCGGGACTAACATATGGTTCAATTTTATTTCAACAATTTGCTTGCACGTAGGGGTCTTTAGCAGTTGGAGGAAACCGGATGACCTGGAGAAAACCCACAAGGTTGGACAGGCGACCCTACTCCTTGTCACATACAAACTGGGAAATCAAAACCACGCCAGTTGACTCAATGACAAACCTTATGATACAGGGCACGTGCTAACCATTCGGCCATCCAACCCAGTATAAAAAGAAAGCTTTCTGGTAGCCTATAAGTGATCTAAATGTTTAAATAAGGTTCAAGCAATGAAAACTGGCACAAAAATATCTTAGTAGAGTTAGAAGACTAAATCTTTTGACTGCAAGGTCGACTGTTTTACTAGTTCATTTCAGGACTAATATATGGTACAGTTGTTTTATTTATAATAATTCGCACACAAGTCAAATCTTTAGAAATGAGAGGACATTGGTGAACCCAGAAAAAACCCACGCTTTCATCACTCAATTAGAATCAAAGTTATCATGTTCCAAAGTATTAGTAGAACAAATTGCTTATCTCTACTAGACTCAAGCAGAAAATTCTCATGATCGAACTCTTGTCAAGACATTCACATTCACCATATCAACATCTACACCAGTTGAACATTCTACCTGAATTACAATCAGAGTTATTGTGTCCCAAAAGGTGTGACAGGATGACAGACGGACAAACACATTTCAATAGTCTTCTGCTTTCTCTGAAAGGCTGGGGACAAAAAACTCTTTTAATGATACTGATACCTTTCTTTCTTGTAAAGTACATTTACTGTCCATTCTATGATCTAAATCAGACTTGGTGTTCATCCGTAGATATTTGTTAGATCGATAGAAAAATCGCTGTATTATTGGTGAGAAAAGAAAAGGTGCAGAAAAGTGATATTAAATCTAAAGATTAGTGAGATTTATGAAAAACAAATAAATTATAATATTAAAACAGGTTTAATACATATTAAAGAAGAACTATCACTTTGGCTTTGGCATTAAATTGGGTCTATTTTAAATTTTGTTGTATACAAAATCTGACACAGATCTATTGATCCAGGCAGCTGACAGTCAAATTTATGTGTCAACAAATTTGGTAGGCACATGATTTTCAATAGTTAGGTAAGCCAAAGGTTATTCTGAATAAGATGTATAAAATTCATTCCATTTATTTTCATGGTGGAAGTGATAATTCCTCTTTAAAATATTAAATGTATATCTAAATTAGAATAAGATACATGTATATCTAAATTAGAATAAGATACATGTATATCTAAATTAGAATAAGATACATGTATATATCTAAATTAGATAAAGGATACATGTATATATCTACTGGTATATTAAAATAAGACACATGATATATCTAAATTAGATTATGATACATGTATATCTAAAGAAACGTGAATGGTGTTATGCTAGTAAAATTAGTGCATGGGTTATGGAAAATAATAAAATTTAACCGGGTATAACAATAATTATATTTATAGGGGAGACATAGTGCTAAAGTTAACTGACAGTAATACTTTTAATTTTTCTTTCCCACAAAGCTAAGTCATAATTTTTTTTGAATGAGATGCATTACCTAATCAAAACAACATTAAGTAAGATTTCAGGCATCAGCACCAAATCAATTAATTACACAAAGGTATACATTGTTACAATATACATTCAAATACCATTAATATAAAACTGCAAGTACTTGTTAAAAAGATGATGATGAACGTTTGTGGAGAAGAAATGACAGTTTTCTAATGTTAAAATAAATATCTCTTGGGGAAAGTTTTGTAAAACAAGAAATTGATGTGAGTATTAATTTGACAACCAGTTTTATACTTTTTTTTATAAAATGACTAGTTGAATTTGGAGTCCACTTAATATTATTCAGATAATTACATCAAAATTTGGGATAAAAGTTCAAGATTACGATTGATTCTTATCACTTCTGGTATTTTATAAGGAGGATATTGCTAATTTCACCATACTTTATTATGATGTTAGGTACAGATAAGGATATGAAAGTCAATGAAATTGTCAACAGTTCTTAATTTTACCATACTTGATTAGGTTATAGTACTCATAGATCTGGGTATAAAATTAAACATACATTGTGCAAGAGCTAAATCTGCCAATTGCAGGTCTTTCTTTAGGCCTAAAATGTTATCTAAATTATTAATTAGACATTAATTAACTTATCCTGACCATAATCAACTCTCGATGTCAACGATAGCCTGCGATATTTATTGGATTATGATCCGATTTGGTGCTCAACTTTCATTCATGATTAAATCAAAAAATGGATAATCGAGACTATGTTTTTTAGAAAAGATGATCGAGGCTAGGCCGAAATTTCAATTTTCAGCAAATTACCTTTACATTATCTAGTTTTTAACTATTATAGTGAGAACTGCCAGCTCTTTATCTAATCTCCCATAATGTATCTTTCTTTAATACAGTTAACACATCAATTTCTTGCTATTTTACAGTGTATATGTGGTGCTATTAATAAATATAAATTCTAAAGTTTTTATATCTTACAATTACTTCTTCTTGAGCTTTATAAATCATTCTTGACAAGGTTTTCTGTTTTTCTTCATTTTTCTCGTTTGTAAGAATCTGAGTGGCGATGATGCTCTGATCACATAGTTTCCGTACTTCATTTTTGATCTGTGCCACTGTATCAATATCTTCATTACTACTGTATCCAAGTTGTTTTAATGTTGAACTCATTTCTCTGAAAATATAAATTAATAGATATTTTAATTTTCATCTTAAAGTAGCTAAGTCTCTAACTCAATATCATCCAAAATCTTCGACACTGAAAACACGAATTATTTGTCGGTTTAAATCAACATTGATGTTGTGATCTTGCCTTCTGATATCCAATATTTAAAGACAAAATAAACATTTTACAATTGGTACACGATTCGTGTAGCATAATGCGTTTCAGCGCTATTTGTAATAAGGGACTTGAAAAACGAGGCTAGGCATATTCCACAAGTCATGTCAAACGGTGACATCATATTCTTATCTGGAGAGCATGGCCATTAAATACTATTGGCGTAGACTGGAATAACCAAACGCTAGAGATTGAAATTCGATTGAGAATACTGGCGTATTTCGCCGAACCTAACTGATTAGAAATTACGGTAAAAACAGAAACAATTGAATGTAAATCAATTTATATACATTCATATTACATTATTGTATGCGTTGCGACCCATTTGTGCCAATTTCTTGGTCCCAAATATTAGCGACTTAGCTCCTTCAAAGGTACTTCAATTGTAAGTGTGCAATGTTCTAAATTGACAGAATTGCAATTAAGTGACATGAAATTCAGTCTTGTTCTAGTTCTGATAACTGAGGTGGTGTGAGTAGAATCGTTAAGTAATTAAACCCATCGAGCATGTTTCAGATGGCGTGGTTTGGTTGAGATATTTTCTTATTCAGTCGGTACATGCTTGGTAGCCTGAAATCACTTTCACTAGTATACGGTCCATAAAATTTCACAGCTAGTTTCAGCGTCACCTTTAAAAAGTGTGAACGGCGGATGTCAAAAAAAAAAGGGTAACGTCACACTTTCAGAGATCAAAGACCTTGCAGTGGTTTGAGGTGCTAGAGGGAGAAGTAATATCAGGCAGTCAAAGTTCTAAAAGTGACTTACTCTCTAACAACAGAACTTCCTTCAACTAACAATCTTTCCTGAAGTATTTCTATAAAATCATCTTCCTTGTAACCCAGTAGAGTTAAGGAATGACACGCTTCAGCTCGGACACCAGCTTCTTCTTCAAATCGTAATGCCCACAATAAACTATCTATTATCTTCTGACTAGATATACCTATTTTACCTAGAGCTGTAAAATTAAATAAATTTTATTAATATTATGATACTGGGTATAATAAAGCTAATAAAAAAAGACAATTTTCCTAAAAATAAAATAGAAGTATTTGATTATGTCTACATTTAGTTTTTATGCAAACAAATTTGGAGAGTTTTCATGGGCTGATACCTCTAGCTGCTCATTTTGATCTCATATAAATTCTTCATTACTACTGCTAATAAATAAAAACTGAACTCTTAATTTTTGCTATAAAAATCGTCCTGAAATGTTTGAAGATCAAGGGGGAGATAACAAGAGAACAACATTTAATTCTATAAATAAGTAAGCTTATGGTGAAATTAAATTTCATCTTTATTGAAATACAAACTTGGATTATTCATACCTTGAATAGCTAAGGCTTTGACTTTCCATGTAGTGTCAAAGGTCGCCAGATATAGTAGTTTATTTAGAATTTGTTCATCTTTTATTAATAGATTACCACAAGTTATACAAACTTCCATTCTAACAGAAACATAGGCATTATCAAAACAATCTAATATAGCTGGTAATAGTTTAGTTGTCATTATACCTGAAATATAAAATATGTTAAACTCTAAAACATTCCATTAAACGAATAACGTGGCAGATAAAATGTCAAATACTAAATGATTAGTAACCTTTACTTTTATAAGTGCAAAAATTATTCACATATGTCAATTATAACCAATGTTATTCTGATTTGAACTTTACAAGTTCCTATTAAAATCAGCTAATAAAATCAACATAAAAACAACAGACAAAACTCCCATTGTGGGTAATCCAGTTTATAACTACCGATTTCAAAGTTTGTGAATTTCTGTATAACCTAAACACATTTTGAAAGGTTTAATATAAATAGTTTCTGGTTTATTTACCATATATTTCATTCATTTAAACTTAAAGGAGTTAAATTTGTTTGCTATAGGTTAAACCAAGCCAACAGTGAGGCTTAATATGCCTCCCCCCACCGAAATCCCCAAAATAAACAGATCTGACTCATATTAATTAACTGCACATTTATCTTTTTCAAAAGTATTCAGTAATCAAAGCAAAAGATGTTCACGATCAAAATCAGTCAAGGTTTTGAAGTACCTGGCCGTGAAACTATACACTAAGTTTCATCATTCTCCATCAGTTAGTATCAAATTAGTATCTTGTCCCAAAGCATCGTTCAATGAAATTGCTTAGCTCTGCTTAGCTTTGGCAGGAAATATTAATCATTGAACTCAGTTCGTCTAATGAACATCTATTCCGCAATTAAAAGCAGAGTTGTTATGTTCCAAAGTCTTGACCAATCAATTGCTTATCTCTACTTAGCCTTTAGAAAGCAGAAAATTCTCATCATCAATCTTAGTTAATGTATTAATGATATAGTTTCATCGCTCTCACCCATTTAGAACCAAAGTTATCGTATTCCAAAGTCTCAACCAATCAAATTGCTTATCTCTGCTTAGCCTTAGTGGAAAATGCGCATGATCAAACTCTGTCAAGGCATTGACCTACCATGTTTGAACATTCTATCTCAATTAGAAGGAACATTATTGTGTCTCAAAGAGTGTGATGGATGGATGGATGGACAGATCTGTTTTAATAGTCCCCTGCTTTCTTCGAAAGGTGGGGGACAATAAAGTGCTAACTGCTAAGTCAGGATGATCTGACACAATATTTTTATGATTGATATTTATAGTAATAGACATGATCAAGGTGGTCAACAAGCCATCATGGCTTAAAGTAAGTTAAAGGTAGACCGAAAAAAGCTATAAAAGCCATAAAAGATATAAATCATTTTGTTTTATTTTTGGATTACTGTGTTGACAGTAGAAAACACAACTGATTAAATCTTAACTGGCTTTATTTAATAATCTAAAATTTTCAACGAAGTTAGGTCGGCATTCCACAAAACAAATCAACATATAAAATCTAGTTAATAAATAGACAATTTTATTTTTAATCCAGACCAATATGGTCTAGTCCTATTAAAGCTTACCAAGATGTCCAACTCTACTAATGGCTTCTAATTTTAATCTTTCATCATCACCCATTATTTTATCTTTCAGATCATCATGAACATCACGTCCATGACCTGTTTTACCAAGTGTCTGGGCAGCGGCTTTCCGTACTTCAACGTGCCAATCTTTCCACATCAAGTAAGAAAGTTTATTTGTTATATCCTAGGGGTAACAAAAATAATTATATACATATTTACTTTTATAAGTAACAAATAAATATAATTATATACATATTTAATGATATATACTTCTATCTATAAGTAACAAGTATAATATACACATTTCATTATATATACTTCTATAAGTAACAAATACAATTATATACACATATAATCCTTGAGTGCCATTTAGCGATTGAGCACATTAAAAACACAACACAATTTATATGTAAAACAATCACGTTTATACACATATAGCACAACGTTTCGACAAGATAAACTAGTGATTGTTTTACATACTAATTGTGTTGTATTTTTTTTATTATATACACATTTAATTATATATACTTCTATAAGTAACAAATATATTATATAATATATATTTACTTAATTTTTTTAGACAGGAGTACTAATTAGTTTCTTACCTTATTTATAGTACCATCTAATGTTGGAAATATTTTACAGGCTATAAAACGATGTCTCCAACTACTACTATTTAACTGTTCTCCTACCAATGAATGGATCAGAGTCTACAGAAAAGAAACAGTGGACAATAGTCATTGCTGTTTTAAAAAGTTATTGCAGTGTACAACAAATAAGTCATTGCTGTGTAAAAAAAAAAGAATAAAAAGAAGAGCAGTTCTGTTTTTTTTTAAAAAAAGAAGCCATTTCTGTGTTACAAATAAAGTCAATTCTGTGTTACAAAAATAGTCATTTCTGTGTTAGTCATTTCTGTGTTACAAAAACAGTCATTTTTGTGTTACAAAAAAAAGTCATTTCTGTGTACAAAAAAAGTCATTGCTGTTTAAAAGTCAATGCTATTAAGCTTTTTGCCATGAATTAATTTGATCACCACATCATACAAAATATTTATTTGGGGTATTCATTTGTTATTTTACAGTATGTTAGAGATATCAAGCATTTTGTTAAAATGATCTTCAAAGTTTTACATAACTTACCGTGCTTGCGCTCATCTTGGCCAACAGCTGAATTGCCTGTTCATGCTTGATTGAATCTTCTGTTGCCAATAACTGTCGGATTACTTCCCCTGCTACGTCCGAATCGCAAACACCAAAATGAGCCAGACATTGTGCGGCTGCCCATCGGTCAGCCATACTTTCACTAAACAACAGTCCTCGTATAATTTGTTCAGCCTAAAAAAAACAAATCATTAAGATCTGTCAAAGATTTACATAATCACATGAAGCAAAATGGCCAAGAGATCTAGTATCATTACCAAGTATGATTTCTTTATAAATGTACAAATTTGTACTTGTTATTAATGAAAGAATGTGCACTCTTATCCTAAATAAGTTATACTTTGCTCTTTGCATTTTCAACATTTTAAAAATTTCAGCATTAATTTCTTACTAGGTGATTTTGAGATTTGATATTTTGTTTATTTCTTGCCAATCTGATTAAAATACAGATCTATATTTTGTTTCGTTTATTTATACTTTCGATGGCCTACACTACATGAAGATCTGACCAGTTGTACTGGAAGGTTGCGTCAGAAGGCTTTTGTCCCTATGACGTCAGACATTGATTAATCAATCAGAGTTGACCTTTCTAGTGGTTTACCCACAGTTCCGTGCATGGCACTCCAAGAAGTCGCCGTAACACCTGTTATATAACAACTCTTCCAGATCCTAGTGTAGCGCATGCATTACGTACATCACCTGACCATCAACTTTACTTCAGTAACGGAACCATGGTGGCTTGGTAAACATAGCACTAGCTCACAAACCAGGATATAAACCCAGTGTTGGCTGGTCTCCACTTGTCAGCAGTCCACTCAACAGAAACTAGGTTATTTCAGGACTAACATATGCTCAGATGGTGTAGAATAGTTGGGCTTTAGATCAAATTTTATTTCTTTTCGTATATATTCAAGTTACCTTATCTGTCGGTTTATCAAGAGAGAACAATGTTACAGCTGCTGCTTTTTTAACTTGATCATGTTTATCATCTAACAAACAATCTAACGCCTCAAATAAAAACACAGGTAAATTATTGATGGCATTATTCTGTTGTTCCTGATATTCTAGATGCAAGCTGCCTTCTTTTGGTGGTTTGTATTCTGCTGCCTTGCCAATAGTTGCTATGGCTTTAAGCCGAACATGAGGTTGAATATCGGCCATATCTTGCAGAAGATCTTCAGGACTGCTATCAATAAACTGTCCAGTTAGTTGCCATTTATTTCGCCATTCATCAACTGAAAAAGTCAATCTCAGAATTATCAAAAGGAACGGTGCAGACATTGTAGAAGAAAAACACCATAATTATTATAAAATCTGGTGCAGGACTGAGGACTAGTGCTGGGTATTGCCACGCACGATACTATACGTATTGTGATTCAGGAACAACAATACAATTCGTATCACGATTCATTACCAGGTCAATATTTACCAAGAAAACAAGCGGATAAATGAATAATTGATATTTTACGTAGATATAAATCTGTTTTATAGTACGATATTAATGTGGATCAAAATAAGGACCAAAACAATTTAAGAGTGTTTAAGTATCTATGGATAATGTGTGATGTGGATAATTAAGCGTTACAGATTACTAACTGAAGCGACAAAACAACATAAAAATCAACCAGACATCTTCTGCTCTTAACAAATTTGGAGACACTGACTAGCATTTATCACATAATAGAGTAGTTGGATTGTATTTAATTCCTCTCACTGAGCAGTTTTCTACTTACTGATTTGAGCAAGTGCTGGATTTTGTTTTGTAACTTTTTTAATAACAGCATCTGATGGTACTACTTCTACTGGTTCACTGCCTGCTGGTAGACATTTTAACTTCTTTGTTGCTTCCTTAAACATTCATAAATTTATAACTTTAAAATACCTGGTGTTTACATTTACCCTTTTTCACAGAGACAAAATCACTAATCTTCAACTTGTTTCTCTCTATTTCCCTAAGTTTTATAAATTGGTCTCGGTGCCGATTTCTGCAGAAACCGAACCCAGTATCACCTTTCGAATTAAGAAATAAATAATAAACACTTTACTGAATTTAAAATGAAATGACAAAGTGTAAAAAATTAAAGTATCAATGACATTGGCAAAAGAACTTGTGGATCAAAGAAAACATATTCAGATGACCTAATTCTACTAACAGTATGGAGGTAAATATTGTTGCTTGTAGTTGTATAGAAATACCCAGAGAATATTCCCCGTTTTATAACCATTAGTTATTGAAGCAACAGGTATGAAATATTTTGTAATACTTGTTAAAAATATAAGGATACATGTAGGTTATTAAAAAATATTAGTTTACAATCTGATTAAAATACAGATCTATATTTCGTTTCATTTTTTTTTCTACTTTCTATGGCCTACACTACATGAAGATCTGACCGGTTGTAGTGGAAGGTTGTGTCCGGGGTCCTACAAGCGGCTTTTCACCCTATGACATCAGTGTTGATGCTTCTAATAGTTTACCCGCAGCTGCATGTATTGCAAACCAAGAACTCGCCGTAACAGACCGTTTCATTGGCTAATCCCTCACTTCAAACAGAACGCAGGTTATATAACAACTTTTCGAGATCCTAGTGTCGTGAACTATAAAAAACAGAACGAAAACAGGATCTGTGTTCTAATCAGATTGATTAGTTTATTACTTCCCTTAGATTATCACTTCGATGCATCAATTAGCACTATAGAAATACCTTGCAAACTACAATATTGTGAAAGTTGAATGTCTAATAGGAATATCAGTTTACAAATGATTCAATGCCCTTTTCAGTATCTACAAAGTTACGATAAATTGAAATTTCATCGATCTATGCTGCTCAAGTGTAACAAGACACTGTTATCTATTATTGTTTGTGGAGAAACTTGAAAGGCCTAATTTAAATCAGATCAAATCCAAGCTGGGAGATTATCTAGCGTTTTCTTAATTAAATGTTAAATAATCAATTGGAGTACATATTTAGCATGTATTAAAAGGCGTTAATGCCCAAAAAAGATGAATTTTCTTGGAAATTCTGTAAATTCATGCTAAAAAGAGACCGGTGTGTACGATGCCATAATTTATTCAAGAACTGATCTAGATCAGGGGAACCTTCGTTTGCTATAAATACTTTTCATCTTTCCGCTTGTACCTCCATTATTACACAACAACCGGTCAGACTGTTCTGTGTCCTCTGGGTTATTTTACACATGGAACAAGTACATGTATGCAAAGTCTTAATGAGAATGGTGTTGAAAAGTTGTCTGAATGTTTTAGACTGATTTAACTTTTTATTGACAGCATAGAGCAAGTTCACAGGATTACCTCAATAAGTTTTTTGATTTCATCAAATAGTTTTAGTTTTAGTTTTAGAAAACTTACATCAAGTGGTTCAGGTAAAGCTTTCCATCTTCTAGCTCCTTTAGTTGGACGCTGATATCTTGGAGAATCATCAGTACCAACTTTACCTTCCTCAGTGTCAGCAGGATACCATGTCTCTGATGATCCTGGATATTCTTTCTGTAATTGTTTTTCATATTTATTCTGACTGGACATTACAATCTTCACTTCCTCATTTTCACCTTGATATAACTGTTCGGTTCCTGAAAAAACAAAAGATATCATAAAGATATGACTCAGATCATCAGAGCCATGCTGGCTCAGTGGGTAGGCGCTGGCTCGCTAAACTGGGGGTTGAAATAGGATTTTATGAACATTTGAAGAATAGCATAGTCTTGAATTTCATTGCTACAGTCGTTACGATAATAAACAAAGTCTTGATTATCCATTCTTAAATTAAATCATTAAATGGCGATAATTTTTCAATCTGTTCAAAATTGTCTAGAGAGTTGATTGTATGTCATGTGTATGAATGTCTAATTAATAATTTATATAATATTTTGAGGCCAAAAGAAAGATCTGCAATAGGCAGATTTAGCTCTTACATAATGCATTTTTAAAGGAGCAAGTACCTGGATAAGTTTACCATAAAAGGGGAAAAACATGCATTGTCATCTGTATTGATTTTGGCTAAAGTTTTACAACAAAGACTGACTACAGCCACATATACCAACCTGTCAACCATTCTCTTTCAAACATATTATCTGTCTCTATTAATGTATCACCAGCTTTAGGGTTGAACGAATCTCGTAGAGTTGGGGGAGGAGGGATTTCATATTTCTTTACTTGAATATCTCGAGCTGTGGTGTTAATAGCACCTGAAACATACAAAAATCATTTCAATCTACACTTTAATTTGTTTTAAAATATCATTTGTGTCATCTTTTTCTATACTGTTTTACTATATTGTATAAAAATGATCATCTTAACTATGTTTCATATAAATTATCTGTTTCCTGATGAATACATAAGAACTAAGTCAAAATATTATAGAATGAATAAACAAAGAAATATTGATTGAATCCACAACTATTGGTTCTTATAACTAATTTATTGTTATATTAATTTTAATAAATTTTTACCCATTTCTTCCTTTTTTATCTTTTTTCTTTGTTTACGAAAACCAACCGGTTGACGATAAAAAGGGGCTTCATTATCATCAGAATATGGATCTCTGGCTTTTCGTTCCTGGTCGGTTTTAAAAACTTTCTCCAATAAACTAAAAATAAAAAAATTTTCAGGATTATAGAGGCCTTCATCATATAGTTTAAAACATAGAAACGAAAATAAACTCATTTTGTTCCTGGTCTGTTTTAAAAACTTTCTCCAATAATCCAAGAATAAAAAAAAATCAGGATTTTTAGGCCTACATCATATACATGTAGTTTAAAACATAGAAACAAAAATAAACTCATTTTGTTCCTGGTCTGTTTTAAAAACATTATCCAATAAACTAAAAATAAAAAAAATCAGGATTTTATAGGCCTACATCATGTAGTTCAGTGATTCTCAACAGTGTGCCACGGCACACAGGTGTGCCACAAAATCTTGCTGAGTGTGCTGCGAAATTTTGAACAGCAAACTAAGAAAATGCGAAAAAACATGTGATCCCAATAGAGTATTCACTGGTGTCTACTGGTATGTTTATTGCTGTGTTTTTCTTATCTAGTTTGACTCATGGTATGTGTCTATGAATTGCCATGCTTTTATTTTGCAAAATTCAAACATTTTACACATATATATCTAGCCAGGTGTGCCGCTATTTTTTCATATGTTCCAAGGTGTGCCGTAAGCCGTTAGTAAAAAAGGTTGAGAACTACTGATATAGTTTAACACATAGAAACGAAAATAAACACATGAATAATGAGGAGCATATCTTCATTACTATATTCTTTTGTATTGTTTTTATAAACTTAACTTTATTAGCTTTTTAACCACAAGGAATTACTGCTGTTTTTTTTTTACACAATTTTTAGAATATGTGACAAAATAAAATACACTTACACAGCTTCTTCTTTCTTCCACTTCTTTTTAGGTTGTTTTTTACTTTGTTTATTTTTAACTTGAAATTCTGTTTCGCTGCCGTCATCACGGATTAAATCAGTGTGTTCTGGTTTACCATACCACTCTTCTAATAATTTACTCAAATCTTCACGCCCTTCCTTGCAGGTCATTTTTTGATGGACGATCCAATTGGCTGTCATCGGACTGATTACAGACATTAAATACGCTCCCCAATCATGTTTCTTTTCTTTAGACGATTCCAATTCAACTGCTTGAGCACTCTCAGTTTCGTTTTTCACGTTGGTGTCAGTTTTGGGTTTTGTTTCTGCCTTTTTCTTTGTTAACGGTTTTTGGCCATCAATTTCAGTCATAAAAAATGCTTGTTCTTCTGATTCTTCAGTTCCTACCTCCCCTCCTTCAGAACTTAAGCTTGAAGTTTCTCTTTCAATCTTTCCCCTCAAGACAGCGTCTTCGTGCATCTTTAATGCTTTATGCATGACTTTTTTCTTCAATGGTTTCAGCGTCTTTTGCTTACCAGGAATACAAGGCATGTGTCTCCTATCAGTACCACTGGCATTGTGACGTCCAACGATTAAATTTCTTTTGGGTGGAATTGGAATAAGTTGACTGGCGTCTATTGCTTCCCAGAAATATTTATCATCATATGGTAACATGTGAAAACAACGATCGCGAACAACATCTTCCGAAAAAGCCAAATCTCCACTTATTTGGTTGATGTATGTTTTTTCAAGTGGGTAGTGGTTTTTCTCAGAGATATCAAAACTAATAGCTCTCTGTATACTCAAACTTGAACTCTGATCTATTTTGGATCTGGAGATCATAAAATCAGAATCTTCTGAGCCTATTTGTGGCATTTTTACTCGTGCTGCACACGGAAAATGAAGTGGGGCCTTAACACTCTCAGCCATTTTGACTCGATCTGATTTTTCTACCAGACTAAATTCTAGTACCGGTAAGTAGTATTCAAAAGTTAACAGTTATCAGCAGTGATTTTTTTTTTCTGGTTGATGACTTTTTTCATTTTTTCTTGACCATCTTATTTTACCTAGCCACCTAAAAGTATTATACATATTCATTATTCATAGGAAATACATTTTTTAGCAAAAGTTTACAAACAATAATTAATCACTGTTATCAAAGATGTATTATGTAAGACCTAGAAAAAGGCCTGACAGTTCTTGCTAAAAAAATAGGTAATGAAAAATGAACTGAAAATTTCAGTCAAATTACTTCATTCTGAGCGAAGTTATTGCTGTTTGGAGAATAGTGGAGTCACGCTTGTCATTGTTACCATTTTTACGATAGTAAACAATGTCTTGATTATCCATTTTTTAATTAAATTATTAAACGACGATCTTGTTTCAATCTATAAAAAATCGTGAGCATACGATAGTCTAGAGTTGATTGTGGTCTTGTTGATAAATTTACAGAACATTTGAGGCCAAAAGCAAGACCTGACATAGATAGATTTAGCTCTTACATAATGGATCTTTAATATCATCATTACAATAACTTCAGTTTAAAGTTTTAAACAAACATATTTATTGCATTTAAAAGAGATCGAAGTGGTGTGTGGTACTTCTTACACTTAAATTTAAAGAAGAATTATCACTTTTAGTTTGGTGAACATGAAAAAAATGGAAGTTTTTTTTTATATCATGTTCAATATATTAGTCTATAACCCAGTCCTAGCTGTAGGCTCTATTATTGAAAATCCAAACACTAGTCTACTAAGATTTAAGCATTATGTAAAACAAGTGTCCAATGAACTTGAAAACCACTAAACGTAATAACCAGAATCTCACTAGTTCTAGTAGTTGTAAAGTATAGGCAAATAATCTCCAAAATAGTCATTCTTCTTTAATAATTATGCAGACGAAATCAATGATGATAATTCTGATTTTTTCTCATTTAATACCAGCCGCCATGGGGCCTACTGACAGTACTGCAATAACAATTTTGGAATCTATCCTTGAGTGGTTCCTTTTAATTGTTTGTTTGCTAACAGCAAGCCTTAATGTCAGTATTTAATAGTTTCAGGTATAATCCAAATAATAGGGGCCTATCTTTAAATTGCTACTTTGGTTCTCTTGTCGACAACAATTTTGGATGATCGAGGATTCGATATAGGACCTATGGCTAGTTAGAAAACTTCCCACTACTGATGTCTTCCGTCTTGCTCCAGCCACAGTAGTGGACCGTCCTAAGGCCTTCCTTTAAGCAAGTTTTGTAGTTAACTGACTACAAAAAGGTTACCTATAACTCCCTTAATTTCCAATAACACTGACCCCAACCTGTACTGTACATAGCTTAACATATTATAATAAACCGATTCCCATTGAAATAAAGGTGAAACATTACCCTATAATTATATGATTTGATTAAACCTTACTGCTATGCGAAATTTCTGTTCAGTTTAAAATGGGCGCCGAACCAGAATCACAGGGTGTCTGTCATGTCCATGCAAACTGTGAAGATATGTATTGAAAATTTTGCAATTGAATTGAACCTAATTTTACTTGCTCAAAGGCTCAAATTGTGTATCAATTGCAGCCGTAGATAAGATTCAGAATTATCACGGCTAAAAATTGCAGCTAATAATAATAATGGCTAGTTAGTGTACTTTTGAAATAGAGACTAGGCCTATAACCGCCTATGGGCTATAGGCTATACAGGTTATAGTAATTAGTAAAATATAAAAGTGACAATGAAAACACAAGTCTGGTATAAATTTGGATTTTGTTTGACCTGGCGTACCATGGGTAGTCTTAGTTCCGTATTTTTTGGTTGCCCTTGATTGAAAATAATAACTTCTGTTCTTAACTTTGCAGCAGCCTAGGGGTAGTAGAAGTTAGTAATTAGTACTGTAGTAGACTTACAGTGTAGACTAGTAGACCTACTAACGTTACTAAGCATGTGATTATCTTATTTATATTCGAATGAACCACTATGACAGGTATTCCGCTGAATAATTTAATGTTTATTGCAATTAAAAATAAAATCAAAAAGTCTAAATTGTATTAGAATAGAGTTTAAAATTTAAAATAAACAAAAACATAAAATAAAATCCTTACACTGGAGGTCACTGGAGGTCGCCATATTGAGTCATAGTTACTAAGGTAACAATGGGTAGATAACTCCCAATATTCTCCATGGGTTACCTCACGTGTTAATATTAAAAAAAATAATACACGGTATACTTCTGTTCTATTATTAAATAAGGATATGCTACTGGCCAATGTCAGAAATATTGAATGATAAATAGCATACTAATAGAAGATATGCCCCTGTCCTCAATAATTAGAATGATCCCTTCACCACCCCACCCCTATTAACTTACCGTACCAGCTAGGCCTACACGGTCTACACGTCTTTAAACTTCATATTGGACAAGTACCAATATTGTGTTTTGACAACTATTTCATAATTATCCTGGATTGTAAACTAGAGAGAGAAGGTGTTGTGTAGGCTATAGTAAATGATTCTTCAATCTAATTAATAGATCTTCCTTTCATTCAGCTTTAAACATTTTGTTGGTCTATAGGGTACCTACTACAGTGTAAACATGTAATGACATCACAACCAAACACGAACGAAACAGTTCAGCCAGACTAATTTTAATTAGATTATGGATTCTTAATCTCCTTTTGGCTTTTGATTAAATAAAGTGAATGTCTCATCAACATTTTGAGAAACAGAAGACTTTTTAAATTCATGTATCAAACAGCATTCAGTCATTTGGATTTGGTGTTAGGAATGGAATGATGTTTGGCATCTCACCGAAACAATACTTGTCATTTCGGACAACCATACTGTCATTATTACTTAACAGTTATGTGAGGGAAAAGAATTCTGTCTTAAAAGTAACATTTCTACCAACAATTCTCAGATTGATTTAGAAAATGTTTTTCTGTTAAATGATAGCAATTCACACAAAGATACAAAAAAGAAATCAAACTGGGATTCAGATGATATTTATTTCACCTGTGTTTTTCATCATATTACAAACATTCATTCATACATTCTGTCATATCGAGGTATTCCCTCGTAAGACAGAAATAATGTGTTTTTAACAAGATCATCTCTGTACAGACAACATATTTATAATCAACTCTATTATATATATATTTATATAGCCAAATATTGTCGCTAACTTTTATAAGCCAAGGCCAGACAAAGACAAGATAAATAGTTAGTGCAAACTAGTTACACGGGCAGCATCAGTATTAAATGGATACAATTTGCTTTGAATGAATTTTGTTCATTTTCAAAATATTATCAAGTGCACTTTATCAGACATTATTTTGAACAACCACTTCAATACAGTTGTGTACATTTCATATTTTTTATTAATAAATAACAGTTCTTAACATGTATACACAAATTAAAATATTTCCTTCTTCAGTGCTTAATTTCACTAAAACACCACTGTTCCATTATATCTGAAAGTATTGCCCTTGTAACAGAAAATTTCTATGCAAGGACTGTTTTCTTGTTTTAATAAACTGTATTCAACAGAAAATGGACACTTCAATCAAGTTGAATAATCAAGGAAAAAAAAATTGTTTCAAAAGTTAACTCACACGCATATCACAGTAAATAAACTGATATATAATATATATATTTTCTAAGTATTGAATGTTACCATAGAAACAAAGAAAACAGTCCCCCTAGCAACCAGTAAATCTAGAATAAGATACAAATATATCTATAATATAAATGATCTCGGAGAAATATGGTGCAATTTTCAACTTTTCGTTTTTGAATATATACAAACATCACTCTTTGCCAACTATTTTACAACAAAAAAAATAATTATTATATTCAATAAATACACTAATAATGAAAACAGCACAAATAAGGTTGTTGTTTAAAAGCCCTAAAAAATTATCCTTTTACAATGTATTACGCACTGAAAATCATAGCTTACATACAAAGTGATGAAAAATATTAATAAATTTAATTTTAATAGACATAATGAGAAACATGTGACCGTTTCCATTTGAAAATGTCAATGTTCTACAACAAAATTCTCTCAATCCCATTAATAATGACCAACAGGGAACACAATTAAGCAGTCACAGTCTTGATCACTCAATCCAAATTTGTACTGGAGTAATTGAGACTACCATTCCTAGAGCTTGCAGAAATGAACAGTTTATAAAAACAAATAAGATTCAGTTTCAAAGCTAAGAACTTGTTCATTTTATTTTAAAGCTACTCCAAATTTCTATTCTTTGGACACATACATCTGACAGTAAATATCACATAATTCAATTGTGATTATATTCTTGGAACTAACAGATATGACAGCAATTTTAAAATGTCTGTTGTCAAAAATAATATACTGTAGAATTTGGAAGTTTTTCTGTATTAAACATTTAAAAAATGTAACACAATAATAAAAAAAAAAATTTTCACCAAAAAATAAAGCCAAATTGTGTTTAATGAGACACTCAAAGCAATGTGTTTTTCTTTGTTCTACCCATACTCAATCAAATCGTGAAGAGCCCAAAAAAATTCATAATAAGTATTTAATTTATCACCATCTCTGTGATCTCAATTCTTATAACTATTAATTTTAAAAAAAAAAAATAATAAAAATGGTTACAGGACACTCCTGCTATAGACATTGTTAGGCATAACCTGGGCTCTAAAGTTTAAAAAAAAATATTTTACAACCTTATAAGTGTTTTCTGTCTCTATTTAACATTATAAACAATATGCACAGTATAATTGAAAAAAGCACTTAATTTGATATAACTCGCAATACACAAACTATTCCAAAATTAAAATTTAATTGATCAAGAGTAGGATTAATGCCGCTGTTTACAAATCTAAATGTGCTTAATTTTTGACACAAAGATCATTTTACATTTTTGTAATATTAATAATAATATTAAATTGGGATGAATTATGGCTAACTCCCAAAAAAAACCCAACAAAGATTTCTGATTGAATATAAATGATTGTTAATGTAATTAGTTAAACGCAAATTAAATAATCAAACTCTGTAATCTGCTATAAATAATCTTTGTCTTCTTTTGTTAAAATTGTTACATCAAAAGCAGAATCCATCTTGATTTCAAGGTCAAGTAACTTGTATAGTGCAAAAAAAAAAAGAAGAGAAAAAAGCATCAACTTGCTTTATTAAAGGATCTCGATTCACCAAAGGGTCTCGATTCACCATACTCCAGTCTATTGAAATTAATACAGTTATTTAACGAGCTACATCCCACCCAATTAACAAATAGTTAATGAGGAGGGGGTTCCCGATCGGATGTTTTTGTTGGTGTCGGCATGTGCTTGAGCATATTTCTTTTTGCCACTGCTGGATTAAGCCTTCCTTCTCTATCACGAGAAATACCAGATGCCGAACGTCCTGTTGCCGCTGGTAATGAGACACCGCCCACAGACGAAACAGGTAGAGAGTTGTTATTTAAAACTCCCCCAGGTACTTGAACTGTCCCTCCTACAGAACTAGGATTTAATAACATACGCGAATATGATGAATCACGACCAGGTGCATCCTTGGATGCCTCACTCACACGGCTTTTGACACTCCCTTGATTACTGGTTACTGAGGAGGCTGAAGAGGGTTTAACCAAGGCGGTGGCTGACCCCGATTTTTCTGTTTTCGTATTGACCGGTTTACTGGTTGTTGTTCCACCATTTTTCTTGTTAACAGTGGGTTTTGTTTCCTGTTTTTCCTCATCTGGCCCTGGTGATTTCAAGGATTCAAGTAAATGGCTTATATCATCGCTGTTTGTTTGCTGTAGCTGTTCAGATAGAGTTGATAGAAGTAACTCTTGAACAAAAACGCTTCTATCTACATGTTCACTTTCAACATTTGACTGATCACTTTCATTACTACTTGATTCATCACATCTGAAATATCAAATATAACAGATCAGATAACCACATAAAAAATACTCTTTAAAAAAACAGTCAAAAAACTAAACACATTCAAAAAAAATTTATTTGGTGCATGTAAATATTGACTATATTCCTGGACATCTGCAAACTGCTTGAGTCATGTAAATAGCTCTCCATATTAAATGACCAATATTAGTCCTTGGGGGGGTGCCATAGCTATTCATGACTCAAGGAGAGAATGTAATTATTTCATTGTTTTTTGTGATGCTGTATTGGGAATGAATCATCACTACAGACAGCATTCTAAAATTGGAAGATTATATTTGAGAAATAAGAATCAGGGAGGAGGTCTTCATCTCTATTCAAATAGTGATAACTTCACCACAAATGAACTTTTTTTGCAATTACCACAATAATGCAGAGAAATATCTAGCAAACTTTGTATATTATCAAACATTTCCAGGATATATTAACCAGATTGCTGTTATCATAGACAGTAGTGTATACGAACAGTCACTCATTCTTAGAGACACAGGAAACCCGAGGACCCAGAGAAAACCCCACAAGGTTGTACAGGCAACCCTACTCCTTGTCATGTACAAGCGGGGAATCAAAATCACCCCACTTGACACAATGACAGACTAAATGATACAGCGTGCGTCACACACACATTAACCATTAGATTAGAGCACCCAATCCCACAATGGAGATACACATTCTGTATAAATTGAAACTCAATCGGATGATAAGTTTAGCCTCTACAGCGTCTACAAGATCTTACTATGTGATCTGGCAGTAATTATTGGAAATCACTGAATATCAAGGCTTCTTCTTCTCATGACCTTAAGCACTGTGTATCAATTTAAAGACAATCGAATAATAAATATTATATGTTTACAGAATTTATATCAGAGATTTGAGTCAAAAAACTTGATTTCAAATTGCTGGGTTAACATGCAGTTAGTTCATAATAAAGATGTGTGCCTTTTTCAAAAATATCCCATATTATTAGACAGCTTTTTTTCCCTCAAATTTGTAAATGTTATTGAATAACAGCAATGTGTTTAATCAGAAATACTGATAGGTCTACTACATGTATTTTGAATTGTGTGTTACTTTGTGTTTTAGTAACAAGAGATTGTAATTTGAGAAAAATCTGAGGTTATGTCAAGATGCACTTGAAAAATCATTTACTAGTTCCGTGTGCAATGGAAGCGAGTCCAGTTTTGTCCAGACAACAGTTATATTTCTGCAGATAAACACTAACTGCCAATACGAACAAGGGAATTGTTTTTATTGTCCTAATGATAAGATATTGTTAGAACTTACTTTGATAGTAGGAACTGTGTTGTTGGTGCAGTATTATTAACATTGGTAGAATTACTACTGCCAGTATCTAGGTTATTACTACTTGCATTTGACGTCACCATCGACTTGACAGCATCGGTAGGTCGTCTTGGTAACCTCTCTAACTGTTGTCTGTTAGAGGACACACTTAATATTAGAAAAAATTACCATCTACATTGTAGATTACATCATACCATTCATACAAATAATTCCTGCTTTTAGCAGACATTACACATGATTCAAGTAAATAATGAAAATGTTTTTGGTAACCATGCGTTTTGAAAACTAAAATTGAATCTTTAGGAAATCTTTTTTTCTTAATATCAAATTGATGAATATTTTAGTATGTGTAAAAGCCCAAAGAAAATTGTTTGCACAATACTGCCATTTAAAGTATCATTTATTTTCGATGTGTAATGCCTGAAGTAAAATGCAGTAAAAAATTAAAAGGATTGGCATGCTTTATAACAAAATAAATATCTAACATGCATTTAAGGCAATAGTGCAAAATATAGCTCATTTTCTTAATCTCAACAATAAGGTTTGGATTTTAACATAATAATATCAGACAGGTATATATTGTACATCAGGTACAGCTACGAAATGGTTTTTCAAGCTCACTTTAGGAAAATATCTACGAGACAGTGGATTCACGATTCAACACAAGTTATTAACCCCAAAGGTTTGGATCGGGTAAAATTATGCAAATACAGTTTAAGATCTACATTAACGCAGCTCAGCTGAGGTGCTACAATAATTGAGATGTGTTATGTGTCAAGCTCAAGCAGGCTGGCCACTGCTCTAGTTATGTGCATTACACCGCCATGGGTAAAAATATCAGACAATTCTGGTGGCATTCTGATCAGCCAAAGCATTATGAAATCAATGAGCTGGCTAGATGAAATTGACATTAGACCCACCTTGTGGATTGTAACTGCATTTCTAATTGTTGAAGTTGAGATGATACACTTTGAGCCGCTGCAGCACGACTTCTTACACTGGATAACTGTGATAATAATTCTAGAAATAAAGATTATTAAATAAATAACAATGATTCTCAAGCAAAATACAGATACAGTGCGAGAAATGGCTTTACATACCAGATACAATCAATAAACATTTGGAAATGACCACAATACATTTGGAAACATGTGACAGTAGTAAGGGCAGATTACTCTACAGTTCAACAAAAGAGTATAATATTTCAAAGATAGGTTGCCACACAACAAAACATATGCCAACAGCAGCCAAGATGTCTGAGCATTTCATAAAGGTTGCTGCCTTTTGATTCCTTAGGTAAATTAAATGCAACATTATTGGAACACAAAATTCATAAACAAATGCTATTTATTGCAATAATCAAAACTAAAAAAGAAACTTTCAAGATCAAAACGACATTTGCTGCTAGAACCTTCAAATGATTCAATTTTTGCCACTAGAATGATAACAAGATTCTAAAAAGTGAACAAGAGCAATAGCTCTGTCAGCTTTTATCGAAATTGTTGAGATTTCCAATCGCATGATAAGTTTTGACACAAGAGCATTCACAAGATTCTAAAAGGTTAAAAAGCTCAATAACACTATGTAAGTAATTAACGGAAATTAAATGGGCTTGTTCGGGTCACTAATCTGAATAATTAATATTATTTTAAGGCAGATCTACATGTATATCAATTTTAAGCTGATCAAATGATAACTTTTGTCACTAGACCATTCACAATGTTCTATTAACAAAAAGGAAAAAAAAATCTGTGGATAAATATTCAACCAGCAGTTGCCAGGCAAGATACGCCCACATTCTGCAAGAGATGAATAGAGAACAAACTAAACAAGCCAACAGTGAGGCTGATGTCCCCTGCCGAAATCCCAAAATAAATAGATGACACATATTCATTAATCGCACATTTCTTTCTTTCAAAAGTGTTAGCAATCAATCAGATTATCACCTATACACTAAGTTTCATCACTCTCTATCAGATAGAATCAAAGTTATCTTGTCCCAAAGCATCGACCAATGAAATTGCTTAGCTTTCACTCGAGATGTTAATCATTGAACTCAGTCAAGACATTCACCTAATGAACATCTACATCAAGTTTAAACATTCTACCTCAATTAAAAGCAGAATTGTTATGTTCCAAAGTCTTGACCAATCAAATTGCTTATTGATCCAAAGCCTAAGCAGAAAATTCTCATCATCAAACTTAGTCATGGTAATGATATAATGAATCTATTCTCAGAGTTTCATCACTCTCACTTAATTAAAACCAAAGTTATCGTGCCCCAAAGCATCAACCAATCAGATTGTTTATCTCTGCTTACCGTAAGCAGACAATGTTTATCATCGAACTCCATCAAGGCATTCACCTAATGAATGCCTACACCAAGTTTGAAATTCTACTTCAATTTGAAGGCGAGTTATCGTGTTCCAAAGTCCCAACCAATCAAATTGCTTATCGCTCTGCTTACCCTAAGCAGAAAATGCTTATTATGAACTTAGTCAAGGTAATGATGTAATGAAACTATACACCAAGTTTCATCACTCGCACTTAATTAGAACTAAAGTTATCATGTCCCAAAGTATCAACCAATCAAATTGCTTATCTCTGCTTACCCAAAGCAGAAAATGCTCATCTTCGAACTCAAGGCATTGACCTAATAAACACCTACGCCAAGTTTGAACATTCTAGCTTCATTAGAAAGAAAGTTATTGTGTCCCAAAAATTGTGACGGACAGACAGACAGACAGACAGACAAACCCATTTTAATAGTCCCCTGCTTTCTTCCAAAGGCGGGGGACAAAAAAAAAAGAAGCTATTTTTCATACAATCAGGGGCCATAATCCAGGAAGTAACAGTCGATGTGCGCAAATATCAAAAGGAACCAAGATCTTTGGATTATAATCATACATTTCAAGTTTCATCAAAATCAGATAAAAATTGTGACTTCTAGAGCGTCCACAACCTTGGTATTACATACTTTTACACTATTTGTGTACAAGGAGCGGCCATTTTGTCCAGCAGTTTCGGTCAGATTTTTACGAAAGTTGAAGTCAACCTTCATTGATGTGTAACGGTGATATATTCAAATGGTTGTGACATCTACAGGGACCACAAGTTAAAAAAGTGATTTTTCGAACAAACAAGGAAGTTATGATCCAATATGCATGAATATCAAAAGAACCAAGATCTTTGGGTTTTAAAGACGTATTTCAAGTTTCATCAAAATCGCATCAAAATTATGACCTCTAGAGGGTCCACAACATTTATATACCATATACTTACACTTTTGGCGTACAAGGGGCGGCCATTTTGTCGGGCAGTTTTGGTCCGATTCTCATAAAATTCGAACTCAACCAACATTATGGTGTAACGGATATATATTTGAACGTTTTTTTTCAAATCGGAGATAATTGTGACCACTAGCGGGACCACAACCTAAAACCATGATTTTCCGTACAATCAGAGGTCATAATTCAGGAAGTTAAGATCTAATATGCGCAAATATCGAAAGGAACCAAGATAAGACATATATTTCAAGCTTCGTCAAAAACAAACAAAAATTGTGACCTGTAGATGGCCATAAACAAATTGTGGACGGACAGGGGCGACGGGATAATATGTCCACATGAAAATGTGGGCGTATAAAAATGCTGAAATATTTAATCACTATTGTCAACACTACATGAATTTTAGAGAGTTAAGATGACAAATTTATTCTATAATTCAAAATCAGATTTCATATGACTGACATAAGTTATGACAAAATAAGAAAACACAGAATATGGTGTATAAATTGAACTAAAAAATATTACCAGCAATAGGATCCATTGTCTCACGACTACTTGGAGATAATCCTGTCAATGTATTTCCCGCTGATGCAAAATGCATGTTGGCTCGTCTCGTTCTAGAACCACTGACACCACGACCAGGGTGAGGAATGCGTCGTACATGCCTCATACCTGATGGTTCATCGTGAAGAAATGAATCAAGGAAATTAAATTTAAAAATTGGAAGATATTTTCTAATCGAAGCAGATTGATTGCATTCAATCAAAGCTTGAATTGTCTCAATTCTCAATTCCACTATCAGCCAAACAATAAAGCTAAGGGTGATAAGCATGGTATGTGTTGGAGGAAAATGACAAAATGTAAACAATTTAAAGTGATTGATATGTAAATAACTTCTTACTGTCGAAAATTGATAAAGGAGAGAATAATTTATAACATAGTAAAGGATAAAAATAGTTATATCTAACCACTTTTTATTCTTTTTACAAAAATTTTACTAGAAGAAATGAAGTCTACTTAATAAAATGAGCAAAACTGATATTAAATTCTCTCCAATTTCTGTAATTTTGGACAGTGAGGTTTTTATAGTGAGTCTAATTATAGCAAGTTTAAAAAAGTATGAAAGGATATGACTTCTGTATCGTGACGCACTCTTCGACCAGATGATGTGACCAGGTGAGAAAGAGGTTAAGGATTTAAAAGCAAACAGGTAAAATCAAAATATTATAAAAATAACTTTTGTGCCAAGGCTCTTCTATAGCAGCATCACAACATGATCTAACAAAAATCAACCAAATACAAATGTTCTTATTAAAAAATAAAAAAAAACAAAACAAGAATGAATGTTTGAATCTATGTGCTAAAAATCAATCAGAATATTAAAACAGTGAAGAAAATATTAATGTGCATTGCAAATCTCTTTTAGTAAAGCCAAGAATAAAATCTTAACTCTATAGTGGCCAATTCTACAAAAATCTAAAACTAACTAAAAATATTGTTCTATATGATATACATTTAATGATGAAAATATAGACAAAATTGAATTTAAAAGGATATGAAGTCTCTAGGAGCTCGGTGTTCTATTGTTAAATGTGAAGCAAAGTCGTCTGTCACGTGATTAGGATCACCTCCTGGATGTGAAGCACAAATTGGGCACACCTACAAAATATTTGATAAAATTTGTACTTTTAAAATCAGTTTTAATGTGAAAACATCAAAGACTTAATCCTGAATTAGTGAACTTTCATGTATAATGAGGACAAAACCTTACAAGAAACCCCAATTAACTTTCACAGATATAGTATTAGCCTTATCAAAAAATTATGGCTTGATGTGAAATGAAATGGGGTTTAACATCCTACTTTCCTGCACCAACCAAGCTGATGAAGATGGGAATATGCCATTTATTGCGCTGAGGGGGGGAGTTTTGGAATGGGGGAATAGCCTCCCATCAACACAATACTTTGGATATTTTGAGACCAACATATTGTTAATTCCTTGTCAGCCCCTCCCTGCATTCACAATTAACAACTGAGCTTGGAAAATCATAACTTGGTCAACATTGAGATTTGTACTAGTGACCTACTCTTTATACAACAATGACTTTGTATGTCTGCAATAACATATATAGCAAAAGAATTTGAACGTAAAATTACCATAAAAGTGTGCTTTTGATGAATTAAATGTTTCACATTCGTATATTTTGATAATGAATTGTTGAAGCTATGCCATTTGAAATTTAAATGAAATGGGGTTCAACGTTGAACTGTTCTGCTCTGACTGGGCTAATGAAGACGGGCATACGCCATACAGTTTGCTATGAAGGAAATTTTGCCCAGACAGCAGCACTATGGCCTACTCTTATATCGAATTCCAACTGTCAATGGATATTTTATGTGCACTCCAATGTATACACGGGTCCTTGGTTTTTTGTATCATCCGAACGACTAGACAGCTGTCCTTGTCAGGCCCCACGACCTGCACCACTGACAAGGGGAAACCACGCCGGCTATGCCAGTTGACTAGGGCCTTAAATAAAATATCTTTTTGTTTAGAGTCTTCTGTCTCTAAGCATATCAGCTGGGTTTTTTTTTATAACTAGACTTGAACCACAAATAAAGGGTATTGATCTATCACAAATTGTATTTATAATATTCATGTTGTAGTTTAAGACACTTACCACTTCCGTTGAGACATCTGTATGTTCTGATGTAGCATGATCATGTAAAGTTGTTTCTGTAAATCCCATTTTACAACAGTATGGACAAGTGAAAGACTGAGGTTGCTCGGCTGTTAAGGCTTCACCACCATAAAATAAATCTGGAAATATTAAAATAAACAAGTTCTAATTGTAACGTACTTTTAAGGTTACACTTACAAGCTAATCAAGTTAAACAGCGATGATCCAATAGGGCAGATACCAACCTAACTAATAGGTGGGGGGTTTTTTGCCGGTAGGTAAATAGAATAAGCTTACTCCTTAATATTCCTCCTAGCAAATCTCAAAGTATCTTCATTCGTTGATCATATTTTGTCTATTTGTGCATCTCTACGGCTACACATACAAATCTCTCTGAGGCACCTGTACCCGATTTCTAAACATAATGTCACATGCATACCTCACTACATGAATTGTAAAACTAAAAAGAGTTGTACACGTATTTGTATAATTGCCATGTTAAATTAAAGTAATATAGCAATTACAATGTAGTGCTTTAAATGATAAATATAAAATGCTTACCAACATCAGTCCTAGTTAATATACACTGTACTGGATGATCTGCAGTATGTCTAGTTGTGGTTGCTCCAGCCTCATAACAGGTAGAACATAAATCATAATCATAACATATCAAACATTTATACCTTTTTCCACGAAAATTACCCTTTAAACAAGAATCACAGCTCACACCTGAATAAAAATGTTGACACTGTTTTAGTGATGCATCTTACGATAACAAAACTTAATTGTAATTTATTTGACTTTCTAAGAAACAAGAAATGAAGAAAGATATGCAGTCAAGGGGAACAAATTTCAGGAGAGACATTAAAATAAAATCATATCACAAGAACAGACTATATAATCTTCGGTGGAATAAAGTGTCACTTAACAAGTTTAATTAATAATTTCGAGTTTGGTTGAAATAAGTCTGGTAAACATGTCAAATCATGTATAGACACAGTGCTACTGTACATTATGTTTATCCAAACTATTGCATAAACTTATACTATACATTGAAAAAGAAGGAAGTATTTAATTTACTGAAACTAGAAATTTATTTTGGTATAATACATGTATCTTCGAACAAGATCGATAATAGATTCCCATTTAAGCAGAAGAATATCATTTTCATAATCTTTTTTAAAAAAACTAATTAACTACATCTTGAGAAGGCTTATATCATCATACAATATAAACCCACGGACACTCCCAAACTGGTACTTTGAAATGAATACCGTTAAATAATGTTTTTTATGGTAATTTAGCATCATTACAGGAGAGATGATAATGGATATGTACACTTGAATGTCTAAAAAATAAAGGTCTAACAATAACATGATCTGGATAGTGTCTTCAATTTGATCAAGTTCTAGACTTCTTATCAAAATAGTAAGATAATGATAATGGGAATTGGGATGGGTGTCTGACAAATGAAATCCTTTGCACAACACCCATAATGTGCAAATTAAAAAAGTCAGGCTATGGATAAGTGATGCACAAATCATTGTCAATAGGTGTCAAATGTTTTATTTCATTAGAATTCGCACAATGTAACAATATCCTCTTTAATGCGTCAGATTAACAAATTTAGCACGAAGCCATTTTGATGAAATCGTCAAATACTTACCCTCATGGCGGGACATATTAGCTAAGTAAAGTTCACTATGATCTTTTTTGACCTCTGTATTGCAAGTGAAAGGGTTAAAGATAAAAAAATATACTACAGAGGTAGATTAAGTTGTGTCTACGTTTGTTTCTAGGAGCTTTTCATGTGTAAATTCCACTGTACTTTCAGCTTAGGAGGCCATGATGACGTCACGCGATTTCTCGAGGCAGTACGAGACTTTGAGAATTTTTAATATAATTTTTATGTGAATAATTTTCCGTCCACGATAATTGATCAACTACAATCTAATTAAGTTGGCCTGTTTATCAAGACACTTGGATGATAATTTGTTATATTTTGTTTCATTTTCAGACTGACACGCTTTATTTATCAAAATGGCGTCTTCAGCAGGTCGTGTTCTTGTTTACGGGGGGAAAGGTGCTCTAGGATCAGCTATCGTTAGGTTTTTTAAATCAAAACAGTTTGTACGTCTTTTTTTGCTTTTTTTGAATATGCTTAAATTATTATAAATGCATGCTTCGTCTTGACCACACAGCAATTATATAAAACCTGTCGCTAATCGGAAGGGGCGAGAAGGTCATGTAAGGTCAGGTCAAGGTTTTAGATGTCAAAGGTCATTTACTTTATCTGCTTATCCAATCAAAATACTGAGAATTATCAATATAAGTTACTACTTTTAGTTTGGTAATGATTTATTCATGATGAAACTCCATCGACCGAAATATGTGACGAATAATTATACAACTCGACGCTACTGTCAACCTGTTTGGAAGAGCCTTGAAAACCTGTATGTCACGTGTGTGACCATCAAATTAGTTTAGATTTCTGAAAATCCCACTTCCTTCCATCTAAACTCACTGTATGATTATGATATCAATCAAAAATGATATATATTATTCAATCTGATTTAAAGAAGCTAATATTTGGTACCTAGATGTTGACAAGAAATGGGTCGCAACGAATATAATAATGTAAACTGAATGTATATAAACTGATTTACGTTCGTGTTTTCAGTGTGAAGGACTTTAGATGATATTGAGTTAGAGACTTAGTTACTTTAAATACAGATCTATATTTCGTTTCGTTTTTATACGCCCACAATGAAATGTGGTCGTATATTGTCGTCGCCCCCGTATGCTCTTGAGGCGAAAGTTAATATCCAAATGACTTTAAATGTAGACGGTCATTAGACGAAGAAACCTATTGATTTTCAATGGTGGGCTTGGATGGCGAAATGGTTAGTGCGTGCGTGCTGCATCATTGAGTCAACTGGCGTGGTTTCGATTCCCCTGTTGTACGTGACAAGGAGTAGGGTCGCCTGTCCAACCTTGTGGGTTTTCTCCGGGCCCTCCGGTTTCCTTCCACTGCTAAAGACCCCTACGCGCAAGCGAATTATTGAAATAAAATTGAACCGAATGTTAGTGACCGAAATGACCTAGTTTGTGTCAAGTGGAAGTTTAAAGTTTAAACACCATTCTGCTCTCTCTCTCTCTGATTTTCAACGACTTTCGAGTCAGGCTCTTGATCACTGTCCAACCTTGTGGGTTTTCTCCGGGTCCTTCATTTATTCCCACTGTTAAATACCCCTACGCGCAAGCGAATTAGTGAAATAACCAGCGGCTGCCAGGCAGGATACGCCCACATTTTCGAGAGATGGATAGAGAACAAGCTAAGAAGAAATGATTTTTCCTACAATCAAGGGCCATAATTCAGGAAATTACAATTCGATATGCGCAAATATCGAAAGGAGCCGAGATCTTTGTGTTATAAACTTACATTTCAAGTTTCAACAAAATCTGATTAAAATTGTGACTTCTATAGAGGCCACAACTTTGATATTGATATACCCTATTTTTACGCTATTTGAGAAGAAGGGCGGCCATTTTATCTGTCAGTTTTGGGCCATTTCAAACTCAGTCGTCCTTAGGGTGTAACGGTGATATAATAATACGGTTTTTATACGCCCACATTTTCATGTGGACGTATATTGTCGTCGCCCCTGTCCGTCCACAATTTGTTTGTGGACTCTCTACAGGTCACAATTCTTGTCCGATTTTGACGAAACTTAAAATATAGCTTTATCCCAAAAAAAACTCGGCTGCTTTCGATATTGGCATGTATCTGATCGAAACTTCATGGATTATGGCCCCTGTTTGTACGAAAAATCACGTTTTTAGCTTGTGGACCATATAGAGGTCATAATTTTTATCCGATTTAAAAAAACGTATTATTATATCACCGTTACACCCTAAGGACGACTGAGTTCGAATTTCGTGAAAATTAGCCCAAAATTGACAGACAAAATGGCCGCCGTTCGTTCTCAAATAGCGTAAAAATATGGTATATCAAAGTTGTGGACCCTATAGAGGTCACAATTTTTATACGCCCACATTTTCATGTGGACGTATTATTCCGTCGCCCCATCCGTCTACAATTGTTTGTGGACTCTCTACAGGTCACAATTCTTATCCGATTTTGACGAAACTTGAAATATAGGTTTATCCCCAAAAGATCTCGGCTGCTTTCGATATTGGCATGTATCGGATCAAAACTTCATGGATTATGGCCCCTGTTTGTACGAAAAATCACGTTTTTAGCTTGTGGACCCTATAGAGGTCACAATTTTTATCCGATTTTGTTGAAACTTGAAATGTAAGTTTATAACCCAAAGATCTCAGTTCCTTTCTATATTTGTGCATATCGGACTGTAACTTCCTGAATTATGGTCCCTGATTGTACGAAAAATCACGTTTTTAGCTTGTAGACCCAATAGAAGTCATAATTTTTATCCGATTTAAAAAAACGTTCTATTATATCACTGTTACACCCTAAGGACGACGGAGTTCGAATTTCATGAAAATTGGCCCAAAATTGACAGACAAAATGGCCGCCGTTCGTTCTCAAATAGCGTAAAAATATGGTGTATCAAAGTTGTGGACCCTATAGAGATTTTGATGAAACTTGAAATACATATTTATAACCCAATGATCTTAGTTCCTTTCGATATTCGCACATATTGGATCATAACTTCCTGAATTATGGCCCTTGATTGTACGAAAAAATCACTTCTTTTTTTGAGCTTGTTCTCTGTCCATCTCTTGCAAAATGTGGGCGTATCTTGCATGGCAACCGCTTGTTTAAATCGGATAAAAATTATGACCTCTGTAGGGTCCACAAGCTAAAAACGCGATTTTTCATACAATCAGGGGCCATAATTCAGGAAGTTACGGTCCGATATGCGCGAATATCGAAAGGAACCAAGATCTTTGGGTTATAAACTTACATTTCAAGTTTCAACAAAATCGGATTAAAATTGTGACCTCCATAGGGTCCACAACCTTGATATACCATATTTTTACGCTATTTGAGAACGAAGGGTGGCCATTTTGTCTGTCAGTTTTGGGCCGATTTTCACGAAATTCGAACTCTGCCGTCCTTAGGGTGTAACGGTGATATAATAATACATTTTTCTAAATCGGATAAAAATTATGACCTCTATAAGGTCCACAAGCTAAAAACAAGATTTTTCGTACAATCAGGGGCCATAATTCAGGAAGTTACGGTCCGGTATGCGCGAATATCAAAAGGAACCGAGATCTTTGGGTTATAAACTTAGATTTCAATTTTCAACAAAATCAGATAAAAATTGTGACCTCTGTAGGGTCCACAACCTTGATATACCATATATTTACGCTATTTGAGAACGAACGGCGACCATTTTGTCTGTCAATTTTGGGCCGCTTTTCACGGAATTCGAACTCAGCCATCATTAGGGTGTAACAGTGATATAATAAAACGTTTTTTTAAATCGGATAAAAATTATGACCTCTATAGGGTCCACAAGCTAAAAACGCGATTTTTCGTACAATCAGGGGCCATAATTCAGGAAGTTACGATCGATATGCGCGAATATCGAAAGGAACCGAGATCTTTGGGTTATAAACTTACATTTCAAGTTTCAAAAAAATCGGATAAAAATTGTGACCTCTATAGGGTCCACAAGCTAAAAAAAATGATTTTTCGTACAATCAGGGGCCATAATCCATGAAGTTTTGATCCGATACATGCCAATATCGAAAGCAGCCAAGATCTTTTGGGGATAAACCTGTATTTCAAGTTTCGTCAAAATCGGATAAGAATTGTGACCTGTAGAGAGTCTACAAACAATTGTGGACGGACGGACGTCCAGACGTCCGGACGGACAGGGGCGACGGCATAATACGTCCACATGAAAATGTGGGCGTATATCAGACCGTAACTTTCTGAATTATGGCCCCTGATTGTACCAAAAATCGCGTTTTTAGCTTGTGGACCCTATAGAGGTTATAATTTTTATCAGATTTTAAAAAACGTTTTATGATATCACCGTTCCACTAAGGACGACTGAGTTTGAATTTCGTGAAAATCGGCCCAAAAATGACAGACAAAATGGCTGCCGTTCTTTCTCAAATAGCGTAAAAATATGGTATATCAAGGTTGTGGACCCTATAGAGGTCACAATTTTTATCCGATTTTGTTGAAACTTGAAATGTAAGTTTATAACCCAATGATCTCGGTTGCTTTCGATATTCACGCATATCGAATTGTAATTTCCTGAATTATGCCCCCTGATTGTAGAAAAAATCACTTTCTTGTTAGCTTGTTCTCTATCCATCTCTCGAAAATGTGGGCGTATCCTGCCTGGCAGCCGCTGGTTTATACTTTCCATGGCCTCTACTGCATGAAGATCTGACCAGTTTATGTGGGAGGTCGCGTCAGGGGTCATTTGGGTGGCTTTTGCCCCAATGATATCAGACATTTGATTAACCTTATCAACTTTGATGTTTCTAGCAGGATACCGGTACCCACAGTCCCGGCATAGCACGCCAAGAAATCGCTGCAACAGACCGTTTCATTAGCTAATCACTCACATCAACCAGAACGGGGGTTAAATAACCACTCTTCCACATCCTAGTGTAGTAAAGACAAGTGAAATGAAATTTTGAACTGTAACAAACAAAACGAAATAAGATCTGTGTTTTAATCAGATTGTGATATTATTATAATCAGTCTTGGAATCTAAAAGCAAGATAACAATAGATGATCCCCCTTGACACAACACAATCTGCAATAGGAAATCTATGAAATAGAATTTTTTAAAAAGAACGGCTACTGTCAGTACTTTGTGTACTAGAACACCAGTTAAAACTGAAAAGGGACCATAATGGAAATGTGCTCTGTCCGTACTTAGGTACCATACCATTATTATTCCAGGGCCTATCTCAGACACGATTCAAGATTAAACATAATGAAACTTTGTACACACATTATATTTATTGTATTAGTAGTTAGCCATTTGATAATTAGAGAAGTCTTGGGTTACTAGTTGTTGCATTCCCATGGAAATAAATTTAACTTACATTGTAGATTTTTGCATACAGTTATTATTTGAAAACATATCTCAGTTCAGTTGATAATCTACATTTAATTTTAATTCATTTTCAAGGAATATGCCATTAATACTGCAGTGGACTTATGTTTCATTGCCTGGCAACCTACCTTACATTTAGTAATATTATGATGGGTTTTTTTTCTTTAGTGGGTTGGTTCTATTGATCTTCACCCTAATGAAGAAGCTGATGCCAATGTGGTTGTGAAATCTGCAGAATCATGGGTGGAACAAGAAGATTTGGTTGTAAAGGCTGTAGAGAGTGTTGTTGGAGATGGTAAACTAGATGCTATTTTATGTGTAGCTGGAGGCTGGGCTGGTGGAAATGCTGCATCAAAAGGTATGTATGTATTGAGTGGATCGCTTGCTAACCAAGAGGTCTTGGATTCGTTCCCGCTGTTTGTCGTGTAAGTTCCTCAGAAGTTTCTGGCTTGGTTTCCTCTTGTTAGTGGTGCAGGTCCGAGGGTCTGTCAAGGACAGTGTCTAATTGTTCAGATGGGGTGGAAAACCGGGGTCCTGCATACACATTGGTGTGCACTTAAAAGAACCCTTGACATTCGAAATTCGATATAAGAGTATGTCGTAGCACTGCTGTCTGGGCAAAATGTCCCTCATACTCATAGCACACTGTATGGTGGTGTATGCCCGTCTTCATAAGCCCAAGAATGTAAGATGTTGAAATGCCATTTCATTTCATTTATGTACTAATAGAAATCCCATGATGGCAAGAACCCAGAAGCAAATAGGCAGTGTAAACACAACATGTCTCCTACAGCATTTTAAGATGAAATTGTAGTAAAATTAATTCAAAGAATAAATTTTTCTATAGAGGTGTTTTGAAATATTGATAAGAAACAACAAGTATTTTTTTAATGAAATAATGACAAGTCTGTTATTTCCATATCAATATACTGACATTTTAAGAGCTGAGATTTTCACCTTTTCATTGGAGCTGTGGTCATTGTGTGGTTAGTACACTTGATTAACAATAAAAAATGTCCTGGTTGGGAATCCGAGTTTAGCCTGAGATGAACCTTTCGGAATTATGCACCTGTCAGACTGACTAGGATTGTGTCTAGTCATTCAGATGGGCCAGAAAATTGGTAGAGCATTCACATAAGAGAGACCAAGGCAGTTGGAATTGGAAGAAGAATGGGTTGAAATTCCAGACGAAATTCAAATCTAACTGTAGAAATAGAATTACCACATGATGGTCTCAAAATGACAGAAATAAAGTGTCAGGGAGATTTTAAACCCCATTTCTTTGCATTCCATGTCCTACAGATCGGAATAAACATTTAGATTTCTTTTTGCAGATCTGGTGAAAAATGCTGATATGATGTGGAAACAGAGTGTATGGACATCAACGATCGCATCAAGTCTTGCTGCTAAATATTTAAAAGATGGTGGAGTATTAACATTACCTGGTGCTCAACCTGCTTTAAATGGAACAGGAGGTAAGATTAGAATATGGAGGATTCCATCTCAAGTTATTATCTCTTAATAATATTTCTTTCTTTCTTATATACGTAGTGATAGGTTTTGTATTTTTTGGAGTTAAGTAGCTAAGAGAGTATGGTGAAGGCTCACTAACCAGGAGGACCCAGGTGTTGGTTGACAAAGTTCTTCTGGATTTTCCAGCTTTCCTTGCTGGCATAGAGATCCATTTAGTCAATTGGACGGGGGGGGGGGGGGTACCAAAGAACCTTTGGTATATGAAATTCAAAGAAGATTAGGCAGGATACTGTTGTTGTCCAGGCAAAAATTATGCCATAGCACACTACATGGTGTTAGCTCATCTTCATTAGCCCAACTTCCATTTCTAAAGCAAAATGCAAACAAATATGTGTAATGTGTTAATTACCACTAGCACGTGACCAGATTGTATTCTTTCATTCATATATCTGTATTTAAAGATTTAGAAGAGTGTTCCACCCTTTATGTTAGTTACTAAAAGTAATTGAACAATTAGTAGTGAAAGGCTAGTCTACAGTCATTTGCATTGTTGTATGGTTAGCATCTATTCACCATTCGTATCCACAATTACGCCATGTTTTTTTAGGTATGATTGGTTATGGTATGGCTAAGGCAGCCATACATCAACTAGTTAAAAGTTTAGCTACTGATACCAGTGGTATGCCACCAAACACTCTTACTGCTGCTATATTACCGTGAGTACCTACATTATTTAAGATATGTCTTTTGCCATTAACCAATATATCCTTATCTTACAAGAAATATTGCCATGTTAGTTTTTAAAGTGTAAACCAACAGCCCAGTAAGTCTAAATCTCAGAAATTTTATTGGCATAATAATTTTTATCATCTGTAACATATCATTACTACTCGTGGGAAACAGCTAAATAGTGTCACATGTTTTGTCATCAAAGTCGGGTCAGTCAACAAAATTTTCAATACAGAGACAAACCTCTAGACCGGAGGCTCAGCGCGGGGGGGTGTCCATCAAATGGGCACAAAACCAGACCCGTTGGGGCGTTTTCGAGATATTTGGGGTCAAAGGTCAAATGAGTTCATTTGCACTGAAAGTGAATGCTCAGTCATTCTTGTATTATGAAAAGAAGCTGAAAGTGATCGAAAGTAATCACACTGTATGCCTGTTTTAGATCGTGGTTGTTAATGATAATTTACCCCGGTTGTGCCAAATTTTCACGTCAATTATTTAAATTCAAGTACCTGGTATATTGTTAAACTCAGTTGTCTGAAATGTTCTGATGTGTTCTTGTGAAAATTGGTAAATTTGTTGGAGTAAGCAAGACATTAAGCTGTATTTATATTATTTTGAATACACATATTAAAGTCTATCATGCATTATTTAAATATACATATTCCTTAGATGATTTTCTGTTTATTAAAGTGTTACCTTGGATACACCGATGAACAGGAAGTGGATGGCTAATGCTGATTTCTCTACATGGACCAGTTTAGATTTTGTAGCTGAGTAAGTCTAAAATTTTACATCTTTCAAATCCGTCTCAAGTTGTTTGCAACAATTGGGTGCACTTAAAAGATTGGCTAAGGCAGAAGCTTACTGCCGAGACAAATTTTATTTTGCTTTGAACAGTCATGATTATTGTTTAGCTTTATTGTTTAGCTTTAGAACAATGTGAAAAGCTCAAATTACATTTACATTATGACGTGTTGAGGGTGTACGATTTAGTGGTATATTGTAAGTAGTCCACCAAACAAAACCATACCGAACACAACCATACTGGGCTTCCGATAATGCTTTTCAATCATTTAAAAAAAAAAACATTCAAATATATGACCGTTAAACCATAATAATGGTTGAGTTCGAATTTCGTGAAAATGGCCGCTCCCTGTTTGCAAATAGTGTTAAAGCATGTAATATCAAGGTTGTGGACCCTCTAGAGGTCAAATTTTTTATCTGATTTTGATGAAACTTAAAAATATTCCAAAATTCTTGGTTCGTTTCAATATTCACGCATAACAAACTGTAACTTTCTAGATTTTGGCCCCTGGTTTACAAGAAAAACACATGAATTTAGCTTGTGGGCCCTCTAGAGGTTACAATTTTTATATTATTTTAAAAATGGTTTAAGTATATCACCATTACACCCTGATGATGATATATCTTTGTATCCCAAAGATCCCAGTCCCATTTGATATTCTCGCATTTCAGACCATAACTTCCTGGATTATGGTCCCTTATTGTACGAAAAATCACGTTCTTTTTTTTTTTAGCTTTTTCTCTATCCATCTCTTGCAAAATGTGGGCGTATCTTGCATGGCAACTGTCTGTATCTATTGTAATGATCAATATGGTTTTTTGTCTATTGTAAATATCAATATGGTATTTTATCTATTGTAAGGACAATATACTCTTAGTATTTATCTGATGTAATGATCAATTAGTATTTTATGTAATGTAATGATCAATATACCAGTAGTATTTATCTGATGTATTAAATGATCAGTATGATATTGGTGTATATTTTTCAGGTTATTTTATCAGTGGACAAATGGAGAAAATAGACCAGCTAATGGCAGCCTTGTACAACTGCTGACTAAGGAAGGAAAAACCAACCTTGTTATTTCTTAACTCAATCTTGCCAAACCTGAGGATGCCACTAGGCATAGTTCCTATTCTGTCCTTTTATTTCTATTATGCAGCATGACTTTTTCTAAGAAATTTTGACTAGGCAACAAAAACAATCTTTGAATGGGAATACAACTTTCAGGACAATTACTGTTTCAATTACCATTGATTTGGAGACATAATTATGAAATAATTTGATTAGAAAATGTTTGTTTTAATTAAATGGCTTTACTTTCATTCTTGACAATAAACTGACATACAGAAAATGTTAATAGATCATATCCTCTCTATTCACTCTGGGACTAGCATCAATATGTGACATTAATACTGCTCAGTCAAAAACTTTGAGGATGCTCTATTACAAGATGAGGAGTAGTTATTTTATTAGCTTATCTATCAATGTAGACCAGGTAGGATCAGAATAAGAACCAGTCCAAGAGGCCAGAATAGGAACCAACTATTACAGTAGTCTTTTATAAATGAATGGGGAGGGTTGGGGTGGGGGAATGGGGGTAGTTGAGTCATAAACCATTTCATACATTTTGAATCTCAAATCTTTTATGTTGAAAGGTTGATAGCTTTTATCAATTTAATTGTTGATTATTTTCTTTGTTATTGGATTAATTAAGGGTAAATGGTGCCATATTGGAGGATTTTGATACTCTACTTCGCAGAAAAGTTTACATTGATTTTTTTTTTTTTTGAAAAAAGTACTGTCCCCTATTCTTGGTTAGTGTATAACTGCTACCTAGAAAGAGTTTATTAACTATATTGGTAGTGGGTCTGTTTGTTTACTAGTTTTTTTGGTGAGGGGTTCATTTTGTTGATGACCTTATTAATTATCGTTACTGATAACATTCCTTATCAAAAATCTTAAGATTGTTAAAGGCCCACTTACATTGGTGATTTCCATATAATTTCAGCAGATGGCACATTAAATTCTGATATCAGGTTTCAACCTGTTGCAGTGTATGATTTTTATGAGTTTTGTCTCTTTTTTTTTTTCTTGTAATCAGATTGAAAGTGGACCTTTAACTGGTAAAATCTTCCTTTTACCTCCTTAATTGTTTCCTGTGATTAAATAAAGTGTTGTGAAATTATTTTGATAGAATAATTAGATATGACTGTAGGATATAGACATTTTGAATATGACTGTAGGATATAGACATTTTGAATATGACCGTAGAGTGTAGATGTATTATATATATAGCTGGTAGAATAGCTTCATATTGTATGAATATATTAATCTAGTCACAATAGTGTCAACTAAGTCATCTTTATATTATGTTTCTCATTTATTATATTTTTTAGCATAATTAATTTAATTACCAAAGATTGAGATTGTATTGTATAACTGTCAATGGCCTGTCTAAAGTTGATTGAATCTGACAAAACCTTCATGTTTATTAAAGGAATATATGCAAGACAGGGTTATCGATGAATTTATTATATAGTAGAATGTCATGTTCTATAATTGGTGCAATTATTACATTCCATGGTTATTATATTCCAGTAAAATCTTTGTTTTATGAAAATTGTTATATTTGGTGCAAATTTTTGTTTTATGACCACATTTATTGATACATTTTGGTAATTGAATTAATTATGCATTTAGTATCCCTAACTGCCATTTTTTTTTCTTCCAAAATGTATGTTTATAAATGTAATATATATAAACCTCTTTGTTTATAAATGCAATGTTAAACCTCTGTCTATAAATGTAATGTATAAACCTCTTTTTTTATAAATGTAATGTATAAGCCTCTTTGATTTAGGTCAAAATAATTGGGTTGATTTGATGTGTTATTTCACTAAATGATAAAGCAAGATCTACATGATTATGGTTTTGTTTTGAATGATTGAGAAAAATCTGGCTCGTCTACGGTGTCAACAGGCTTTATCCATACATTTAAAACATTGTTTTCCCATAACATATAAAATGCAATGACAGTTTTATTTTTGACCCAGATCAAAGGGGACTAATTATGTCATTGCAGGACATTAATGCTTACACTTTAATGCTTGTAAAAATAGTCACTTAATTTCACACCACAATAAATGCTTGGTCACATTAGTTTTGTATTGAATTTAAAAGTAGTCCTATTTTAATGATGTTATACCTGTATTAATAGAGAAGTATAATAAAATTGTTAGCATAACCAAATAAATGGGAATTGGTGTCAGGTGTTATTCTACTAGAATGAGTTATACGCATATTATGCTTTTTGCATGACACATGTTACTACTTGTGGCTAAAATACCCTTAATTTTGAGTACAGATTTTTTACTAGAAGTATTGTTTAAAAGTAATTTCTTTCGTGTTTTCTAGAATAAACTAGATATTTGGGAAATCAAAAATGGAATTTATAAAACATAAAATAAATGTTGCATGATACTAATGTTGTACATGACCTAATTTCATGACACAGTGAATAAAGAGGCAATAAATTGAAATTTCTTAATTTGAAATGAATTGCTCAAAATTCATGTTTTACATAATTGCAATATAACATTGTTATTTAATCAAATTGAAAATCAAAAGGAGCTTTACAGTCAAAAGAACTTGCATAATAATAGATAAGAGAAATCCTAAATAGTATCAGTTTTGAGTAAAATACATACCATATATTTCATATTAAAGTTGGTTTTGATTCCCCGGTTGTACGTAGGGTCGCCTGTCCAAACTCCTGGGTTTTCTCCAGGTCTTCTGGTTTCCTTCCACTAATAAAGACCCCTACGCACATGCGAATTATTGAAATAAAATTGAACCATATTTTAGTCCCGAAATGACCTAGTTTGTGTCAAGTGGATGTTAAACCCCATTTCTCTCTCTCCCCATATTAAAGTACCCCAAAAATCTGTCTTCATTTGCCCAGTTGGTGCAGAAACATGGAATGTTAAACCTCATTTCATTTGATATATAACTTAAACATTATTAGCATTGAAAACTCCTCAAATGAGAAGTGGTATCGGGTGTTCTAGAAAAGCTAATTATATTCTCATTCTCAAACTAAGTAGAGATGCCACAGTCAGAATAATATGGAGTGGAGAATATCAGAAGTGTTAAAATAAAATGAAATAACATTAATTTTGTTGGATATTTGTCACATAGAAAGAGGTCTTATGTTTTTAGATGAATATATTGAGTATTTCTAGTTATATTGAGTATTTTATTAATCATTAAGAGCAATAATAGTTGTTATTACATGTATTACATGTATTTGTAATGTATATTTGGATTTTTGTTAGTTGATTATAAATGAAACTTATAGATCATGTTGGATAAAAATAGACACATAATGCCAAGATCATGAAAACTCTTTTAAGACATAATAAATCAGAATCTTTAATTACATGTGTTGTGTTTATTCCAATATTCAAATTTTTCTTCCTTTCATACAAATCAGATCAAAAAATGATCCTTGATACAGAATTTTTCTTGTTTTGTATCTGTATTCAGTATCAATACTTACCTTTGAATGTGAAATGAAATGGAGTTCATGTCTAGCACATTACAAATATTAGTTTGGTTATTTTGAGACTAACACAAGTATATTTATTCTCTGTTTAGTATGCATTGCAGGAGAGAATTAATTGTGTCATGAACTGCCTGGGGATCTTTTTTTTTTTTTTATTGAAAACCTTTCAACATCCAAACCTTGATGGTTGATAGCCTTTGCTTAGCTCCACACACCAATTGGAAAGACTAGCCTTTCTCAGATCTTGCTACTGAACTAAGAAAATATGAGGAGAGCAAGGGTTTCTCTCCCTGCATTTTATTCGAGGGCATGTAGCCGATGATCACAACCTAATAGAGTGCAGGGTCCTGTCTAGGAATTTCAGAAGTGTAGAGTGGACGCAACATGGTGTTTGGTGATGGGTTATGGGGATTACCTGAGAATTTTATAAAATCTGAAGCTCTGACACAATATTTCGGCTCATTTAGGCATAGGATAAGAGTGGAGTGAGGCTAAACTGCTTTGCACATTTGTTTATTTAACGTTATTTCAATGAATGTAGGAGAAAATATATCCTCTGTGACCCCCTCCGCCTATAGTGTTCAGTTAATAATGCTAGTCACTGATTTATACGAGTGGGTAATGTTGAATGATTCCAATTATTCTATGAAGGCTAAAGCACAAGACTGAGGTTATGCTAGGGAAAGAACGACTGAAGAAAATAACCTGAGGAAAAGAAAATGTCTTTCTTCCCCCGCATAACTGAAGTCAAGGACTTTATCTTCCTTATAAACCCTCTATGTTTACATGTACGTAAAATGAGAATATTCCAGAATTCCAGTAAGAAAAACCTTATATCATGTTTCTTAATGGAAAAAATAACCTACCGTAGAGGAATAACTTTCAGAAGAAAACCCCCAAATTCCCCTGTATATATTCAAAGCCACCCCCGACTTTCAGACCGCAAGTTATTCCGGGCATATAATATACCCCAAAGATCAAAGAGATTTACCGTTATAGGTTTATAATATGGAAAAAACCCTTCCCTGGAAAAATAACCTGTTACTGTTACAGGTTTAAAAAACTCTCAGAAGCATAACACCAAATTCCCCTATCAGCTGTATATATTCAAAGTCGCCCCGACTTTCTGGGCGCAAGTTATTCCGGCCATAGGATATAGCCCAAAGATCAAAGAGATTTACCGTTATAGATTTGTAAGTGCACAGGATGAACAGAATATAAAGAAAAAAATAAGAGTCACAAATGATGTTAATTTACTTGATTTTCACTGCATAGTTCAATTATAATTTTAGGCACTTTCAACATTTCTAAAACAAAACAAAATATCTAATAACTCCACCTAAACTCAACAAAAGATATCTAAAAAGTAAAAACCAAGTTACAGCATAACAAATATTCATATAATAGCTACCTGTATCATTACAAGCACAGAATACAATGTAAAAACTGCACACTTCAAAGCAGTAGGAACAGTCATCATGAGCACTGGTCAAAAGTAAACATTATTTTAATAGACATAAACCACACAAATCCACCCAGATTAGATGTAAAGTTAGCTGGGACATAAATACAATATATTTAAAAATCCCTGGTGTAAGATATAAACATACATGTAATGAAAATATTGGTGAAATAGAATACCTAAAATAAACGTGGTTAGATATAAATTAGCACTTTTGCCACCCAACACTTCTACAGCTGTATACTAGAACTTCTGTGGCTCTGGTAGTTTGAGGTGTATTAGTTTTGGTCAGTTTGGGAAAAAAGCTATAAAACTTAATGTAAAAATATATCTTTTGTGTAATCTTCTTCAAGGAAACAGGGTAGTCAATATTATCAAGTACCAAGTACATGGTTACTGGTATATTGGTCTTAATTCAAAATTATCATTTTTTTTTCTTTTCGTTTTCAACTTCTGATTTTCTATATTACATAAGTATAATTGAATTGGATAAAAAAACTTGAAATGGAACATCAGACAGAGGAAAACAAACTGAATTTAATTATACCGATATTATACAGGAATATAATATACACAAAAATAGATACTTATTTTTGCACAAATTTTACATAATTTCTATACACAGTTAAATTGAATTGAAATAAATGGATACAAAATGGTGCCGTTCTCTTATATATTACTGAAATTTGCATAGAATATCTTTAGTATAAAATTTACAAATTCTATCAAAGACTAGCGGTTGCCAGGCAAGATACGCCCACATTTTGCAAGAGAACTTAACCGATATTACGGTGTAACGGTGAAATATTTGAAGGTTTTTTTTTAAATCAGAAAATAATTGTGACCCCTAAAAGGACCACAAGCTAAAAAAGTGATTTTTCGTACAATCAGGGGCCATAATTCAGGAAGTTACGATCTGATATGCGCGAATATCAAAAGGCACCAAGATTTTTGGGTTATAAACATGCATATCAAGTTTCATCAAAATCAGATGAAAATTGTTTCCTCTACAGTGTCCACAAGCTAAAAACGTGATATTTTGTACAATCATTACAATATCGAAAGGAACCGAGCTATATTTCAAGTTTTGTCAAAATCAGATAAAAAAAATTGTGACCTGTAGAGTGCCCACAAACAAATTAACCTAGACTCAACACAAACTAGGTCATTTCAGGACTAACTTGTGGTTCAATTTTATTTCAATAATTTGCTTGCGTATACAGGGTCTTTAGCTGTCGAAGGAAACCCCCAAAAAACCCAAAGGGTTCGACAAGCGGCACTACTCCTTGTCACTACAAGCGGCGAATCGAAACTTGACTCAATGACAGACCTTGAGATCTAATGCGCAGGTCAAACGCGTGTGTGTTAAACCATTCGCCCACCAGATTCCTTAAAATGTACAAGAAAAATACCTTTAATCACAGCAATTACATTACAAACGAATATCAAGTAAATATCAGATATATTTGAAGATTGATGGGGTTTTTTCAACTTCCTTAACATTGTGAATAAATTTCATCTTGGGTTCTTGTTTCAGTCATATGTTTTTTCAACTTCCTTATCTTAATATTGTGAATAATTAACAATTATGATAATTAACAATCTATTCTATATCTTGCCAAAACTTCAAACACAGATAACTTTGCTCAGAATAAATTTATTTTAATGAAATTTGCAATATTTCATTTTTGAATATCTATTTTTGAACAACAAACTCTTTATCTAAATCTTACATCTTTAATAACCATATGTGTTAATTCTATATGAAGTTGGCATGTGTTGTATATGAATAATTCAACAGAGGTAGAGTTTTAACAGAAATCTTCATAGATCACAAAAATTCAACAGGATACATCACTTAGCTGAACACATATAATACATGCTGCTAATTTCACAAAACCCTGATTTAATATAATACGTTCTTCAATAACAAATCTGCATAGATGAATTCCACAAGAACTCATCGGAACACAGCACAGTAATCTGACAGCACTTGTGGTTGAAGAATTAATGGAATTTAAGATCCAAGAGTCATCAAATAAAACATATCACCATAATGTCCAGGGTGGTTTATTAGCTCGATTTGGTAAAACTCCAGTTATATTGATTGGTATATTAATAATGGCTTTATCTAATTTTAACCTTTCTAATTCTTTTCTTATCATGGCACTGAAAGAGAATGACACAATGACAATATTATAAATCATGTTTTCAACCAAATAACACAGAATCTGTGGTATAGATTAAAGACAAAAGATGTAATAAAATGTTTGACAGGTAATGAAAGCCTGGATATAAATGTTTTATGTGTGCAAGCAAACTTCTAATTTGTAAAACAGCAGACAGTGACACAATGAAATGTTGATATAAAATAAAATAAATTACTACATACCCATCTTTACCAAGTAAAAATAAGGAGGGAATAGAAGTTTCACGTTTTGTTTCATCACTAACCATGTCTATTAAGACATTATCGTTATCAGTATTATTATCAGTTATTATAGCTGCTACACCACCAGCTTTTTCAACATTATATGTCTTAGTTAAAAACGAACAATGTCTGAAAAATAACATTACAATGATGTTATGGAAGATTGCTAAAATGAAAGTCCTTCTATTCCATTATTGGAATAAAGAATTTGTAAACAGATGATCATACAAAACTTTTCAGGAATGAATTTTTATTTAAATGGTAGTTTAGGAGTTACTTCAGTACCAGAGCATATTAATCCTTTAAAAGTACAATGTAAAAAAAGTCAATTTACCCTCTAGACACCATCACAACAGAATTTTGGATGTAATTAGTTATAGGACTGCAGGCCTCATATGGTTCAGCTATTATTAAATCAACATATCTTAACATAGACGTCTGTAACGAAAGAAAAAATTACCAAATAATAAAATGAATTGGTTTATTTAAGTCCATTATCCCTACAACTACAATCGAAATAACACTCAAAACAACTAAAATCATTTTGTTAAATGGTGCCCATGTCACTTTAATTATTGTTTGTTATCAAAAAAAAAAAGAGCTCTGAATTTGAATAACTTACAAAAGGCACTCCAAAATCTGTTGAAGGTTTTAATTTATATGTATAACTGATGGACTGAGGCTCTATTACTTCAAAATATAATGTACCATCCAATGTTATGGTAATATCATTGGTCGTGGCTAATTGTGAACTGAACACTGCAAATCAAATAAAAAATAATAAGTCAATGATCACAATCACATTTAATATCCAATTAACACCTTATTTTTTTAGCATAATTGAAAAAAATTAGGATTGGTTTTACTTTTCCTGTGAATTAGAGGAACAATATTTTTTCAGATGAGTTGAAACGGTATTATTGGCAACGAGAACATCGCTAAATCATTGACAAATCTCTAGGACTAGCCTATTACTTTATTAGGTGAGAGAAGAGCCATAGCCATGGCCCGCATGGGGCAGGGTTATCGGATACCTTCTTTAAACTGCTCACCAGAAATTCCAGCTAATACACTTGTCATTTAAACTTTTAATAATTAGTGTTTACTAATAATAGTCAAATAAAACATGATATGCTTACCTTGGACGAATAATTGAGTAAAATAAATAAAAAACATAAAAAGCCGACAGAAACGTACTTCGTTGCCTTCCATCTTGGATTTTGCAGACTACTACTTCCGGTATTTTGTTTGTGAGAAGATATTGATACGATCATTATTTATTATGGCATAGAAAAATATTTACTAGGTCGTAAAACAAGTGGTTTTGATTAAAATTTTATTATAATTATCATATAAATATTGATATTTTATATAAACTAGATATTTTTTAACGAAAAATATTACAATATAATAACTGCACAGTAGAAGGTCCCTCTTAAATAACACGTAAGTCACGATTGAACTGTCCCAGTTAGTAACAGTCGGGGTTAGTAGGACATGGTGGATCATACTGAGATTTAATAATATTGTTTTGAATACAAAATATTATTTACACATTTTGTTTTAAAAGTAGATCAATGTTGTGAGATACTGTAGGTAGACCGGTAGGCGTTAGTCACATTGTGAACTGCTGAAAGTGGAACTGTGACTGATAGTGACTAGCCTATATATATATATTATATTGCATAAGGATTCACAAGCAATCAAGTTATTCAAATAAAAATGTCAACTGCAGTAGTTATAGGCGGGGGTATCAGCGGATTATCGGCAGCGTATTATCTTCAGAAACATGCTGGTGAAAAAATTGGCAAGATAATTCTCTTGGAATCAAGCAAGAGAGTAGGAGGATGGATGAATTCAACAAGACATGCTGATGGTGCAATATATGAGAGTGGACCTAGAAGCTTGAGAATTGTAGGAAAGCCAGGAAGAAATGCATTGAATCTCATTGAAGATTTAAATCTAGAAAATGAAATCCTTCCATTAACCTCTAATAATGCAGCTGCCAAAAATCGTTATTTATACGTTAATGGAGCACTCTGTGCCTTACCAAATAATTATATGGGCTTTTTACGAAGACAAGACCCATTTTCGCGATCACTGCTTTGGCAGTTTGCAGGTGAAATTTTCAAAACACGGTCTGACCTCGAAGATGATTCAATTTACAATTTTTTCTCCCGTCGTGTGAGCAAAGAATTTGCCGATATTGCTGTTGATTCAATGTGTCGTGGAATCTTTGCTGGTAATTGCCGAAACCTTAGTATGAAAGCCTGCTTTAAAGACATATTTAATTTGGAGAAAACTCACGGTTCTATTGTTTTAGGGCTTCTGAGATACCCAAAAGTACCTGCTGACGAATTAAAACCAAAATTAATACAAAAAGCGAGATCTGAAAAATGGGCATCTTATTCATTTAAATCTGGATTACAGCAGCTATCGGATACGTTATTGGATGCTATCAGTAATCATAAAATGGTGGATATTCGACTTAGTTCACCAGTGCAAAAAATGAACCTGAAAGATAATGGTCGTATTTCAGTTATCACAGATGAAGATGAAATCCAAGCTGACTATGTTCTGTCTTCAGTTTATTCAAAAAACCTTGCCGCAATGTTGAATAGTGACAACAATTATCTTAAGAGTCATTTAAATGCTATATCTGCTGTAAGCTGTGCAGTAGTTAATTTAGAATATGAGGGAAATCTTCTACCAGTACAAGCATTTGGACATTTAACACCATCATCAGAGAGTGGTCCCATACTTGGAATAATATATGATTCTTGTTTGTTCCCGTCCCATGATAGTAACAAGAATATACCCACCACACGATTGACTGTCATGCTTGGAGGGTCGTGGTCAGAACAACTAAAAACAAACGGATCGTGGATGAGTGAAGCTGATATAACAAACATGGCAACAAAAGCAGTTAGAGATCATTTAAAAATCTCAAATGAACCAATCAGATCTAAGATATCATTATTAGACAACTGTATTCCGCAGTATAAAGTGGGCCATACCAACATATTATCCCGTATGGACAAATTTATCGAGGACAAAAATCTCCCCCTCTATTTGATTGGTTCATCTTATCGAGGTGTTAGCGTGAATGACTGCATTCTAAATTCAAAATTAGCTGTTGAAAAGATTGTGTAAAGTGTCTTTATATTTACTGGGAATGTTGTTGTTTATTACAGGTTTAATGTCCAATACATTACATATGATATTATTGACAGTTTACCAGGCATTATCAAACAGGCTACCTATTTTATTGATACCAATGCTTTTTTATTGGTGAATATTAATTAGTGGTTAATCTTGGCTTTCAAGATTAATTAAATGATTTTATGAGTATTTTAGTCCCAGTTTTGAAGATTTTCATTTGATTCCAATTATGAAGCATATGGTATACGGTATTCACATGAAATGCTGATCTTTCTTGAAAAATATTTTGTCAGTAGTGGAGAGGGAGGGGGTCATAGTAATCCCCTAACCCAATATTCGGATCAAATTCAAAATAGAATTTTGTAGACTAATATTCCAATTAGTTGTTCCAAGAATCTCACTAAAATTATCAATACAGTATACATATCCTTCAAAAAAAAAGTCAAAGTTCGTTTTTGTATAAGGGTGACATCGAGCACCCCCTAAATGGTCATGTATGTCTACGTTTGTCCGTATACTCGCTGTAGGCAACATGATAGCTTTAGACAACAGTACATCATCTTCATAATGTGACAACTGTATTACAACATTAACAATACCCAAACTTTTTAAATCTTCATAAAATTCATTTATCTAAAAAAAAATACATGTGTATATATTTTTCATGCCAATGTCCCTCACTCCCCTGATGCATTCAAGTTATTGAACTTGTATGTCGTAACATTTTGACATTTGTGACGATGACAGCAGATAAATCTTGAAATAAAAATATTGTTACCGGTATAAGAAAATGTTATATTTTTGTTAAAACTTATAGTATATTGTTTTGTATACAATAATAGTGCTAATTAATCTTTTACTATATTTGTAATGAATAGCTTATATAAATATATATTAAATGTAACAGCTGAGTTTTTGAAATTTGATTTATGTGTTACGAAATAATGTGGGTTGTTTGGGTAGGGAAATGTTTGGAGCTTACCTGTGAGTAGTTTTGACAAATTACAGACAAGATTACTGCACAGATGACATAGCAGCTTTTATCCATCTACTCTGTTCAGAGCCACAGTGACTCAGGCCGGGATTTCCCGGTGTGGTTCCCCCTTGTCAGTGGTGCAGGACTGAGGGCTTAGCAAGAGAAAATGTAGTCGTTCGGATCGGACAAAAAATTACCCTCATAGCACACTCTATGGCATATGCCTGTCTTCATCAGCCTAGTCGGAGCAGAACAGTAGGATGTTAAACCCCCTATTTCATTTCATTTTCTACTCTGTTCGCCTAAATGTGTGGTAATTTTCTTGTTGCATTAATTAGATGTTTTACGGTACCAGTATAAAATTTATAATCATTCCTTGAGTTCCTACTAGAATCTTCATAATCAGATTGCTGTTGAAACATCCATTATTAAAACTTTTGGTAATAGATCAAATGAATGAAGGGAGATTTAATATCCTAATGTTCTGGGCCAACTGGGCTAATAAAGACGGATATTTAAAAGAAGTGTGCCACAAGGAAAATTTTGCCTGGGTTTTTCATCCTATCAGAGCTAATAGTACTAGACACTGTTCCTTATGCAGTGGCCACACTAGCCTAATGATTCGGCTGAATCAATCAGCGTCGAAATTGGCCTAGTGTGTCCGCTTCGCCCGAATGTAGAATTCATTAGTCAATCATCACTTATCATCCACTCATATCGGCAAGTCACGTAATTGTTTGAAGACATATGGTTGCTGCCATGTTTAATCGTGTGACGTGAAAGGTGATGCATTCGCCTAGTGTGTCCACTCATTCGGCGCCGATTGATTAGGCCAATGTGTCCACCACTTTATACTAGGCACTCTGTGCTGCACCATTGACAAGAGGGAAACCAGTCTGAAAAGTCCTGGTTAATGAGCCAGTCCCTTAACCACTGAGTGACACTGAGCCACCATGGCCTTTAGAAGCCCACAGGTATGTGAAATTGTGAAAAACATCATTGTCCAACGTCAATTAAGGAGCCTGGTCCACATTCTAAGGTAATGAGCAAAGACCACCCTTGCAATGATGTCTAATGTTTGTGGAAATCTAATCTGATACCATGCTCGTGATGGGTGGTGTCTCGTAAAAGTTCCCTGGTAGTTGGGATTTGAAGTAGACAGAAAGGCTGCCGTTCAATGAAACCTACAATATTAGACAAGTGACTTTATTCTATGTCAAATAAAAGCAGTGTTTGACAATGGAGTTAAAAATTGTATTTAGCACATGCCCAGATTTAACAATCCCCCCATACAACTTTACAAGGATAATGTGTTCTTTAATTTACCCCTCTCCAAATCTTACAGCATCAATCAAGTTACGCCCTGGGCCCTTATTCACGAAAACTTAAACTAAGATACAATCAAAATTTTAAGAAATACTGCAATTCGATTGGCTGACCAGTAAAATCAATTTGCATATATCCAATTTGCATATTGGTCAGCCAATCGAATTGCAGTATTTCTTAAAATTTCGATTGTATCTTAGTTTAAGTTTTCGTGAATAAGGGCCCAGACACATAATCTGTTTGGATATAAATTATGATTTAATCAACCAGAAACACACAACACATCAAAACTGATCATAGGCCCGCCAACAAGTTTACAGGCCATCTGGACACAATTGGGATGATATCAATGACTTGCATAGTTAACAGAAAGAGACAGGGTTTAACGTCCACTCCACTCGACACAAAGTAGGTCATTTTGGGACTAACACATGGTTCAATTTTATTTTAATAATTTGTTTGCGCATAGAGGTTTTTAGTAGTGTAGTGGGAGGAAACCGGAGGACCCAGAGAAAACCCACAAGGTTGGCCAGGCAACCCTACTCCTCGTCACATACAATCGGGGAATCGAAACCATGTCGGTTGACTCAATGACAGATCTTATGATACAGCGTGCACACGTAACAGATCTAATATACAGCATCTAGGTTAGAAAAACCCTCAGTCTCCTTCAACGGAAGTCAAGGCCCCCCCGTCAGTCTCCAACAGGAGCAAAGGCCCCCAAATCCTTCAGAATAATCACCAGAAAATATCACTATAATATCTGAAATTTATTTGCTGTTTTAAAAGAATGATACAATGAATACTGATTCCTTGCTTTGAAAAGTTTGGTAACCTGCTCTATTCCACGGATAAAACAAGAAAACTTCAACATACAGGAAATCATAATGATATGCAAAATAAATATTTATTTATTTTTTTATTTTTTTTTTACAATAATACCAACTTAGTTCCTATTTATCTTTTTAATGTTAAATTAATGACAAAATACATATTTAGATTTTAAACAAGTTTTCATGGAATATAACATTTTGCTTTATTTACAATTATTGAGACCATAAAGAGTTCCATTGGATCTCTGTAAAGAAAGGATGCCATTCCATTATGTAGTTCAAGCAGCAGATCGATAAAAATAAATGATCTTGAAGCTTGTATTTCAACAACGATTAATACATCTGTCTGTCATTTTAACTGTCTCACAAAGGAATGGCTACCGTATGTGGTTTTAGTGTTAACTGTATACAACACTAGTTTTTTCTTGGAAAGAAGCTCTGGCAAGAATGCAGAAGTTCCAATACCAACTCCCTAAATTTAAAGGGGTAAGCAATTCAAAAATAAATTAAAGAACAATACACACACACATTTTAATAATTGAACGAGATTCAGGATGTTTTTTTTTTCATTCTGTTCATAATTTGAATTAAAAGAATCTATAGGAACGTCTGTTACTGATGATAATTATAACATACAATATTTTTTAAAGACGTACATACTCGTAATTAAACAGACGATGAAAAGTTCATATTATAACATAATAATCACATGCGCACATACATACACGCCAAAAACCCTTACAGCCACCCTTTAATCATATGCGTAACTGTAACGGTCAATGTTCATATAATACCAGTAGCAATTATATAGAATTCATCTTGGTTTTGTACAATTCATTTCTCGAGATGCAAATATAACAAAAATGTTCACGTAATTAATGTAATACAACTATCAAATAAATTCAATGAAAAGAATGAAAGGTGATTTTCAAGTCCTTTGTTTAACGTTATGACTGGATGACCTTTCTAATGTCTATCATGACTGGATAATTTTTCAACACACACAGAAAAATCTCTTATATGGGCAACAACTTAAATTCAGGACACATAACATTATCAGTCTATCCATTTCCAAGAATTCATATTGTGTTAGTAAATTTATTCCTCAGATCCTTGCGTAATAAACATCCATTACTTGTCCACATTGACTGACCTAGATAAATTAAATGTTTTTTTTTTTAGTGCGCCAACACCCAAGAACTGTCAGGAAAATTTAAAGCTAGGCTCAAAATGAATCACAATATGCCATTTTTAGTTTAAGTTAGTAGAACTCAGCACTGGTTACTGTTAGGCATCACCGTGACGATAAGGCATGACTGACAGTTTGATAATGTACTATATGTAAACACTTTTATCCAGTCACTTGGTGACGTATGTGTAGGTTCTCGATGGAGAACGTGTTCCGTCTGGAATTGGCACGTTCAAGAAATCCCATATAAGGATTGTGTCATCATGGGAACTACTGACTATCTGGAATTCATCAAATTGAAGTCGGAAAACTCGGCCTGAATGTTCCTGCAATATAAATTAAAAGGATTAAAAAAACTAAATGAAAAAATGTTAGAAAACAATTGTGAAATTTTTGACATTGAATGGAAGAAAATACAACTGATAATGTTAATATCAACTATGCATGTTTAATCCACAATATGGGTGGGTATTACATCCTCAGCACCTTGAATAATACACTTTATTCCTGTCTTGCAAGCTGTAATAATAGGTAACTATATCAGCAGTTTAATACAATGAAAAATAAATACATGAATGTTACAACAGAGATAGAGGAACTTTCTTTTTTTTTTTTACTTAGAATGCTGTATATGTAAATGCTAGAATTTTAAATTACATAGTAGTAGGCTGCTTTGTTTGGTAATAACAATTAAACACAGAATTTAATCTAGCTCATAGTAATCACAGATACAGTACAAATTTAACTGAGCTATTTATTAGGTCATAAACAAACAATGAATTATTTTTCCAAAAAGTATCTATCAATAAGTAATGACAAATAAAGACGAAAGTAACTTACCACTAAAGTTCGGAGACAAAGTGTTCCAGCTGGGGAACGGGGATCTAGAGCTGCCTGCAGATCCCAAACTTTAATTTTACTATAAATATAAACATAATCATTACATAAACAAAATATAGGAGTAAAACGGGGCACGGTCGCCATTCTGTACAAGTTACAGTCTTGACAAGTAAGGGATAAATGAAATAATAACTGATGATTTTTTGGACAGTAATTGTTAACTTCTGTATTTATAACGCAGCGGAAAGAAGTTAATTCTAAATTTCTAAGGCTTGTTTATATATAATGCACATTGTGTACTTGTGTGATTGAGGATACATTATTTGTGATGTCAGGGATTATCCAATGAAACAGTCTGTTACCGCGAGTTCTTGGCATGTGGTGCACAGGGTCAAAAGCAGCTGATATGACCCCTGATGCGACCTCCCAATGCAATCGGTCAGATCTTCATATAGTCGAGGCCACCAAAGTTTATAAAAAAAACAAAATAAAAAAAACAAAAAAAAACGAAACCAAATATAGATCTGTATTTTAATCAGATTGAACTTGATCTCCACTGAATAGCAGTTTTATCACAGGTTGAGAGACATGATAAAAGTGTCTTACCCATCATAAGCACCACTGACTATACGTTTATTATCAAATCTAATACATCGCACTAACTCTTCATGTCCTTCTAATACTCGTAAACATGCACCATATTCTATATCCCATAACCTATAATACAATAAAACAGCAATTATAATATCAGGTTCTAGTTCAGATTTTCTATTTTATTTTATTCTTTCAGTTTAAGCGACAGCATTTTAACATTAGGACAAGATTGCCCACACCTGTGTAAAGACTTTTCCGTCAACTTTGGAAGCACAGGTCTGATGAATACAAACACAAAACTTGGATTATTTTGAGACTTCTTAAAGTCATTTTTACTTTGATCTTATGTGCAAGGAAGGAGAACTTTGCCCTAACAGTGGATTGTACTCCTAATCTTAATCAAATTCCAACTGTACTTAGGGTGAACTTTGGTTTTTCATTCAATACACTTTACATATCTGACCGACAAGACACTATTCCTGACAAGATAGAACCAGGCTCTAAATATTCTGAGATACTTCAGGGCCTATGCCAGGATACGAACCCAGGATATTGTACTTGATACTACTGTGGCTCCCTGAATATAACAAAGAATAGCTGCAGGCCTCAACAAATTGGAAATATCAACTGACCTAATTGTGTTATCAGAACTACCACTGACTACTAATCTATCATGATATTGTAGACAGGCTATACCACGTTTGTGACCATTTAAAGTTCGGACAAATTCACATGTAGATGTATTCCACACCTGTAAAATAATTAAACAAAAAATATCTTTAATGAAAGTGTTAATAAAACAAAATAACAATTAAAGATACAGTATGTAAGATTTTGATAAAGAGCTGGCCATTCTTGCTATAGTATAATAGTTCAAAAATAGATACTGCATAATGAATATATTAAAAATTCCATTCAAATTAATTTATTCTGAGCGAAGGTATTAGCCTTTGAAGGTTTGATATGTGCACTGATTCATCATTGTAACCACCATATTGGTTGTTCGAAGCTTAGCCTCACTTTGCGATTTTTAGATTTAATTACTAAATGGCTAAACCATTCTAATCTACTTAAAATCGGACCTATCCGATGACCTCGAGACTTGATTATAGTCTTGCCATGTTAATAAATGTCTAACTAATAGTTTATATAACATTTCAGGCCTAAAGAAAGACCTGCAATAGACAGATTTAGCAATAATTTACTAATTAACCTAGTGACTTCTACAAAATCCCAACATTAAAGTCTTAACATACAGCTTTTTTGAGCTATTAAATTCCCCGATACATTTCCATCATCATTTTGAAGATGTTAACTATCTCATAATTCATGAGTACAAAAGTGACACAATAGGGCTTCACTAGGAGACATTTTGACTAAATCTACATTGTAAAAGGATCTACATAAGCTTATATACAATGTATATACAGATATAAAGATTTACATTGACTGTAGCAGTATCGTGTGGTAAGTGGAGATCTAAATGCGCCATGAGCTTTAACCAGAGTACTGTCATAATTATGAAAATAAATTTATTTGATTTGATTTGTTCTAAATATCACCACTACTTACTTTAATAGTTCTATCACCAGAAGCGGATACGATATATCTGTTGTCAAAATCAACCACATTTACAGCAGCACGATGACCTACTAAAACCCGGCGTAAATTAATCTCTGTCGGTGACTGCATATCCCATACTGCAATAGATCTATCTTTTGAGCATGTGACCATGATCCCGTCACAGAAACGTAAATGAAGAACAGCTTCACAATGGTGAATAAGTGTATTTAACATTTCCCCTGTCTTCACATCCCAAACCCTGAAAATTTACAACAAAAAAAAATTATTTCAAATGAAGGTTTTCCAAAAATTATCTAGCAAGACCAATATGAGGCAGAAGATCAATTGGTTCTTTTGTTTGCTTTAAATATCCAAATACATTCAAATGGGTTATTATAAAGCATAAACGAATTGGATGACAACTTATAAAGAGTTTCATGTACATATGAAAACCTCTTTCTCTGGCAGCCTAATTTGAAAGAAGAAATGAGTTAAGGGACAGTCCTGCTGGTCTCTTATCACATGAGAACCGCTGTTCTTCTTAATGAGATCACAGAGCTTCAGATAGTTTCACTGGACAGTCATGAGCTTTTCCAGACGAATTAACAAGTTTACTGACATAAATATATCCTAGATAGCTCATCACACGAATATTTCAAAGTTTTACTTAAAGATACATTAGTTAAGAGTTTAATAAAGAGTTGGTCATTCTTGCTATAATAATTCAAAAATAGATGATGAAAAAAGAAATATTGAAAATTTCATTCAAATTACTTCATTCTTATCCAAGTTATCATTGTTTGTAGTTTTGACAAGATGTGTGCACAGTGGTAACCAGGGCATTGGTATAATCAGAACTTGGCCTTGCTTTCCCATTTTTAAATTAAATTTTTAAATGGCGAACCGTTTTAATCTAGTTAAAATCGAGAGTATTCGATGCCATCGAGAGTCGAATATGGTCTTGTTTTGTTAATAAATGTCTAATTAATAGTTTATGTAACATTTCAGGCCTAAAGAAAGACCTGCAATAGGCAGATTTAGCTCTTGCATAGTGTATGTTTAAATATATCTGAGATAGGTATTCTCAGAGCTTAAATATACTGAGATAGCTTAGTTTAACATAGAAATATATTCAGAATAATAAACAGAAACAGTTGAAACTATACCTGACTGTTGAATCACTAGAACCCGAAATTATGATTTTCTCATCATACTGTAGACAGAGAACAGAGCCTGTATGACCTGTCAACACCTTTACACATTCTAATGATGATCTGTCCCACAGCTTCAAAACAAAAATACACAATATTTAACCTAAATAGATAACCAGAGATGATACAAAAGGTTCCTGGTGTAATTAACACAAATTCTAAAGCTGTAATGAGTAGCCTATTATTGTCATATCTTGCTAAATGAATTAATCTTACCCAACCTTTATTTGTAATATTCAGTTTGAGAAATAACTTATTTGTATTGTAATATTTAGTTTCAGAAATAACTTAATCTATTCTTACCCAAACTTTTATTGTGTTATCTCGTAAACCACTGATTATTTTCTGATCATCATACTGTAAACAATATACTCCTTTACTAGTTTCACTACGGCAGTGTATTCTCTGTAACTGATGATGGCCTGTTCTCCAATTATCTTCTATTCGCTAAAAACAAATCAAATATACATAAAATAAAAGATCTTAAACCAAATTTTCAAAAGCCTGTAAACAAAGTGTATTGGCTTTGTCTTGTAATATTATTTATGGTCTTTCTCATTTATCACTTTTGTACAAAGTTTCCTCTTTTCTGTTCCTACAAAATGTTCTCCAATGGCTCAGGTGGTGTAGAACAGTAGGTGCTTAAAACCTCATTTCATTTATTCTGCAGAGTGTTGAATGTGTCTTGTATATTTCCAGAATATTCTCTGTTCTTAATGTCATTTTAAATATTTGAGTAAATTGAAATGTTTCTGGAAACACTGATTCTCAGTCTTGTTATTTTCAATTCAAGATTTATGACATTCAAACAAGTCTTAAGCGTGACACTGGGAATTAAAGACTGAAACACAGAATATGTAACAGAAAAAATTATGATTTATGAAGATATTTCTTACATCTATATCTTCTATAATTGACGGATACAAGCCACGGTAAAATTTATGATCTTTGGCAGGTTCTCCTGGCTTTGGTTTAAATAAAGTTGTACCCCTGCAAAAGAATGAACAAATATTTATCTTTCTTGTTTGAGAATAACAACATAGTCATGCATTAAAAATATACCACCCATCACAGACAGTGTCCATCTTCCAATTCCTGACAAATGACAGTGCATGAATTTCTTCTCTCTGTCATAAATTTTTCATTTTTCTCTATTTTAAGTGTAAATTCATTTTTTTTTTTATTTCAACACAAAGTCAAAAATATCAGTAATAACTAAAACTATTAATTGGATGATTTTTCATTTTTCTGTATTTTAAGTGTAAATTTTTTTTTATTTCAAAGTTAAAAATATCAGTAATAACTAAAACTATTATTTGAATGGTTGAACATGTGTTTTTGTTTGTTTGCTAGATAATCATCATCTTAACAGTTAATCTAAAAATAAACCAGTTTTGTGGTTTTTATTCATATTTAGAGTATTATAAATAATTAAAGTAACAAAATTTTCGTAAAAAATAAAATTGTTAGGCCCATAAAATCAATCATATGTCACCAACTCAAAACGTTTATTTTTGTGAACCAAACATAAGTCATGTTCCAGAAAGCTACTTCTGTTTTACCCAAATAAATTCAAAGCTATGGTTTCTTTATATTAAGACAGTGATTTTCTTATCGTTTAAATAAAAACTTAAACTGTTTGCAAACAACAAACATGGCATGTTAAAGCACACATTGTTTTTACGCTGTTTTGTCAAACTCTTAAATCATTTCAAGCTTGCCAACACCAGTTAAAGAAACTAGTACAGGCTATCTTTTACCCTTTCAACAAATATTAGCTATCTGCAACATAAAAACTACATCTGATAACTACTTCAAAAGGTGAATTATGTAATTTTAACACAAAGGCTATATAACTATAAGTAAGAAAGAATTGTTGGATTTTACACATAAGATTAAAACAAATTTCCAAACCAGTCTCTCAATTTAATGACTCTTTTCACAAATATATCAAAGAGTTTTGGGATTTTCTATGTGGATAGTAATTCTATTTTTAGTAGACTTTCTAAATAAATCAATGTTTTCATTAGAAATACAGACTAATAAATATTGTCTTGTCTCATCAAATTAAATCAGAAATATGAAATGGGAGTATATTAGGAATAACTGAAAATAGAAGTGTATTAAGTAATCATCTATTCTCTTTAACAACAAACGAGAAAAGAAATGGCATTTCAAACAAACTGTGTTCCTAACCTTTGATCAATAAAGCCAATTTTTATCTCATACCCCCTACAATAATTTTGAAGTTGCCAATTTAGGTAAATCATCATGCACCCGTCCAACTTTTCATAAAACAAAAAAATTAGCTTGAATTGTTTACAAGACAATCAGATGTCATACACATGTTGTGATGAGATGCTAACACGTTAAACAATAGTGTACATAAAAGATGGCTTATTTAAATGTTGCACTGCCAAAAAGTTAGCTAGTTTGCCAAACATAAATCCCCACAAGATAAACTCTAAATGCATCCCTCACTGTACCAGTATGCTTACAAGCCTTTTTCCAATGAGACTATAAAACATATATGTTTAAAAAACTGCACATAATGATTATGTGCCTCTATTTATACTGTTAGTTCACTCTACACTCATTTCACTGCACTTGATCTGCCAGTTTATTTACTCAGAACTTAATAAACTCTTATCAACATAATATCATATCTTGAGAGCAGTTTAACAGGATTATTATTTCAAAAACTTACCATCCCCTCCTTTCTGCTAATCCCTTCCATAACGTATCTGTTCTCACTTTCCTTTCGATTAATTTCTTCCATAAATTACCTTCTGAGACAACTCGATACCACTCTTTACACACAAGTTCCGCAGAACAAAGTGATTTTGAGTCTAAATAAGCCAGGATATTTTCAGCTATATGGTCCAAACCCTTGGCTGTAAAATAAAATCATTATAAAGTATAATTATTTGATAGTCAAATTAAATCCAATGCATGTATTGTTCCAAACTCCCACTCAGTACAAAACTGAGATGCTTACACCACAGAAAAGTCTTTTAAACTGTGAATACATGAAATGAATCATAATACATCTGGGAGAATACTCTTACTTGATTTCAAACTATAAGTGGTTGTTTTAACTGCATGTTAATGTGTACATGAATTTACTTATTTTTCTTCCCATGCAAACGATTAGGCACTTTACCGATGAACCTTGCACGCAAATCCCCAGATATTGAGATTTAAAAATCATATAACATACCTGGAAGTGCTGAAATAAAATCCCTCTGTAACATTGGTCGCAGATAAGCATTAATACGGCCATGTTGATAATGACACATGTGAGAAAGAAGATGCTCAACAAATTCAGTTTGTTCATTTTCTGTCCAATGTTCAAAATATTTCATACACAATCCTCTTTGTTGTAGATATTCTTCTGATGGTTCTTCCATCTTTCTTCCAATAAGACTAGTTACTTCTACTATACTACTATGCTGTAAAATATAAAGACATAGCATTTAAAATAGCCATAAAATTTAACCTTAAAATCAATAATAGATTGTATAGATTGTATGTGTACAAACTACAAACAAGTATAATGAACATACTATGAAAGAGGAACCGCGAGCCAGACGTCAATGCAGCCATGTCAGAATTTTGACGACCTTGTATTCTTTTAATCGATGCACAATTGCCCAAGGAACTAGCATGACAAATTTCATGTCGATTGTATTTGAATTGGTGAAGCCTTAACTCTTTTTGGCACTTAGGGCCAAGTTCCTAGTCCAAAAATGGGGATAATAGGAGCTAAAAATTATCAGATCTATGTAATCTTTAGAAACAATATCTTGCTAATACAAAGTAACCAAAATATATCAAAATGTGTATGTACATGTGGGGCATGAAATGATTAAAGCAGAAAATGTATTCTAGTTTTCAATAAATATTCTAAACTCTATTAACCAACTATTTACATGTACCGGTACTAACAGTGATACAGATGAATGAATAAATCAAAGATTACACCAAGTATGATGTTAATACATTTATTACAGTTATGGGGATAAAGATATATTATACATGTAATTATAAAACGGTCATTATATCCAACAAAAGAAATTAGATCTTTATATGTAGTTGTACATGTAGCCCTATGGAGATGTATAAATATTGATTATAATAAATATAACAGGACATGCAGATCAACCATGTACAAGTATGTGATAAAAATAAATCAGATCTTATCATCCTCCATACCACTCAATTTTAATATATTTTGCCTCGAGCTAAACTGCAAAGTTAACTAGACACAATACAGACAAATATGATGGCATCTATCCATTTAACTTTCTAGTCAGATAATAATCAATGATTACACTGTTCAACGAAATGATCTTAATGACAGGTTAATATGTAGGATTTGAAACAATGATCTTCAATGACAGGTTAATACCTAAAATTTGAAACAAATTATCTTTAATGACAGGTTAATATACATATGATTTGTAACAAATGTCAGCTTAATGTCACACACTTGAGTGTGTTCCTTCTATTATTTAATACTAGCAACACCATGCTACACACTTTTATATTCTGTGTTTCATGGAATGGATTTTTCAGAAAGATTGAAATATGACCGATTTCTTTGTCAGGAAAGATATTAAAAACAATTTATAAAAATATATCACTTTAGACCAGGTCATTGACCTGTTTTAGCATCAGAAAAATAAGATGCTTTTTATCTAATAATCATTTAATTTTTTATTCTAATCATAATATTACTTAAAATACATTCATAAAATTTATTATCTAGTGACACTGTGCAAGTTTTTAACTTGTTACAAACGGGAATGTTGAAAATGAACTGTGGATCATTAATAATTTCAAGAAATAACCAAGCATGTACCTGTACCATAATAATTGCATGTAAAGTCACTAAAGTTACACCGATTTCAACATTGTCAAATGTACATTGTATGTAACACAAGTATATAAGTCTGGATATAATGGGCTTGTCACAGACATTGTCAGACAACCAGTGATTATGATTGTCACAGTTTTGTCCTTTTTCAGTATTTTTATTGCACAAATTCAAAATGGCAGGAACTACTACACTACCGGTTTATTAAAGCATGACAGTTTGTCAGGTAAAACTAAAATAACAAAAGATTTCCAATTGTGAATATGTAAAGAATTTAATACAAAAGTTATTGAAAACTTATCCATTATTCACAACATCCAAACCAAAAATTGATATATACTGTAATACTAATACTAAAGTCATGATGGTAGACATGCAATCCTATTATTATAAGGAAGTATAAAATTTAAAACTCTTGTAGCGCACACAGAAAAATCAGGTTTATTACTTCAATGAAACACACAGAAGCTTACCTTTAAGTCAGTCAGTTAAAGCAATTTAATTAACCTAATATATAACTTTGCCTCAAATATACAAACTTTGATGTTGGCTCTTTATCAATAACCCAATAATAATCATTAGTAGATTATTAGTAGTGTTATAAACAAATAGAAGACATTGATTTTTATACCTGAACACAGTTTTAATATCATTAATTAATCTACAGATAATGATATCTGTCAGTTAACATAACTATATCAGTTACTTTTAATATTTGCTATAAGGTAGTTATGATTATTAATCCCCAGTTTTATAAATAGATCACATCAACTTCCTTTTCTATATAGGCTATACCCCCCCCCCCTTTCCCAAAGAAAAAAACTAAAGCAAAGAACATACATGTAGTACAAATTGAACTAGAGAAACACACTCAAATAATTCCATAGGCTACTTCAACCTTAGTATCATTATGTCATATCTATTTTGGCAGGTCATATTAACATAAGCAAAGGTGTTTACATGTAGAATACATACATGGGTGTGGCAACACATGTACACTATTGCTCAGAGCAAGACTTATCAAGAAGCTTATAAAATATTCATAATTACTATCTTCATTTCGTTCTTATCCTATTATACTCAACTTCTAATGGAGGTTAAACAGATCACAATAACCAAAAACAAGCTGTTGCCATGCAAGATATGTCCACATTTTGCAAGAGGTAGACAGAGAACAAGCTAAAAAAAAAATGATTTTGCATATAATCAGGGGCCAAAATGCAGGATGTTACGGTCGACATGATTGTGTCAATATCAAAAGAAACCGAGATCTTTGGGAATGGGATATAAACATATGTTTTAAGTTTCATCAAAATCAGATAAAAAATTGTGACCTTTCGAGGCTCTACAAGTTAAAAATCGTGATTTTTCGTACAATCAGCAGGGGTCATAATCCAGAAAGTTAACGTGTAATATCGAAAGGAATTGAGATCTTTGGAATATAAACATATATTTTAGATCCATCAAAATTGTATAACAAATTGTGACCCCTGGAGGATCCACAACCTTGGTATTACGTGCTTTTAAATTATTTGCGTAAAGGGGAGTGGCCATTCAAGAAATTCAAACTCAACCATGCATCATATGGTGTAACAGTGATAGATATACTCTTCAAATAAAGTAGGGGATATTGAAATGCAAATACCTTCATGTATGCAGGTTGTGATATGATAAATAGTCATGGACACTTGACATGCTTTGAGAGTATGTTCACAGATGAAGAACTTATCGCCCCAACAGAACCACTGAGCTGCACAATGCAACACGCAATAGTGTCATACACATGGGAGGGGTTCATTGTCAAATTTGACACTTCAAGGAAGGGTAGATGAAAACTGCCACGTGCTGGTTTATCTATCCATGTTAGCATTCCTATTGGTTCTTGCATAAGATTTACTGTTTAGAGTATCATTGCTTTAGTGTGTTACATTTAATGTGATTGGGAGACGTGTTCGTCGACATCAACGCCCACCGACAACACTGCAAGAATTGGTCGTGGCACTGCAAGAAGAGTGGGTCAGAGTGTGCACAACTCAGAACAGCGAGTTATTCTCAAGATTCCAGGAGTTTCTGTATAGAATTCTACATCATAGTGTCATAATGTATTTTTTTTCTCACTTGAAAATTTACGGGGAGTTTCAAGGAGTGATCTTGATTTTCCAGTACTGGAAATTACATTTTTATTTTTCCAAGAGTTTCAAGGAGTGTGCAAACTTTGTAGAGGGTCGACAAGCTAAAAATGTGATTTTTCATACAATCAGGGGCCATAATTCATGAAGTTACAGTCCGTCATAGGGTTGCAAAATTCCCGGGAATTTTCAAACAGGGTAAATTTCGCGGGAACTTCCCGGGAATTCTGGGTAATTTTCAATTAGGTGTTATAAATTGAAACATGTGTCGCTATTAATGAGTTGCAAGTGACAGTAATATTTTAATAACTAAAAGATACAAAACATATCTGATATGTCATATATACTAAAATCTAATAACTAATAATGAGATAGTTCTGTTAAATTGTTCATACACAGGTTACACATTCTAAAATTAATGCTCAAAGTTACATGTAGGTAACTCTGCCATTTCATCATTGATCTACATCATCATTTGTGGCTAAAATTGAGATTTCAGGTTCAGATGAATCCTCATGAATATCTGAAATTTTTGTGCTGGAAGGATCGTTGTCAGCTTCCAAGAGTTTCAAATTAGATCTTATACAGACCAACTTTTCAACACTTCATTTGTTAATTTGTTTCTAACTTTTGTGTGAGTTGTACCAAACAGAGACCAAATGCATTCTGATGCTGCTGATGAAGGTGGTATTGCAAGAATTAATGAAGTTATACTCGAAACAGCATGCACACAGTCCCTTCCACCAAGTTGATGCTGAAATATATTTTGATGATGCCGAAATACTTTCTCCTTTCCACAATCCATCTTTTGACCGATATTTAGCCAAACTAGCCATTACTTTGCCTTCATTAAGTTTGTAGTGTGATGCAAGGGAACTAATGAATCCATATGCTTCACCAATTTCCATATCACCAAGAGGTAAAGCATTTCGGTAACAGTTGGGATCTAGCATATAGGCAGCGGCATGAATAGGCTTAAGGCAAAATTGCTTTCTTTTCTGTAAAAATCCAAGTACGGACTTCTCTTCAGCTTTTGTAAGTGGGGATTGCTGGACATTTTCAGTAAGTTTTGTTTCCAATTCATTGAAAACTCTAAACACATCAAATAGAATTGTTTTATCTCCTTCTACTTTAGTTATTGCTTGAGCTATTGGTTCTATCAGCTTTAAAGTGTTTGTTAACCTTGTCCAAAATATATCGTTATCAAGTAATATCTTTCTGATATCAGCTTCAATACCGATAGATTCCATTATGGCTAACTCTTGCAGGGATTCTTTTCCATCTAAAAGACTTTTATACATTATGACTATAACTATAATAGTTTATGAAAGTAAAAGAGAAAAAGGAAATTCCAGTAAATAATTATAATTTTAGTATTTTTCAGTTCTAAAAATAGATTTGAAAATTCCCAACACTGAAAATTCCCGGAAAGTTTCCCACCCTT